ATCCATAACTGCAATATCACTCCTGAATTATGAAAATTCTTTCCCCAAATTGGCCTCCAAAGAATAGGTGATGCAAGTTGATTATGTGGCTTGAAGATGTCAGCCAGTCGCTGTATTGAAGCGGACTCATTAAATTTAGATGCAGATAATGTAGCGATATAGATTTTTCTGAAGAGGCCTGACATAGCCAGAGCCAGTGTATGTCAATTGATGCCATTTTTTGACTTGTGGACCTAGGGTGTGACTTTCACAGTGAATGACGTGAGCATTCCCACACTGCTATATTATTTGTGTAAAAGTCCCAGGTTGTTTCGATCAGGAGTTAATGTGACATTAGACTTCCAGCCTGATAGTTATGATCAAATGAATGAGGATTAGATGGCCTTTTTCATCCTAATACATTTGTGAAAAATGCATACAACCTAGTTTTTTTTAACCATGGTTTCAGTCACCTTTTCTTCTTCCCCCCCCCCCCCCAAAAAAAAAAAAACCCTTGGCCACCCAGTCAACTAGCCGAGTGAAGTGCTTTGAGGCTTTCTCTGACGTGAAAGGGGGCTATATAGATGTAAATTGTTGTTGTTGCATGACTTAACAATTCATCAAAATCAACTTTGATCAGCTTTATTCTAATCTGAATGCTGAATTCTTCGACTTGGTGAGAAATGCTTTTGAATTCAAGGCAACGGAGGGTTTTATTTTTTCAATTGGTCTAGCAACCTGTCAAAACAAATTGTTTTTTGTCCTGCCTATTAATAGTACTCCCAGTGTGAAATCCATTCTAAGGCTGGGTGCATTCCCTGCAGTCTGCAAAAATGATCTAACGTACATAAGACTGCTGACAGCTGGGCTTCAGTTTTCCTCTTTCAAGCGCATCATGTAGTTCTTGTGTAAAGTCTTATGTAAAGGCATCAGTATAGTCTATATCTGCATAAATCTGCTTTTTTCCTACATGTTAGCCCAATTTTAAATGTTAACAGTGTCATTGGGTGCTACGTTGCAGTGTGTTTGTATAGGCAATGAAATGACTATTTTACAGGGAAATGCTAAGGAAATTCGTTAAAATAAATGTAATTTTAGGTCTGTTTTTCTGGATCAGGGAGATGATAAGAAGCACAGTTATCTTATTGATGATGTTGCTTAACATTTCTCTCGAGGCTGCCAACACTAAAAAAAAAATGTAGAAGATAGACTTGCATGAACCAAGCTCTCCACATCCAGGGCATTAAGTTGCTGGGAGTTGGGTTTTGTCCCTGGTGGAGTATATTTGTGGACTTGTATGTTATTTCATGTTCTAGATTTATGTCTTTGTAATCTCTCTCTGCCTTGCTAATGTCAGCTCAAGTGATGTGCTGTTGGATATTGGATGGCCTGCTTTTCGGAACCTTTCCATCTCTTTATTTTTTTCCGCCCCTTAGAATTTTAACATCTTCCACTCCTTTACTTTTGGAATTTGTGGCATTATATTTGGCATCTGCTGCTTTGTTGTGGAGTCTTGAGGCGTATTGAGTACTCACCTTGCAAACGAGAGGACCCGGGTTTGATTCACGGGTATGGCGAAACCTTAGGCAACTTTTCATGACTCCACATGAAGTAATTAGGAACCTGGTTGTTAGTCGATTGGCAGATAGCTTTCTGGGTGTAATAATACCTTATTAAGAATTTAGTCACCCAATCCATGATTGTTTGCGGGACATTGCTGTGCGGAATTGGCTGCTGCATTTAGCCCGCAAAATATAGTCAATTCACTTTACAGTATATTCTGTGAAGCGCTTTGAAATGACTTAACAACTCTCCATGTCTTTCTTTTTTAAAACCTCATCTATAATCTTGACCTCAGTCCAATGAGCGCTCAGCCCATATTCCTACAAAGATTCCCTTTATTTTTTTATATTTGTGTTTCTGTACAGCAGCTTTTAAACAATGACAGGGTAAGATTTGAAATTTTTTCAAGAGCCAAATCTATGAAATCAGATGAACAGAATATTTTGAATATTCGACTTCAGCTGTATGCTGGAAAGTTTAATTTTTAGATAAGCAAATTTATCAGTACTGTGATTTTCTTTCTCAGAGAAAACATAAAATGTCCTTTGAGCTTTAAATGTAATTTACATCTTCACAGATGTGATTTAGTTATGCTGGAGGCGAATAAGATCATTAAATGACTATTACGGTTAGCTTTATTGCTGAGAAGCGAATAGGAGTCAGTTCCCTCAATGATTTTGAAAGCTTGAAGTGACATTTTTATAATGGCTATTCCTTAAAAAAATTTATTTGAACTTACTCTGATGATATGAATATATATGGGTCCATTATTGTGATTCATAATGTTTGGGATGAAAAGATCAGTCAAAAAAACACCGCACGTGATCATTTAAAATAATGATTCTATTGTGGATTTGAAACATGGTGGTGATGACGTCCAAGACTGTTGTTGGTAATGTTATCCTTCTCCCTTTTCACCAGTCAGAATTTTTCAATCGATACAATTGTAATAAATTATTTACAACCTGGAGACATGTATTTGATTTGCTAACAAGAAGCTTCATATCTTTGCATACTCAATTGACATTTGACACAGGAGAATAGCTCCTTTACAGTCTGTAGCTGTGAGTTATGTTAGATGTTTTCCTTGATATTTGTTTGCTCCATTGCTGCAAAGGCTTGTTGTTCGAAACACGACACTTTAGAGGCTGTTCTATTCCTTTAGCTCAGCGTAGAAACATTCCGGATGTGCGTTTTGAGCTATCTTGTTTATTGCTTATTTAAGCACATTTATCACTGTTTACTTGGTACATGCAATTTAATGATGCAATGTTTTTCGTGTGTATTTCACATCTGTACTAATAATTACAATACCCAGACGATTGATGTTTGCAGCATCATCGATTCTCCATGCAAGAGCTCTTTACAATTCTGAGACGTACGGTTATCCAGTCTCTCCAACAATGAGGAGACTGGATAATGGCACCAAGTTCTTAATAACATTTGTGATCCTCAGAAGTCAATGTCGTACTACTAATATTTCCCCTACAAAGACAGCTCACAGAGCAATCTTCTTTCACAGTCATCATCTTGCACAGAATATACAAATAGATGGCAACAAGTCTTTTGTTTCAAATGGCTGTGTACATTCTCCATAGCGAAAGCTGGCATTGAAAAAAATAAATTGCCAGCAGCAACGTACGTGCGCGGTGAAGATCTAATCACCTTTTCTACAGTATTTGTTTTCCTCAAACTGTTTTCTCGTAGCTGTAAATAAATCACTTTTAAGCACAGTTCTTTTCCAGCCTTTGAATTAGATTTCGGTTTTGTTTTGCCCTGCTTTATCTAAAACAATTCAGCTGCAAGAATTTAATTCCATTTGTCTTGCTTTTGAAGTGGGTGGGTGGGGGGGACAGACGAGTTGCAGTTTAGCTGCAGTGATTTTGAAGCATTTTAATCTTTTAAATAGGTCTTTCCCGGATGAGAGGAATTATGTTCAAATTGTTTTGTTTTTAAAACACCAATGTTTAGTACTGTTGGGCTTTACTCAAAACGAGCATTCTTGCCGAAGCATTTATTTGTGAAATTTAAAACAATATGGAGAAAATATGCCCTGTTGGAAAATGTCAGTAGTTTACTCACAAACCCAATGTAACGTGCTAATTTCCAGGGAGGTTCATTCCTCTCCTACCTGCATCATTTAGTAGGTGGCATGGCCAAAGTCTTGATTTAATTGGGTCCAATTGTTCTCTGTAATGTGTTTTATCCAAACTATACCAAAGTAAGAGAAGCAATAGAGCATCCCTGCTATTGGAGGGCGAGTTCTATATGGTTGCAAGATGGATCGACACCAACAAATGGTCAGGAAACCTGGGAGAGGATTACCTTTTGTGACTAAACTATTAACGTGTACCATTTTGTTGAATGGAGCACTATTGATGTTTTTTTTAATAAGCTATGAAGGCTTTATATTTTGTGTGTAAGAGGCCCTCGTTTTGATTGTGCATTGAAGGAGCCTCGTTAATTGATCAAAAAGACATCTCAAATGTCAGTCATTTTTCTCAGACCCATACTGTGATCCTTTTCAGTGCATAGTAAAGATATTTGGTCAATCGTGCTTAGCAGTAGAGTGGCTGAGTTGTATCAATTCTCCGACCTCTACCCATAAAAAATCTACTGAAGTAATACACAAGGTAACCTGTCATAAGAATTGCTTAGGAACATGTAGCTCTTAATATTGAGGCCAGAAAGGTTTGAGGCAGATAATGAGCTGACGTTTTATTCGGGAAATTGATCACAGCTGCTCAAGCGCACCTGCTAATGCGTCCCTTGGGATGCTTAAAACGGACTGTGACAATGGGGTTGTGGTAGCAGGAGTGCTTGCCATTTTTTTCCCCCCCCCCCGTTATTCTTGAAATAATCTCTTTTCCATTAGAGATTTTAAAAAAAAGTACCTTTGCATCTCAAGCCAGATCCGTGGCTACCCAGAACATGTTTTGTTCAGACTCTGCCCACAAAATCCTAAATGTGTTGATGCCTAGTGTGTGTGAGTGTGGGGGGAGGGGGGAGGTGGTGGCGGGCTATATTTATGCTCAGTGGCCAGATTATGCCGAGCCCCAGAGCACGTGAGAGCAAGATTGATCATTGTCTGGAGTGAAGGCAAACACATTCTGATAAAGCAGAGGTGGTGACTGATTGTTAAAGGGAGGAGATGATGAGAAGACTAATCTGCATTGAATGCACGAGAACTAAAATGCAGTAAAGCTGAATTAATGGAAAATAGAATGTATAATGCGGGGAAACCCAGAAACACAAAGGGCCTTCACTGCGTGTGTGTTGCAGATGACATTTGAAATGGGACTGGGTCAATAGGATAATACTATCGCAGTTTGTCCAGTAATATGTGATATGAAATTGCTCAGCTGCATAGCAACTGGTGGTAATGCCTTTATGTGATCACTATGAACTAAATCTTGAGGCATTTTCTCTTAATATTTTAATTTGTTTGTCTTATGCAGATAAAAATTTTGACGATGAGGATTCTGTGGACGGTAACCGACCTTCTTCTGCCAGTTCTGCATCTTCGAAAGTTCTCACCTCCCGACGTCCCGTTGGTGTGGCTACCGGTCGTAGATTAGCTGGGGTTGGGTCCAAGAGCACATCAGGTGATGATTGATTACTAAATGCGTTCTGACATTCAGACTCCGTCTCGCTGTAAGCTTCACACTTATTTCTGTATTTATTTGCATCCCTTTATTGCAGGTTCCCCCTTGTGAGAATCTTATGCAGTGTAAATCCTTAGACTGCTTAGGTATGCTGACTGATAGACATCTAGATGCAGGAAAGGTAAAACGTTAGCAATAGTTTGCCTCAGTAGGCCACAAGAACGTCCACCCTAATTTCAAAATCAAAACTGCAATTTTTAAGTGAAAAATATATCGAGTCTCAAGGAAGCCATGCATCTCTGGACCACTAATTAGTGTACAGTCATAGGGTTCACTCGACCCTTTGCGGTTGATTAAATAGCCTAAAAATATTAAGATGGTTGCACCCTTCGTTGAAAAGACTAGCACTTTACAACTTGCAAGAGTTCCTGGAAAGGATACTAATGCTCAACATGTGTGAGATCCAACAGAGTGGATGAAGCGTAACAGATGGAAATGGTCACAGTTCACAAAGGTTGGGTGGTTTATGGGGAAGAAAGCAACAATGGCAGGTGGTTCTATTTCTACTACTCAGATTTCAACCGAGCTCATTGAGTATGAATATTTCTTTTCTAAATTCTAAATCAACCCTACAAGGGAATAGGGAATATAGATTTTTGAAATTCATTAACAATAAATTGAATTCACTAGCGCCTTTCAGGTCGGGATGTCCCGATGTCCCAAAGTGCTGGATATTCATGCGCTTGCACCCCAGGTGGGGGTTGGAATCAACAGGGCAGTCGGGATGGGGAAGATGATCCAAATACATGGTTAAAGATGAAGGTCTTGAGGCGGACCTTGAAGGAGGCAAAGGAGGGGGCGAGGTATAGGGATTCCAGGATGGAGTTCCAGAGAGTGAGGGTAGGAAGGCTGAAAGCCCAACTGCTGATGGTGGAGCGGGCAGAGGGATTGGGAACATAAAGCAGGCCAGTACTTGCTGAGCGGGCAGGTTGGTCAGGGGCGGGAAGGTTGGCAGACCAACATTCTTTCTCAATTTATTTTGGATCCTTAGGGTTTCTTCCCAAGTATACTGTAGAATTGTTGCAATTTATTCAATGTCCCCCTTGATTATAAAAGCGGCGTATGTGCTCTTTGAACCTAAACTGGCTCCCGTTATTTGCTGCAGCTGGTGAGACTTTCTTATTCTGGAGTGCTTAAACAGCATTTCAAGTTACCTACAGGCAGATTCTATCATATTGTGTGGTTATTGCCCTCCAGAATTTCTGGAGTACGTAACAGACAGCATTCTATTCCAGGTCAAAAACTCATTTTTCGTGTAGCAATTACAGTCTTGCTTTATTGCTAGTGTAATGCCATAACTATCACATTTGCTCAAAATTAACTTCTCACAATTGAGTCGAGCTTTTAATATGCGTTTAGTCTTTTATTTCTTGAAATAGCAGCCCAACAAATTTACAAACTCGTGATGACCTTCTGCTTGTTACTTGAATTACTGTGGAAAGAATATATGGTCTGTCAGTCGCATTTAAGATTGAAGTGGAAGGCACGGACTTGGATGAAGATGGTGTCTGCTTACTGTTGGGCATCAATGTCATTCTGGAAATTTGCAGCCTCTTTAGCTAAAATTGGATAAGAATGTCAAGAATTGTCTTTGTGGTTCATTGGAGAATGCAGTTCCATTATGTAAATTACCATTTTGATGGCTTGGGAGGGCATTAGCAAAGATGGGCTAACACTTTAAAATGTGCTAACACATTGAAATCTCAAGGCTGATGGATTCTCCAGCTAATAGTGCGTGAAAGTTTGTTAGTTGAGGCCTAAAAGTCTGAATACTTAATTAGTAATAATACAGTAATTCCTTGAGGAAATAAAATAGGGCATCTCTGGTTTTGGGGTAGGGGAGGGAGGTTGTAATTAGAAGGCTACTTCATTACACATCCCAAAAATGCATAATACAACAGGTGCAGTCAGCAGTCGAATTGTGTTGAGGAGATTGACAAACTGTCATAGGGCCACTATATTCTGGAGAGGGCGAGAATGTGGAATGCTGACCGAGCAAACATATGGTGTTCAGAGATTATTGACAGATGAACTGCACCAGGAACTTGAGGTGCCAACAATACAACATGGGAGAAAATGTGATCACAGTCAATGGCTTGTTAATTAGATTGTAGGTCTTCCAGCAAATGACTTACAATCGCTCAATTAAGTGAGTCATTCTATTTAAAGCCACGATTCTCCCAACCTTCCCCTTGTCTACCCCACACCCTAAAATTAGCAAGAATACACTAGCTGTATTTCTCAGGAAAATAGGTAACTCTTATTTCCCTATTTACATGGTAGGGGAGAAATTATTGTATTCCTAAAATCATTCTGTTCATTACTTTACACCGTTAATTTGTAACTACCTAAAATTGTGATTCAAACCTGTCAGACTATCGACTGGTGAGGAGTCAGCACTGATAGAACATGGAATCACACAGAAGTACAGTGTGGAAGTGGGTTGTTCAACACAATTTGTCCATGCTGGTGGTTATATTCCACATGAGCCTCCACTCCTAATTCCCTCTTCCCTTTTCTTCCCCTCCTCCCAAGTTTACCACAGGTTTCTTTTCAAGCAATTTGTACTAAAGGGGATGGGGGGGAACAGAGATAGAGGAAAGAAATGTTGACTCTCAGATTGGTTGATAGTTAAGAACTGGTTTGGATTACGATTTTTCTACAATAAATTCAGCCATTTCTTAAAAGTTGCTTGTGTGTGTGTGTATAATATATCCTAGGGTCAATGGGTTTAATCTAATAAATCATTTCAGATGTATGAAGATAATCATGTCGTTGAGACGTCTCAAAGGACTTCACAGAATATATTGTAAAGTGAATTGACTGCATTTTGTGGGCGAAACGCAGCTGCACAACTTATCCACGCGCAGCAGTGACCCACAAACAGTTGTGGACTGTAATAATAATTGGAGTAATCAATGTTTGTTAGGCGACATTGAATGATGAATTGATGTTTCAAAATTGTAAATTAATTTTTATTTTGTGGCAACAGTAATTGAGAGCTCTTTTAATACATGCTTATATATGAAGATATGTGTTCAGTCAGATTGGACTTCAATTTTCTCATTTTACTTTTGTTTTAACAGTAAACACAGCTGCTGGTGCTGTTGATGAGGATGATTTCATTCGTGGATTCGAAGAAGTTCCAATAGTGCAGGTAGTCTTGAATTTAATAATATTGCAATCTTGAATCCTTCCTCTTCTGCAGCATGTGCAAGACCAGCAATTTGTAAAGGATGTATTGTTGGACTGTGGGGGTAGTTCAGAAAGAATGGTAACCTCTCTCTCTTTCCAGCAGTGTGACACTGTAACGACAGGAAATCCTTTTTACACAGAGAGTTGTTGCGGTCTGGAATGCACTGTCTGAAAGGGTGGTAGAAGCAGATTCGATAATAGCTTTCAAAAGGGAATCGGATAGGTACTTAAAGAAAGAATGTGCAGGGCTATGGGGTAAGAGCAGGGGAGTGGACTAGTTGGTAGTTCTTTCAAAGAGCCGACACAGGCACAATGGGCCAAATGGCCTTCTTCTATGCTGTAAGCTTCTGTGATTCTATGAAATGCGTGTACTCAATGGATGGGATAGAACGTGGCAAGGCAGGAGCTAAAATCAATGTTTTATGTTCTCCATTTTTCTGAATCATAAATGGGATGCATTTTTCGCTGTTTCTTTATGGTAATTCACCCACTTGTCCCCACTGCACAGCTCAGTATATTGGATAAGTCTTATCTTTAACTGCAGTAACCAATTTGGCAAACATTTTACGTACAGTGCGATTTTGGAACCAGGCTCACCAACTGACTGACCCCCATTTTCCCTTTTTCTCATCAGATTTATTCCAACAGAGATCTCGAAGAATCCATCAATAAAATTCGAGAAATTTTATCAGATGATAAACATGACTGGGAACAGCGAGTAACTGCTGTAAGTTTTTGAACTTTAAGCGTGGTCTCAAACTTGGTAAATGGTAATCATGGGTTAACTTGAACCTTTAGAATGTCAACTTACCCGTCATGCCACAAACTGTCCTGTAGTTTCCACCATGCTGAAGCCAGATAGCTGATGAGGAAACTCTGATATTTAGACTGACAGCTGCTGGAAAGCATTACCTGCAATCCAGGTTCATGAACATGCACTCGTATGTTGGTATCCAGCTTGGTTTGGTGTGCAGAGAGACAGCAGCTGCTGCTGAAGCTCTGTACTTCCAACTGACAGAACCAGTACTTAATGGATACGGATGTGTGTCCCGAGCGGTGTGCAAGAGGATGGTGGCAGTTCTCTTGGGCATTTCAAGCTGAGTTTTGCTACTCACTAAGGGGCTTCTGAGAAGTTCATGTTGCTTCCTATTCATTCAGGCAAGGGTTCAAATCTAATGATCGACTAGTGACTATTCTCCCGGTGGAGGGAGATATTTGTCCGGCTGATAAAAAACATTTTTTTTAATAATCAGTAATCAGACTTCACTGGATTTTTCACTTGCTTTTTAATATTTTGATATTAGTCATTGCTCATGTACATGTATAATTTTTGCTTAACAATGAGTTTTAATGAGAAAGTTTCTATTCAAAATGAACAATCCCTAAATGTATCTCTACTATAATAATAACCCTTGCATTTGATATAGCGCCTTATCACGTCTTCAAGATATCTCAAAGCACTTCCCAGAATATGCTGTAAAGTGGAGTGACTATATATTTGCAAATGCGCAATTCGAACTTTTCTGGCTTCAGCAGCCCAAGGCCATACTTTTACGTAAAGATCAATTGCTTAACAAAATATACAGCCAATTCACTTTACAGTACTTTTTGTGAAGAGCTTTGAGATGCCTGAACAAATTGATAGGTTCGAGGGGCTGACTGGCCTACTCCTGTTCCACACAAGGTTTGTCACAAAAGAGTGGAATAAATTTACATGTGAAACTGTTTAGGTGTTTTTTTTTCATTTCGATCTTTCGACTTTTTTTGATTGGCTCGGAGTGAAATGTTGCAGAAGTTCCTCCTCTGTAACGCATCATTCTAAAGCTTTATTTTACATTTTGTACATTTATTGTACGTCTTATTTACAGCTGAAAAAGATAAGATCTCTAATCATGGGCGGAGCTGCCGAGTACGAATCTTTCTTTCAACATCTGCGTCTTTTAGATGGAGCATTAAAATTATCAGCAAAAGATCTGCGATCTCAAGTTGTGCGGGAGGCTTGTCTCACATTGGGGTAGGTACCAAAATGTGTACTGTAATGAACATGGGTTGCAAACAGCTAAATATTAGAAAGGTTAACATTTTGATCGTTCTTATAGTCAGCTCCCCCTTTCCCTCTCCCCTTGGCTCGTTGTCAGACTCCACCAGTGTGAAGCACTCCAGGATGCTACCCCGCATGAATGGCGCTATATAAATGCGCGTTGTTGTTGATTTTTGTGGTTCTTTATAGTTTGACGTTCTTTGGTGAAATCGGTAATAAATTAATTGAAATACGAGTAATAAATTAATTCATTCTTTGCCCTTCACCCTGGTTTAGATATCTCTCATCTGTTCTGGGAATCGCTTTGATCACGGAGCAGAATCCATTATGCCAACATTATTCAATCTTGTTCCTAATAGTGCCAAAATCATGGCCACATCTGGCGTAGCAACTATCAGATTAATCATTCGAGTAAGTATATACAAAAAGTGGAGATCTCAAAATGCTTTTCAGCCCATTGAAGCTTGTTCCTTTAATACATAAAGTGGGGTCTGCTTTGCTATGGATTATTATTTTAAAGGGTAAGGGGGAAAAAAGGCTCAACTCCTTAAATTCTCTTGATGAGAATCTGGTTATCTCGATTGTTATATTTTGTTTGCTGTTTGTTTAGCCTTTTAAGTCTTATTTCCCTCAGAGTTGGTGATTTTTGGTACATTAATACAATAGTTATAAATAGCAGCAGTAAATTGTTGGTGTCCCTGACACCCTCTGTTTGCTTTTTTTTAATGAAAATGTTTTCGATGTTCATTCAACCAAAATTGAATTAACAATGTTTGTCAAAGTGTATTTTTTATTTAAATGAGAGGAAGTCCTAAAGGTAAAAACAAGTGTAAACAATTATAAATAATATGGCGCGTCATTAATCCCATTAATCTGTACTTGAAATATTTCCCCCTTGGTCCAAATTAAAACTCAAATGCTAATTCTCTGTTTGTCCATTGTCCCCTCCTCTCCACCATCAGTGGCTGCGCTTTCAGCCACCATGCCCCAAAGCTTTGAAACTTTCTCCCCAATCCCTCTGTCTTTTTCCCTCCTTCCCCTCTTTTTAGATCAAGATTTAAGACCTTCGTCTTTGACCGTGCTTACGGTTACCTCCTCTCCCCCCCCCCCCCCCGCCCCAGCATGGCGTCACTGTTAAGTGCTCCCAAGACCCTGCCTCGTGTGAAGGACTCTATATAAATGCAAGTTTTTGTTGTTGTAACTCGCCAGTTAAAATGTTCCTTTACAGAATACCCACTTCCCTCGATTAATACCCATCATCTCAAGCAACTGTGCATCAAAGTCAGTGGCTGTTCGGAGGTAGGTTCTGATCTGTTACTGTACTTATAGTGCTGCATTACTGCGGTATTCACTGGAGGTAACATTTGTATAAAAAGCCTTTTCCCAGTAGCTATTTAGTTAAATGTCATGTTTGACTATACCCCTGCAGCTAAACAAAACAAGGAACTGATCAATTAAAGGAAAAATTTCAAGCAGTACAACTAAAAAAGGAAAGAAACTTAGAACTATTTGAAAGGTCTCAAGTTAAGAAAAGTTAGCAGAAGATTTGGAAAGTTTTTAATTCTGTTTGCAGGATAAATTGGAAAGGAATTCTATTCATGACAATCGTCCCCGAGAGTGGGGAGAAAGTATTGTCACATTGAATAACTTACTGTATAGGTATTTACTTTTTAACCGATCAAATTTGTTTCAGATTGCAAGTAGTTTCCCTTTCTAAGAATGATTCTTTTTCAGATTAGATGTCCGGGAATTCTTAAATTTGTCTTAATTGATAAAACTTAGAGTCCCATTATAATCTGGGGGTAGGGTGCATGAAATTCCAAACCAGCACTATAATGGGACACTACTGTATTTTTGGGCAACGCCTCTGCGTTTATCCGCATGTACACCTAGACAGCGGGGTCAATGACTGCTTCAAAATGCCAACCAGCACACGGGAAGCTAAAGTGGCCAATTTTCTAAGTGATCAGGTTATTGCCAATGTCACTTGCATGCCGCACCAATATTTCTGAAAAATGTCAGTTTTGTATGTGATTATTTTGTTCAAGTCTGACCCCTATTATATATTTTTTAGAAAAGAATGTCATTTGTTTGATTTGTTTTCCATAAATAGTTTCACCTTTAGATCCGAGTCTGGGCGCTTTTCTTTTCAATTCACGTTGTTCGCTGATCGTGTTATGGATCCTTTCCTTGGACTTTTATAATGGGTATATGTTTATTGATCAGGGAAAATACTACNAAAAAAAATAATGTCAAAAAAAGATTGCAAACATGCATTCTAATCCTTCAGTTAAGAAATGTGATTATCTGTTGGTTGATTTTTGTAAAGATTAACGTGCTTTTTTATGAATCATTTTTGACAGACGTTCTTTTGAATTTTTGGATCGATTACTACAAGAATGGCAAACGCACAGCCTAGAAAAGTAAGAGCACAAGGGATCTGGGTATGTTGACATTGGGAGGGGGAGGAAGGGGCAGGATGGGGGATTGATGCACCCCAAATCTAATTCTGTATCTGCTTAACTAAAGGGGAGAGAAATTGTAGTCGAACAAAATTATATGTTATTTGAATTGAGTCGACAGAAGGAAGTTTACCTTTTTTTTAAAAAAGAATGTTGCTCTGTCAAATTGTGAAGATCGCACAGAGTTAAATAAGTGTCTGGCAACGGCGTTGAGTGGGTCGAGGCCCAACAGTTCCCATAGTAACGCAAGGAAGACCTTTGAAAAACTTATTCCCAAGCTCTTTTCCTTTTCGAAAGCCCGTGTGTGATTAAGAAGCTGAAGTTGCAAGAACTGATGCTGATCGTCGTGTTTAAATGCGTAACATGCTATCCTGGACAATAACATTTCTGGTATCCAAATTGAACTCAGCGACTTGCTTGGCTTCAACTTTCTTTAGATGCTTACGGTGAGATTACAATTACAACAATGTCTTTCTGCCTCTCCCTCTTAGACATGTAGGTCTTCTCGCAGAAACTATAAAGAAGGGTATCCATGACGCAGACTCGGAGGCAAGGGTAGAAGCTCGAAAGTATGTTGTTTTCACTACCTGTCATTATGTTGCTTTCATTAGTCGGCAGTAGCTACATGAGTAAAACTTTTATATTAATAATGGTCAGTTTAATTTTAATTCCGTTTATTATCTGTTTACATAATCATATTGATGTTATGCAATGATCCCTTTCCCTTCTGTGAAGTTGCACAGCTTTTGTTGATTCCTGAGAGCAAACGGGGCCAGAGATAGATGTTTTGGTGCTGTATGCCTTGTTTGTTTCTGTGGATTTAGCTTCTCTGTAACTGGTATAATTTAATTTCAGTCAAACTTTTGAGCGTACGATTCAAAATCTTCAATTACTCTGTGAAACTTATTGCTGTTTAAGGTGATTCTAAAATACATTTCAGATATAAAATAGCTATTTTAACATGGCGTCTTTTAAAAAGATTTCTCTTTACAAGAACATGCTAGATTATTTTTCTTGCTCAGATGATCTTCATTAAACCAAGCAAGTAATTTTCTCTGATCATCCTCCTTAAAAAAACATTGATATGTGGTGGACCAAAATCTTTATGTCCAACACAAATAATGTTTCCACGAGACACAATGTTTTTGCACTTTGCCCTTCCATTCACCAGACTGTGGAGAAGACAGAGTTAAAGTGTTTTTCATGTAAAGGATTAACATATTGTGTATCTCATCTTTGGACTGAACAGCACTGGCATCATTCCCAGTACTAATTATCAATCCCAGCACAGAGATTAAGTTTAAAGGTTCATTATTGGCCACAGTGCATCAACCCGAACCGATTCTTTCCAGTCAAGAGACATAATGTAGAGGTATCCAGCAGGGTGCTTCTGAGAATATCTCTTGTTAGCAGTCACTTGAAACATTTTTCTTCTAAAGACTTCTTTTCTGGACCTTGAACGTGGGGAGGGGGAAAAAGAGAAAAACGCCTTTCAATGGTTGTTCCTCTGAAATGCTCCACAAAGACAAGGTTGGGAATCGCTCCCTATTGGTGATATCAGTGGAGTGGTTGACCACAGAAAGCTTGATATTGGTAAGGAGATTGACCACCTAAAAATAATGTTGTTCTCCATCCTTTTGGAGGTAAGGTTGGACTGAGCATTTAATGTGCCTGTGATGATAAAGAATGATTTTTGGTGTTCATCATTGGAGAATCACATGTATAGGTAGATCTGCGTCGCACCATACCCGTTGAGATTTTTTTTCCACCCTTGTGACCTTAACCTTATCAATACCCAGAGACACTTTGTTATTTTTCTAACACAACAAAATTAGACCAACCATGTCATTGGTTCCTACTAATTTCTTCCACTTCATTTGAAAACTGGGAGCGTAATACTATTATGTAAGAGACTACACTGAGTGTTAACTGAATGTATTCTGTTCACATTTTAGAGTATACTGGGATTTCCACGGCCACTTCAGTAGGGAAGCTGACATCTTATTTAATTCATTGGAGCCTTCCTACCAGAAAGCCTTGCAGTCTCACCTGAAAAATTCAGACAGCATTGTTTCCTTGCCACAATCAGATCGCTCGTCATCCAGTTCACAAGAGAGTTTAAAGTGAGTTTAAGACTGGTGAACTAGAATCTTCATATACATTAAATATAGTACAAGTCAAATCGCATGATATCAGTTAAAAATGCAATAATATCGTCCAATGTGATAAGTCGCTATACCAAATTCAAGGATTATCTCTAATGTTTGTGATCTCATGTGACCTGCTATTGGTATGCTTTTGCAGTGTTTTTTGTACGCGTTTTGTTGTTAAATTTTATTAAGAATGTTTAGGAAATTTGTTACTGCCAAAGTAAAAGTAGTTGTGCGCAATTGATGGATGAAATGCATGGTGTCTCCAAATGTAATGGCAGAATTTAACCAACAGGATTTTTTTTCATCCCCAGCCGCCCTCTGTCTACAAAGCGAAGTCCAACTGGGGGAAGCTCAGTATCTCGAGGTAAATACTTTTGTTCTTAAAGAGGGAATGAAGTGGTCACTTAATTCCAAACACAATTTTTGTGGGTTCCAAACTTTTTTTCATTTTTAGCTTGTAACATTAGATGAAGCATTGCACGGTAGCAAAGGAAGACCTCAATTCCTCTCTTTTGGGGAATAGAACAACATTGGATGTAGAAAAACCTCCAAGGGAGGCTTATCTTCCCACACAAAGTGCTTGCGTATCAATGAATGGCCTGTAACGGAGAACGTTGGGTGAAGAGAGGAAACTTGTTAAACTTTTCTTAAAGCTGAACAAGGAATGAATTATTTTCCTCTGTAAGGTTGTTTGTTTTATCTTTTGCTCTTCAGAAGTTCTGCATTTTTCAGTCTTTTATGACACCATTAGTGCTGACAGTATGTAAAGTTAAACATTGACCAAAAGTCTGATTCTGTGTGGAATTGGATATCAGTATCCAGCTTAGTTGCCAGGCTGATCCTGCTGGAATTAATCCTTAGTGAGCACGAGTCCAATGGGCTTTGTACGTTTCCACTATTAGTTCCTGTAGCAGTATAAATTAATGAAGTATTAATAGGCCTGTGGTTTGTCTTGTAAATAATATGCTTTCTATGGTAACACATTCACAGCAATGCTTCTGATTTTCTTTTAATACTCAAAACCGGCAGAATTCTTGAGAAAATGGTTGGTTCATGGCAACTTTGAGTTTGGGGAATTCGAAGCAAACTGGATTCAGAACTATGAGTGCATGGATTCCTGTATCTTGTATTTGATATTGCTGAGGTTTTCTGTCCGTAACTTGCACCTGTTGTTACTTGACTAACCATAACTTGTTTGGTATTTTTTTGCTGAAAATTGTTTCTCAACTTCTCTTGCTGCAAGAAATTTCAGTGCTACAATTGTAACTACTACCTATATTGCGTTGATTTCAAGTATCTTTACAGAAAACTAAGCATGAATTCACAAATCTAGCAAACTTAATGTCGTCGCTTCTGAAAATTCACATGGCTCATCAGCCATTTCCTAAGAGAATTGAAAATCTGTGGCGCGGTTTAAAGTTTGGAGTTTAGGATTGGTGTACTAGATCCATTGGTTGCATTAAATGTAATATAAGAAGCAACAACAACAACAAGATTACATTGGTATAGGGTCTTTCACGTCGGGAGGACGTCCCAAGAGTACAGCATTTCAGACTATAAAACTGTAAAACAGCAAAACCGAATAGTGCATGAAGCAAAATGTGGTTGTTTTATTGTTGCACGTTTGCTGCTTTCTCGGACAAATTGTTGACTTGTTACCATTTTGAGATCATTTCCAGTCGTGATTTATCACTGCGTACTTCTTCTCCCTTCTCTTGTGAAAAAGCTTCCGCAGTGAGTGCAAAACCGGTCTCCATCCCGGGGGCCCTGCAGCGTTCTCGCAGTGATATTGACGTGAATGCAGCCGCTAATGCCAAGTCTCGTTTGACCGCCACTCCAAGCAATACACCTGGGCACTTCAGCTCAGCTGCAGCTCTACCTCCAGGATCGTATGCATCCTTAGGTAAAGATCGAGCTAAAACACACTTAATCTCAGCTGTTGCTTTACCATAATTCCTTCATACACATCAACCCCTGGGATCTCAAGTGTCACCATTTATCCTTCTTTGAATTTGAACATCGTGCTACGAAACCAATTTAAGAGGCACTTGCATTCTTTCTGTTCAGCTCCCAAACAGTTTGGGACAAAATGCTCTCATAACGTACCACTGCAGAATGGATCCCAGGAATGTTTGCACTGGAGTAGATGCAAAGATTGGCGGGGTTCAATTCGACAATGTTTTTTTATGGAGAGATGATTTGTGACAATGAGCATCATCACAGATGAAGTCATTCATGTGTTTGCACAGTCGCCATGGAAGAATTTACCCAGCACTTTTCAGTGGCAGTGATAATCTTGAAAGAAACTTTTCCAGGAATCTTGAATTCTCAACACGTTTTGTGTTGTCTAAAAGAACTCGTTGTAACTCCAAATAAAATCTTTAAAGCTTTGACTTTTATAAACTCAAGCCTTGTGGCTCAAGTTTGAACTAGTATTTAAAGAGAAAATATGACAAGAATGCTTCAAAAAATGCTATATTTTTAACATTTTTGCAACATACAATAACTTGTATCTTTCTTTGGAATATTGCCAGACTATGTGCAAGCCTTTACATAGGTAGAATAAGACAATATCTTCATTTTAAATCAAACTATAAATAAATAAAATGGTTTTATGCCCTCTAATCCAATCTATCAAAATACAAACTACTAACTAACTGCATTTCGAAGTAAACAAAATTATGCTTTCATTCAATAAATTCTTGCAGATCCACAGAGGACGTTAGTTTACTGCAGGCTAAACTAGTCACCCTATTTCTGGTAATCGTACTAACTATTCCCTGTCCTCCCTTTCCTTATTTTCTTTTGCTGAAAGACGGTACCTCCAATAAAGCTGAGGGTAAGCAGCTTGTTTTCTGTTACCAGCTGTCTGTCCCCATCATGTGTATTCTGGCTGGTATCTGTGATAACACAGTTTTTCAGTGGTTTCCATCTGTAACCATAATTGGTACCTCGCATGAAGTGTTGCATGGTAATGCAGCATATATATATGTATATTATATATATATATGTTGAATATATATACTCCCCCCAGCTCTATGTAACGTGGCAGCCGCGACTGTCAGTATTGGGGGTGATATTCGGCTTGGCCTCAGTTTGTAACGAGAACGATGTGCACTTATTTGGGTTTCCCCATTATAAGTGCACATGGTCGCACTTGCCACACTGAGTAAGAAGCTATATATCTATCCCACAGCATCTACAATCTGCATTCTTTTTTTATTTCATGACACAGCACAGTGTTTGATCTTTTTCAAAAGATGTGTGTTGCTCTTCAGTTCATACTAGCCCTACAATAGATGGACTCGAGGAAGAAAGGTAGTGCAACAAGTGAGTAAAGTTACCCCAGATCAAGTGCGTGACTTTCTAGTGGGGTCACTTATTTTCTATTAACGTCGCCACTCACCTGTGAAATTCATTTTGAAAAGAGGCTTGGGTTCATTGACTGAGAAACATTGATTGAGAAGCAGTGAAGAGTCGAAGACCCACAATAATATATTTGAGTTACAAAACAATTGAAGAGAAGAACGACATCAGTCAAGGAGGTGTGGTTATAAAACACTAAACTTGTGTTTCAAAAACCTGTTAATTGCAAGTGCAATTTGATATCAAACCAGATTTGCTGCCAGCATATCTTTTTAATGTTAACGTACATTTTAAAAATATACACAAGTGACGAGTTTTCCAGAACAAAGATGACGAAGGATAAAGGCAACCGGTGGTGAAGATCTATGTTCTACGGATATGTAGACAATTCAGCAAAGATGCGACCATAAATTATACCACTGCTACGTAAATGTATGTTGTTTAATGGGTTGCCTTTTAGATTGTCAGGATTTGCATTCAACGTGACTTGAACTAGTAAATCATGTTCTACAGAAGTTGCTTTCCATATTGATACTAGTCATTGTTCATTTTAACCCGGCTTTTACATTGATTATTGGCTACTGGAAAATATATATTTCAGCTACTATTGGCTGAATAGTAGAACAGAAAACAACACATTTTCTTTGAACTTTGTAGCAAACTGGTATTTGCTCAAGAAATCAGATTTTAGATGAAAATATAAAAGTCTATGCAGGTTTTTTGAGGGTCGAGTGTCTCTCCGTCTGTTATTCATTCCTTCGTTTTCTTCGTCATGTTTTACATTGTATTTTTTCTTGTATTGTTCGATTTTTTTTGTTGCCAAAATTTATTTTCTGACGTGACATAACTGACGCCTTCAATTATTTATTTTATCTTCAGGGGTTTCTGCAAAGAAGGATGGTAAGCGAGTTGTGCAGGCTTTTGTGCTTTTAGTTTTGTGAGTTTAGAGGGTGTTGTATTCTGTGCGCTAGATTTGCTGATCGTTTGGTGGTCTGTGTACATTTCTTATAGTTCATATAATTTTTTTAAAATCCTGGAAAAAATAGCTTTGTATTTTCTGTGGTGCATTTGGTTATGCAAAGCTAAGTAAGTATTTTAATACGTGTGGGTGTACTATGTGTGTGTGTGTGTTTTTATTTACTGTGTGACCTGACAAGTTGTGTAAGCTCATGCTACTCACACACACCTGCAATAGTCGGTCTCATGAAGCTCAAACTTCATTTCTCTCGATGTGCAATTTTGAATGCTTTGCTTAGTGTACCCAGTTGCAAAGCAACAATTATCAAAACCAAATCGTGTTCAAAAAAGATTAAGCACAGTATTGATTGGCGGCAAATCGATATTTGTGGTTGCAGAATCTTCACCCACTAAACACATTACCAGTCTATCGAGTGTTACTTATGTAATTTGATGCATCTAATAAATAATTGCTGCTACTGTTGGCTTTAGAACATTGCAGAGATCTGGAAAGGCCTGAGTGCGTAAAAGCTTCTTAACCCAGTGGTCGCTGTGACAAATTGTTGTCTGACGAATCTCATCTGAAAATCTGCTAATAAGTACACTTTGAAACTGAATCTGTTTTTGTTTTAATGCAATGTGGGTTGGAGATGTATTAATCACAGCTTCCCCTGATAACCAAATGGGTAAAGGTAGCCTAGTGTCACACTCGCACACAAAAAAAATTATTATATTGAACTGACTTCTTAATTTGTAAAGATAAACAACTCTTTGCTGTGCTCTGTCAAGTGATTCTGGGAATGTTGCTGAAGATGGACAATGAGATGATTTCTATTTGATGCGACTTTGAAATGGTGTTGTTTTGATTTCTGATATGATTATCAATCTGAGCGGAATGTTTGTATACATAGTGCATTTCCCAAATCAGCTACTGTATGGGTTTGATAAGAGTTTGAAGCTCCCTCTTTAGTAGCTCAGCTGAAGTAAACCATCCCTTGCGCTGCACTGGTATGAATTTTCCAAATCAGCAATCTTTCTGCCCCGAGTCCGGCGGCCCATTCGACTGGAATTATTTATCCACTAGGAACTGGAATGTGAATAATTTCACCAGTAACCTTAAAAACTGACAGAGAGATGAGACTGTCATTCCATTCCATCAGTCAGGACTTAAAGTGAACCCAGGTCCCAGCAATACTAATGCACTCTTATGCTCAGTGCCCTGAGGTAGTAAGACATTTCAATTTCCGCTGCTGGTTTTTTCAGTCTGTTGCTTTGATATCTCCTAGAATGCTCTGAAACCTTTTCCTTCTTTCTTTGGGGTATTGATTTTCCCAGCACTGAATTGAAGAAAGCCCACTAGTGTAACGGACCATTCATAATTGTTGCTCTTGACTTGACTTATAATTGTTGGCATTCACATCATAGTACTCTCCCTTTACACTTTTGGGAAAAATGATAGATGCTTTCAATTTACTCAGAACAGAATGACCCCCAAGCCCCTTTGTGCCTTTCATTTAATTGTGCTCAATACATCAATATTACAAGACACAGCCTTCACTCCAGTTGTGTTAGAAAAATATTTTTCTACCAATGTAATGAAGATGAAATCAAAGCTGAGGTTTGTTCAGTGTTGCTAAACTTCCCTCGTTTACCATCCTTTGTGGGATCAACTTCCAACCAGTCTACTCAAAGAAGGCTGATCCCTCTGAAGCTATTGGGCAGAATCCTCCTTTCCGTTTAATGCTGTGTGTACTGTACTTCTTAATCCACCTTTACAGTACTCCATAAATCTGCAAATTGGAGAGGCATCGAGTCCACTGGCTTCCTGCTCCACCCCTCGATTCCTACAAACATCATTTTGTTTCCAATAGTATAACTGAAGCATTACTCAATAGGAAAATTTTGCACGAGAGGAATAATGTGAGGAAGTGTTATTCAAGCTTATCTTTTACGAAACTGGTGCATTAAAACACATCCATCAAGTGATGGGCTTGAATTCTGATGTAATTACACTGCCTTAGCTTTCTCTGGATACAGCTCGTGCTCAGTTTATTTTGAGGGCTTTAACTTCCTGCAGCATGTGGAACTGCTGTAATCTGACAGTGTGCAGCAGTGATTGTCTGCTGGTGTGAAGATGTTGGCAAATTGTGATTTTATCGATTATTCTGGCTGCTTGCTTTGGCTGGCGATTGATTTCAGTGTTTTAATTGCTGCAATTTTTCAGGGCCTTGACACAAAAAAAGATTTTTTTCCCCGCCCCTAAGCATTTTGTGGTTCTGTGCTGCTTATAAACAACGTGCTGCTGATAACTGGTATCTATAAATTCATGTTTGAAAATAATAAAATCCTGAAAGGAAGTTTTATCAATTTTCCATTCCTTATTCATCTTCCAGCATTGTTGGTAGTTTGCTTCATTTTCTATACGATTTCTCATGTTCAGAGGGAAAGCTGTGGTAATCATTTATTGAATTGCACAGCTGAACTGTATGAGGTTAAACAGATTTATTGACTCTGCAGATTTGATACGTTTTCGATTTTTATGCTACACATTTAAATTTAGGTCTAAATCTTGGCAAGCTTTCAAACCCAGCAAACCTTTGTGCAAAAATGCTCAATGAAACTGTCCCACCCAACTCAAAATATATGGCATAACAACAATATATTAAAATAATTGTGAAAATTATCCAGTCAACCAGTGGTAATGTACTGTATTTGCAAAGTACTGAGTGCAGAAAACCATTTTGGAAAATGCAGCATTTTGATAACTTTATTTTTTTGGTATTTTTTCTGAAGATAATAGCTAGTGGTAGGAAAACTGGAATTTCCAGGAATGAAAAAGGCTACTGCAATCCATCAGTCCCCAAATTGCTTTTTTTTTAAAAAAAAGCTGATGCATCAATCTCAATCTCATATTCCTCAGTTGAATTCTTCACTGAATAGCTGTCTAATTCCTTCATGAATTAGCCTCATTTGCCTCAGCTATCTCCCTGGATAGTTCTTTCTACAGATTTAGCACTCTCTCTGTACAGTTTTGTCAGAGAAAATAGTAAGGAAGAGTTGTGGAAATGTTTTTATGATTCAACTGGGGTTAGGAATTATTTGCTACCTTATACGAAAAGATTCGCCCTCATCAATATACAGGGTCCCTGTGGCGTCAAATCTCGCTTGAATCAGCAATAAGTGGCAGACCTGCCATTCAGTCGGGGATTGTGATTCAATGTTTGAGTATACAAATTACTTATTGAAGTTCACAATTGTCTGGTGTACGGAAGTAACCCACACTTACAACCGTATTAAATCAATATAACGGGTTACATCAGGAGGACTTTTCAAAGTGCTTACACAGCTGATTGGGAGCACGAGCTGGGGTATGTGGGGTGGCAGGCAGAAGTGGTCAAAGACACAGTTGAAAAATATTTTGTAAGGCAGTTTTGAAAGTAAAGAGAGAGAGAGAGGTCAGGGTTGAGAGACTCAAAGATGAAGTCCCAGAGAGTGAGGGCAGAATGGCTGAAAACTTGCCTGTTAATAGTGGGACAGATCCGGTGGGAGACATTGAGCAGGTCGGTATTTGCTGAGTGGGGGTGTGGAACCAGGGGCGAGCCACAATTGTAATCTTGATGGTTTAATATACCATTTTCCAGAGAAGTACTAACCTTAAATCCAATTGCATGGAGCTGAAGCAGTAAGAATAAGTTTTATTCTGCACAGGAGCAAAGGAGATTGTTCAAAAGGTAATATTTTGTGTTTGGAGTTATCGAAGCACACGTTCATAGGAGCTCTGTGCCTCAATGGAAAATCCAGATGCTTTGTGGTTGAGACAATCCTGGAAATTAAATCTGCATAAGAAATTTTGAAGATTGTGGGTTGTGAGGATGAGGCATTCCCATGACGCATTTGTAATCCAGAATAACATTAACATTATTGTTCGCTTAATAATAATTGTAGAATATGTTCCAGCCAGGAATCAAATATAGATATGTTCTCTTGGTACTGTGAGTTCTATTGAAACATGGTGAGAATTGCTTCACCAAAGTAGTTGTATACATCCCTCCTTCATAGGTGATCAGAATATATATCCTTTTATAAACACAGAAGTCACTGGGAAAACACAGCAGGTCGAGCTGCATCCATGGAGAGAGGAAAATGAGTTAACGTTTCAGGTCTATGACCTTTTGTCAACTGGGGGATGTTGGAGGGGAGCAGATTATATGGACAAGCAGAGAAAGGGACGGGGAAAGGCAGACAAAGACATTTTGGATGGAGAACAGAAGATGATAAGATTAGAGGTGTTGATGGTGCAAGACAAAATGCAATAGAGGATTATCGAATATATCCTTTTATATTTTTCTGGAAACCTTTCTGTATTTTGAGTTATAGCGTGAATAATACACAATGCAAGTTTTATTTTGGCTCTCACAGTCTGTGGCACTTTGTTTCCCCCTCCCCCTTCTCAACCATGCCATTTATACATGTCTCAATCCCTGTTGTAAGTAATGGTGTGTCAATTTTGAAGGTATTGAACCGTGTCCTTTTTAGTTTCACTCTCGAGCACCTTGTGTATTTGTTCAGTAAGTTTGAATGAATTTATGCTGCCGAGTTTACCACACTTGTGCCGCTAAAGCTGATCGAAGGGCTAATTCGACCTGTTTTGAGTAAATCGAACTGATGACTGGAAGTGTTCATTGTTTTACCTTCTCTCACTGAGAGCATTTCTGTTTGTGTACAGGTCGTGTGCGCTCTAGACGGCAGAGCGCTGGGAGCACCACCAGTATAGCCAGCACACCCGCTGACACCAGAGGCAGGAGCCGAGCTAAAGTAGTATCTCAGTCACAGCGTAAGTTTAAAAAAATTATAATAATTCTAAGTCATGGTTTGTAGCTTATTAGAACAATTCGTCAGCATCAGGATTGATTTGTTACCAGATTGCAATTTCATATTTCCGTCCTCCTCGGGCCCCAGAAATAAATGGAGAAAGGTTTTTTCTCGTAATGGTTTAGCCACCCATTAACTGTTGGGTAGCAATTTGCTTGAATATTTAGCAATCAGCATTGGTAATAAAAGGGGGCCTAATGTGCGACATTTCTCAACAGAATTCCTTTAATTCCGGTTACCAAGCTCCGACAGAGTTCCAATTGATCATCGTGAATTATAACCAAATACCTTATGATGGAATCCTATTAATGCTACAATTTAGTCGTTAGATTCAAAATGTTAATCTTGATTAATTTGATTTGTTTAATATCTGCATTTCTTTTTATTCTCATTGTTTTACTGAAGGTATTGTAGCTCAATGATTTGTGTTGGGTTTACAGGAGCAACAACAACAAAATTACATTTGTAAAGCGCCTTTCGCGTCGGGAGAACGTCCCATTGCGCTGGACAGACAGAGTTACGGACGCGAGCTGTGGGTTGGGGTGGGGGTGGGTGGATGGCAGGGGGGGAAGCAGGGAGATCGAAAGCATGGTCGAAGAGGAGGGTCTTGAGGTGGGTCTTGAAGGTGGTGAGGGAGGGGTGAGATGGCGGGACTGCGGGGATGGAGTTCCAGAGGGTGGGTGCAGAGTGGAGGAAGGCCCATCCGCTGATACTGGGACGAGCAAGGCAGGCGGCTTGAAGGAATGCTACAATGTGGATTTAACCTCGAATATCCAATCTCAAACTGATTCATGTGAATTATTTTAAAGGAGTTAATTGATTTAGATGCAATTGGTTTTGCTAGATCCCTGTTCTGACTATACAAAACTCTGTGGATTGGGGAATCATCCTAATCTCACTTGACTCTTGTTATCTTTAATCATGAATGTCATAAAAATAACTTAAATTCAAGGTGACATTGCTGAGCACAAAAAAAGACAAAGTAACACAGAATAGAGTGAAATTTGTATGTGTATTATGCTCTAATTGGGTTTCCTAAATGACAGCTCTTGCCATGTTAAACAAGAGGGAGAATCACACATCTTATTTGTATGTGGGAGTGTTTGTAAGCACTTAACATAGCGTTTGATGTCGAGTGAAACCTGCATGAGTTATAAGCTCTGCTAGGCTGTGTGCAGTTGAAATTTAACCAGATATATAAGTCGCGGAAAATTCTGATAATATTTATATGTAATGCATTTCTTTAATCATTGACTTAAACTTCTTGTACCTGTCCCTTTGCCCCGCTTCCATGCTAAGGATCCAGATCAGCTAATCCAGCAGGCGGTAAGGTTTCTCTTCACCTATAGAAAAACTTAATCTGTTGACATATCCGGTCTTTCTGGTTGACACGGTGCCCAGGTCATGTTAACATGCACAGGGTTTCTTTGAGAGCGCTTTTTAACTTTATTTTACTGTGTAAGCCTCTTCATTTCTTTGACGTCTGGTTACGATCTGCTGAGATTTTGGACCATTACGGCTCCCCTACTGGCAGTTTGAAATTGTGCGGCGTCTGATGAAGTAAGGGGAAAAAAATTAAAAGAAAACAATAGGCATTCCAATTCATATTCGGTCTGCAATAAGACACACACAGTCACCGCATTTATTTCAATGCCTTTCATGGTAAAAGCTTCAACACAGTAAGTGCATTATCAGTAACCAATAGGGGTATTTAACAGAACTTTTGCTGATCTAGAATGTTGAAAATTAAGTCACCATCATGGCTGTTTTATTATAATTTGTTCATCTTGAAGTTAACCCATTTCATTTTTAATTTAATTCCTATTAGTATCCCTAAGTTTGATCATGCTTCCCATGCTTTCTTGTTACCGTCTATTTCTCCTATTCTAATTTCAAGTTTGGGTCTTTATTCCCGTAGCTGGCAGTAGATCGAGCTCCCCTGGCAAGCTATTGGGTAGCACGTACTCCGGCATGAGCACAGGAGCACAGCGGGTCGCAGTAGTACAACCATCGTCTGAGAAACGCAGTAAGATCCCACGCAGTCAAGGATGCAGTAGGGAAGCCAGCCCCAACAGGTTGGGGTTAGGTAAGATGATTACCTGATTATTAGCACAGAAATGTATTTTAAAACATGTTGCACTAACTCGTTATATCCAGAAACAATCAACTGATTAATATGGGTGGACTTTAGTAAATTATGTTTTTTTTCCTCAAAAAAGTAGCATTGATGTTTATTTCCACTCTTCAGATGGACACCAGCAGAGTCTACTTCATGCCAGACTTCAGCACAGTTACCCTGTTGTACAATATATTCCATTCATCACTATCAGTAATATAACAAAGAACTTTTTTTTCACGTATCTATCAATACAATCCAATAAAAATGTGTGGAGTCCGTGCCTGAAAAATGCATATAAATTCAAGATCATTAGTAAGGTGCAACGATTCAATGGGCAACAATTGTAAAAGACCTTACTGTAGCTAAACATACTAGTTTGGTGCTCATCCTATGAAATATTGTGTCTGCTTTGTTTTGTGTTAAGTGTACCAACTTCAGGGCAACTCAAGGGTATAATGTCATATTCATTGCACTAGGCACCATTTGATGTATCTTTCTCAAGGTGTTCCTTCCATAGCCAGCAGAATTAATTTGTCAATTGATTCACTCTATTGAATTCATTTTCTTTTGTTTTAAAAAAAAATCACCGGCTGATGTATGTGAAAATGCTAAAAGCTAGAATAATTATTGATCACCCTTCAATGAACGAAAAAAATTCCCTTCGCGTCTTTTCTTCCTAGCCATGCAGAAACAAATCAACACCGTATATAAATCAGACCGCTTATTTACCAATGCATTATGCTGTTCCTGACAGATCACCTCCATTAACAAACAGTAGATGAACTGAAAATTGTTGTTAGAATCATAGGATTATACAGCGCAGGAGGCTGCCTTTCAGCCCACCGTGACTGTGCTGGCTCTTTGAAAAGAGCTGTCCAATGCAATCCCGCTCTCCCCATAGCCCTGCAAACTTGTCCTCCCCAAATAATTATCTACTTCTCTCTTAAAAGTTGTTATTGAATCGGCTTCCACCACCCTTTTTTGTTCTGTGAAACTGACATAATATTAATACATGAAGTTCCCTACTCTGCAGCCCGTGTCTGCTCCCACACCAGCCTCCGGGACCTCATCACCCCCATCCTCGCCCAACTCCACTAGCTTTCCGTCACACAGAGGATACAGTTCAAGATCCTGTCCACACCTTCAAAGCCCTCCATAGTCTTGGTCCCCCCTTCCTCTGTGACCTCTTACCAACCTGCCCGCTCCCTCTGCTCAGCTGGCTCCATCCTGCTTCCCGTCCCCCGCCTCACCCGCCCACCTCTGGAACTGCATATCGCAGTCCTTCCGCCTCGCCCCCTCCCTTACCTCCTTCAAGACTCGTCTCCAGACTCTCCTCTTCGACCGTACCTTCGATCATCCTCCTTTCCCCCCCTCGCCCTCCAACCTCCCTGATCCCGACCCCCAGCTCGGATCCAAAAAATTGATTGTCCAGTGCCTTGGAACGTCCTCTGGACCTGAAAGGCGCTATACAAATGTAATTTTGTTGTTGTTACAAAACATCCTGACCCTTATTCCTGTTTTCAAGTCAGCACGCTTCAAACTAAACTACTATTTCTAATCCTGAATTGCACCCATGTAAAACAATATTAAAAGTTTTGCGGTTTCACATCGATTGCTGGTTTCAGCTCTAAATCTAAAATGCTTGATACTTTACTGAAGAAAAATTTTTCAGGCCTTCTACATAATTAGTGCTGGGTAGAGGCTTCAGCCATGTTAAGTTGATGTGAGAGTTTCCTATGAAAATTAATTCTGCCAACAGACTGCTGTTCCAAAAAGTTTTTCTTTGTGTCTGTGTTTCGATTTTTATGTGTAGTGAGAACAACAGAAAATGTCAGTGAAACATTTCAATATGTAATTCAGTTCTCGGTCACTTCTTTGAACAAGAAAAGCGTTCAGCCTTTGCCCAGTTGCTTCCATTCATACTTGCTACTAAGGCATCCACCTCTGCTGCCGTAAGTTTGTGCCCCACCGGCAGTGCTGTTCTGGACACCAGGTTTGATTTCCCCTCCACCCAAAAAAAAATGCCTGCTCTCTGCTCTGGTTCCCTTTGTGCTACACAGCTTAGCCCACTAACAAGAGCAAAGATTGCCTGCCCCCCCCACTTGCCTGCCTCCGACTCCCATGGGCTTGTGTATCGATGCTTTGTGTGGGGGTGTTGTATTAGTACGCTGTTTTACAAACATACCGTTGTCTCTTGTCTCTTCTGTATAAAAGAAAAACAATTGTATATGGTCTGTGGATGAGGCATATTGACAGTCAAGAGGTCTTGTAACTAGGAGAGTTTAGATGTGTCCAACAACTCCCCAGATGAAATCAGTCATTCACTTCATGGCTCTTTGTGGGACATTTGCTGTGCGCTGTATTTGCCTACAAATCGACATTGTACTTATACAGTACTTCAGTAAAAATCCTGTGAAACACCAGCACTTTGAGACATCTAATTGACGTAATGAGACGCTCTATCAATTGCAAGAAAGTAAAATAATCCACGTTCCTCAGGTGCCCTCTTTGAATCTGATCCTTTACATGCAATGTATGCCGATAATAACCCAGCACTAATTAAACACAAATAAACGTTACTACATAATCACTTCAAATATCTCAAGATTAATATTCACATTGTGTGTACATCTATTGAAACTAACCATTGGGTAGACTTTTTTTTGTAACAGAAGCCAGTGAATACTGAATGTTGACAGTATATGAGTATTGTGACACTTTACACACAAAGTGGTTCTGTAAATGAACTTCACCAGATTTCTACCACTCTTCCCAACTCATGCTAGCACGGAGCAGCCGTATCCCTCGACCTAGTATGAGTCAGGGATGCAGCCGTGAGAGCAGTCGAGATACAAGCCCTGTTCGGGGCTTTACCACGCTTGGTGAGTACCCACAGGCAAAAGAGCCATCATGGCTAGCCTCTCCTCTCCTCCCCCTTTGATCACCCGTTATGGTTACTCCTGGGAGGTAAAGGTGTTACTTTATTTTTCCCCCTTTTGTTCTTGCTCTACTTGCTTCCTTTAAGTCTGCCCTGAATCCGCCCTTTCTCCTTCTTCTATCCTCCTGCATGCTGCTTACTCTGCTGGGAACCCAGTCTGAACGACAGTGTTGCTTCTGTGCAGGATGCAGGCAGAGTTTGAGTTGATTGCTTTCAGCAGCACATCAGACCCTGACGTTTCATACTGGACTGTAGACTGTAATGCTGTAGAAAACCCTGTTACTGAACCTCACCCACACTAAAGCAAGTTTGTGCTTGCTTTAGTCTTTAGATATGTTTTTTTGCCGAATAGCAAGGTCATTTGATAGATATTTCCATTGCCTCATTGATCGGGTTCAATGCCTGTAGCATTGTTCAAAGCTCACGCATAGATTAATGTGTAGAAAAGGGCAGAAATTATCTAACCTGATCCTAACCCCCCCTATTTGAGGTCCTAATAGTCATGCAATCCTAACTGCCGTTGTATCCAGGCTATGCTTTGAGAACGGGAGTTTGTTTCTTTATGTTCTTGGCAAGTATCGGGATGAAAAAGATTCAAGTTGCTCTAGTTGTAGGATTGCCTGGCACAGCAAATTTATGTGACATTTCCATATCATAAGTAGTTTTCAAACGCATATGTGTGTGTTTTTTTAACCTACAGGGGAGAAGTAATTGTACATTGTTACCCTTATGTGTATGCTGAAATCTTGTACAAGTGGTTAATCTTGTTTGTTTGTGTGTTATAGTTGAGAATATTACACTGAGGGCAGTTTGGTTGTTAAATATGCCAAATCAAACGGCAGTGCCATGTACATTTCCAGCAGTTGGAGGAATATAGTCAATTTTATGACAACTTCATCTAAGGATTTATTGTAAACTGAGTGGTAAAAATTTTACTGAGTGATAAATTTCTGAAGAAATCTCATTAAAATCTCACACTAACTCACATTACCAACCAATACAGAAGTGTGCCTTAGTTCGGGCGTTTTTCTGTTCGAGCTGATCAGCTATTTGCACCATTGCTAAAATTTTAGGGAGTCATGATCCTTGGGCAAAATTCTAGTTATGGATTTTATACCACCACTTAATTGAGTAGCTGTTCAATGGCGTCTTCCATTTTGTGACAAAAGACTAGAATAAGTAAACAAGCCAATGCTTTTAGAATTTAAAGACAAAACCTTGCAATCTGAAGGGACTAACATTGCATTTCATCAGCAGCTTTATGTTGTGTTAGCATTCTCTGAATGAGATTCAGGTAAGAACTCCTGAGTTAAATTCCCCCCGAAGCACTGTTTGTACGAAAAGTATTTTGAAAGAACAAAAATTAGGATAAGTAACTTAATGCTACGAATCTGTCTTGGCACTTGGTGTTTTTTCTGAGGCCATTTTACTTTTTTGTGTCGCCATCCATCAATTAATGAGATAGCTAAATTCCATGCTTTTGGCATTGTAGATTGAATTAGTGCACAGAAGCCAAGTCCTTTTTGATATTTTTAAAATGGAAGCACAGAGACATATTGAGCCTCCAGTATTTTATTGATTTTTTCAAAAAAACACAAAGAATTCTATGGTGAAAATCATTAATTTATTCCAGTATACATTCTTTAAAATGTAGGAACACCCCCTGGCTATAAGGGGTCTAAAATCCTTGCGACATGCACTTCTGTCAATTGCTTTGAGTTGTGGCGTTGCATTTCTGTTGCAGAAACAAGATCAATGGAGTTTGAATGAATTGTGTTAAAATAGACGAATGTCCCTCCACTTGGAATGTTTATTAAATGTGACTTGCAATTCAATGCAGGCATAGCACACCCCACATCGTGTTGGTTCACTTACTTGTATGTGCAATGCTTCCCCACTTGAATGTGTGTGCCGTTCAGCTTCATAATGCACCTTGAGCTATATTTGCACATCGTAATCTTGCTGCTGTCCTTTAAAGAGTATATTGCTTTTGATGAATTGTCAGCATGACATATCTATAATAATATAGTGCTCTGTGGTTATATTGATTGCAAGTACTGTACTTTTGGGCATGGTTCCCTATGCATAGGGGTTCCAGTAAGCAAACACACAATAAAGTTCACACACTTATTGAACCTTTATTAACATTTTTTTCCCCCTGATTGAAACCCAGTGCGAACAGCAGACATGCCTGCAGAAGCTTAGTTGGACGTGTATGTTTTTCTAATGACTGGAATTCTTGGGAACCCACTGCCAAGTTATGACATTTGCACCTGTGTAACAAGAACTGAAGTGTGGAATGAATGTTAACCCTGAGGTATTGCCCTTCGTTTGCTTCCAGCTTCCCGTCGACACTCGAGATCAACCAGTGCACTCTCCACTGCTGATTCTATTGGGCAGCCAGGTGAACAAGTGCTACTTGCATGCTTGTTCTAGTTTTTTTCCCCCCCCATTTCTTTTTTAACATCAGTCAATGGAATTTGCTTCCCACATATTTTATTTTCTCCAAACGTTCATTTTTAGTTGCATACATCATAGGAGTCATCCATAATTGTCATTTTTATATAACGGTAAGAGAAGCACTCCAGTTCCAAATACAGCATAAATAGATTGGAAGAATGAATGATATCTTTTCAGATCGAGAGTAAAGCAGAAAAATATTATTAGTACTCTTGGGGAAAAGATGACAATTATGCTCCCAAAGGACATTTCATTTGAGTTTTTTTTGTCATAGTACAGTCATCATTATTTTAATTACATTACTCATATTTTCTGAGTCAGTGTACGTTTGCTAATTGTATTTTATGTGGTGGTTCTAGTTATTACTAATTTACATTTGCTGTACTTTACCATCTACTGATTTTTATTCTTTTGCCCTCCTACAGATTGTTTTAATATTTTGGCGCATATTGTGGATTTTCTGTTAAATTATAGTTGTGTGAGCTTAAGAAATGGGATAGAAATGTTTTTCTGTGTAGCTCCAAAATGAATAAGTAGCCAATGTTAATTTACTGCATCTAAAGTGAAGGAGAAATGAGCTCAAATTTGGAATTGTTTAGAAAAATGTAATTGTATTTTCCATCTTAATTCAAAAGTTGAATTTGAAAAATAAATTCCATTATTTTTCCATTTGGATCACTTCCAGGGGGTCATAATTCCTCAAAAAAAATTAATAATTTGGTCACTCTATCCATCAATGGTTGTGGGACACTGCTGTGCGCAATTGTCCGCTGCATTTCACCCACAAAATACACAGTCAATCCGCTTTATAGTAAATTCTGTGAAGGTCTTTAAGACGTTTCTATGACGTGATAAGGTGCTGTGTCAAATATTAGGATTATTATCATTATTAAAAACAAAATTGTGGCCACAATATGGAGTATTGTGGAGTCTTGTAGCTCGGTGGTTAGAGCACTCACCTGACAAGCAAGAGACCTGTGTTCGATTCCCAGCAGGGTGAAATGTTGGGCAAGTTTTCTTACCCCACAACCTGTTTACCTAGTAGTAAGTAGAAACCCGATTGTTAGTCGATTGGCGGATCATTTTTCTGGGGTAACAATGCCTTAAAAAAAAATGTAATATTAATAAATTGGTCACTCAATCCATGACTGTTGGCGGGACGCTGCTGTGCGCAATTGTCTGCCGCATTTCACCCACAAACTTTACAGTCAGATTCACTTTACAGCATATTCTGTCAAGCGCTTTAGACGTCTCGAAGACATGATAAGGTGCTATATCAAATACAAGTATCATGGCTTTCATTGTCTCCATTTGTATGAGAAACTTTCATAACCAGGTTAACTGGATTAGTCATTTTTTTTAGAGGGAGTACTCACTTTTAGTTTTATTTTGGTTCATCAGCTAGCTTTGTTCATCACAATGTTGGATATGAATCACCATGCTCTGCGCACAGAAGTGTTAATTAATTGAGCGACTAGTTTTCATTTTTATGAATCGTTTTTGTTTATTTGTTCTTCTGAATTTGGTGTCACATTCGCTGATCTCGTCCCCTCACCGCCTAATCCAGTTGACTCATCTGTTCAATTACAGCATCAAAATGACGAGGGCTATTGAGTTGTCTAGCGCCCGAATGGTCCAGAATTGTGTTGATCAGTTTTGCTAACTGGATGTATTTTCATTCGTTTCGACAGGCTTAGATAATTGAATGTGGTGCTTTCCAAACTGCTATGAAAATTTTTAGAGCCGTTCCATTAATTTTCCTTAAAATTTACAAAACACTTCTCTCAATCCCGTGAACTATTGCAGAAATGTTATGGTGCTTTCCCCGGAGAAATGAGCTGGATATTAAATGAAATGGAAAATACACTCCGCTAATATATCATAGGAGTCGTATTTCAGTGAGGCTTATGGTAGTAATATTGCTAGAAATAAAGATGAACAGTTGTTTAGGCTTTACCTACTTGACCTATTTTAACGGATCAGATTTCTTCATTGAATCTCTTCAATTACATGGTCTAGATCTGTCAATTTATACGTTGATGGATTTTAAGTTTATTACAACACTAATTATTTGAAGTTATTATTTGTGGCTCAATTCTAGTTCATGGCAAACGCACATTATGAATAAACAGTATAAGAATTAGCAGTGAGGTTTGAGCAATTTAATCTAAGAATGTAATCTGGTACGAAATGGATTTTAACACAAGACTTTTGAACGACCTTACTTTTGAGTGCCGGTATTTTAGTTAGTGTCTTCGATGCTTTGATTTGAATTTTCTCTAATGTAATCTAAATAATGTTTATATGGATACTATTGTATTGCTCAAACAGACAAATCCATTCTCTGCTGTTGAGATTGGATTTGTCTGTTTGACATTGACGGAGAATTTTATGCTTCATAGCTGGGAAAAGAACAGTCAATTCTAGTCTGACTAGTATTTTCCAGCTCACAAAGCACACACTGGCTATACTTCACGCCATATGATCTATTTATCTGTAGCCTATCCACCTACATAGATCCTTTTTCACCCACAAAATACACAGTCAATTTACTTTACTGTATATTCTTTGAAGCGCTTTGAGACGTGTCAACAACACGATAAGGCCCTATATCAAATGCAAGGATTATTATTGTTGTTGTTATTAATTCTACATTGGAACTTGAAGGGAGACTTTCCATGACAACCTCAGTACGATGGGAGAGCTGCTCATCACAACAGCTGAGCTCACACATAAATATCGCTATGGTAATCAGATTTATTTTTTCGCACACCTGAACAATTTTCTTTTATCTCAGATCGCTATGGGCTGGGACAAGCGGGTCGTTTGCCTGCCTCGGTAAACGCCATGAGGGTTCTCAACACGAGCACAGAGGTAGAGGCTGCTGTGGCAGATGCACTGGTAATAAATTTTTGAATGGTACACTACCACCCCAAAGGCCAGATTCAAATAACATTTCAAATTGCATCTTTCCTGGAAGTTCAGGCACCTTTGCCTGCAAGATATATGAGTCAGTTCACTTCACAGTATATTCTGCGAAGCGCTTTGAGACATCTCAATGATGTGATAAGGCGCTATATCAAATGCAAGTTATTATTATTACCTTTTTAGTTTATTTAAAAACAAGAGAGCTCCGATTTAACTAGCTTTATTGCAGTATTGTTTCACAAGCAGGAGTTATATAATATAGATGACCAAGACTGGTCTTTGACATCGTGTGATGTATGACATTTAGAGATAAATATGAAATACTTTTTCATGACAACTGCTGGAAAGTTATTTTGACAACTTTGGATGAGGTACTGTATTTGTTATTAATGATAAAGTATCATTTTTAAGAGTGTATGTGTTGTAATATACTAAGTTTCCTGGGATTTTCGGCAAGTACTATGTTTCCAGGGGGAGGTTTATGAAAATGACATGGTATTACTATAAATTGCATGACCTTAAGTATATATATATATATATATATATTGCTGTAACTTTTTACCTCTGTATTCTGATATCACCTCTGTCATTGCATAAGTGGGGTCATATATCCAGTTTGAATTGGTGGAATGATATGGAACTCCACTAATACAGACAGTGTGACCTTTACCTCAAGAACATTTGATTTGGACATCAATGCAATTGTTTTCATTGCTTTTCCCCAGATGTTTATTGCACAGCTCTTTTGCTCAATATAAAGCAGCCTATTGACTGAAGCAGAGTGTGTCCCCAACAGATGACTTTGGAAAACTAAATAGATATTCATTTAAATGACCTTACTACTTGTTCCACATTCAGCTTGGTGACTTGTTGAATGCTTTCAGGATTCACTAGTTCTTCCAATACATATTCTGTGATTACAGAGAAAATACTTGTGGTCATTTTTTTTTCTGTTTAGAGAACTTCTGTTGAAGTGGAATACAGTTCAGGTTGGGTGATTGCAATGGAACAAAATGTTGTTCAGCATTAAGTAGGTCTTGTCTATTATTTGTCTTTTTTTACGGTGGATCGATAAATTGTCAGAGAAAAGACTGAAAGCATACATATTGCCACTGTCTGGCTCAGATCTGTTTTTGGCATATAACAACTTGTGTGCCAATAGTGCTATATAATCAATATGCCAGTCTAATAGTGGATCTCTGTATTCTCCAATAGACACAATTTTGAGAAATTGCGGTCAAATATTCCTGTAGCGCAGCATCTCTCAACTGTCACCACCAGATAATTTGTGTTGATTGTGCTTTGATGAATCCATCACTATAATCCTTGCAAAAATATCAACCTGATTTTCTTTGTATTTTCTCCCCTGAAAATTGTTTGCTGCCATCAGCTGTTGGGAGACTCCAGGAGTAAGGTACTATTATTTTTGAATCTCTTTTTTTAAAAACAGTAATTTGCTGCTGGTGTTATTTGCCAGATTCCCTTACTATTTACACAGCGGTAGATGATAAGGGATGTATTACATTGCAGCGCCTTGGGACGTCCTCCAGATGTGAAAGGCGCTATACAAATGTCATTTATTGTTGTTGTTGCATGTGGAATTGTGGAAGTCTGAAATTGAATATTGTTCAGGCTGACACTTCAGGATACAACATTGGTTTATTTTTCATTTATGTTTTAACGTCATAAAAAACAGTGAATGAAAAATCTTCCTATTTCTACTCCACCCAAAAAACACACACAATATTCTTTAAAGAAGTGACATTTGTATAATGTGTAAGGCAAAAATGGCACATAACCCAAAGAAGGGACATTTGTATAATGTGTAAGGCAAAAATGGCACATGGCAGACACTTGGAGCCTAGATTGCTCTCTTTAAGAATAAAAGCTGAATGGTGCCCACGTCATCTTACCTAGCCACGTGTGTTACATCTATGCTCGGGCATCATCTTTCGTTAATAATTTACAGTTTTCAGTTTCTCTCACAAACTGCCTTGTCTCTCAGTGTCATTACCTGCGCTTTATTTATTTAGAAAAAGCCTGTGAGGAGGAGGTACGAGCCGTATGGAATGTACTCTGATGATGACGCAAACAGTGACGCCTCCAGCGCTTGTTCAGAGCGGTCCTACGGTTCCAGAAACGGAGGCATCCCACATTATCTACGTCAGACAGAGGACGTGGCGGAGGTGTTAAACCATTGCGCCAGCTCAAATTGGTCTGAGCGGAAGGAGGGGCTCGTTGGCCTTCAAAACCTGCTTAAAAGTCAGAGGACATTAAGGTGAGGTTTTGTAAATACCTCATTGTTAGATTTAATTCCTTGTACTTTAAGTTTCAAGATCTTCTCAATGTGCTCTCTTCTGCACTAGCACAAAGTTAATGACTTTTTCACTTTGATTGCAGGGACAATTTACTTTTTTCCCTAAAATCAAAGTAACCATAAAAAGGAGCTAATTTCCGAAAAACAAACTTCTTAAGGCAATTTAACGTAACTAGGAATAGACTTTGGATTCCATGTGTGTTTACGAAGAAGTTGATATCAAGACAACTAAATATTTTTTCATATCCCTTAATTTTCAAACATATTTACAGAAAGAGAACACAGTGACAAAAGTGTGCTTCAATGACCAAATGAATCAACTTAGCTTTGCTGCCAACTGGTTGCTCGGGTGCAATTGTGTAATAATCTTTACTGTATTTTGCAGCCGTGTTGAACTGAAGCGATTGTGTGAGATATTCACTCGAATGTTTGCGGATCCTCATAGCAAGGTAACCTCGTCTTCAGCCTTGCTGTTAAAGAGAATGTTGTGCATGCATTATATGTGAACAGCTCTTGCCTTTGTGTGACTGCATCATTCGAAGCTCTTTGATTTGCATGTTACTATTTTTTAAAAGATGTTCACTGGTTCAAAGGAATATTCAAAACAAAAGTTATATATTCGCACACTGATGTAAATAAAGATGAGAATTAAAACGTATCCATAGTGCAAAAGAATATTGTTTTCAGGAAATATCCTCTGATATTTAATTGCTACAGTGTCGAGGATTTATAAATGTAATTTTAGCTGCTTTTTAACTTCTTATTAATTGTGGGAGAGATGATTCTTGTACTTTATTTTATTAAAATGATTTGGTCACTCAATCCACCGCTGTTTGTGGGACACTGTTATGCACAATTGGATTATTATTATTATTGTAAAGACGAGAACCACAGCTTAAGTGCTTTTTTTTTTCATGGTAGTATTGCACTCCTTTCAGAGTGGCACAAAGTAGTCTGAGTGCTGCTGGTGCAGTGTAGTGAGCAGCAACCACAGAAGTGAAGGTACAAGTAAATCATGAAATGGGATTTTTTAAACAGTGTCCTAAAAGTGTACTTGCATCTGTATTTTGCCGAGCAAAACAAAATTCTGTTGGATAGTAAAGATTTAGCATTTTGTGTAACTTAATCTTAACGCCTTATTTTCTATGAAGTAATTAATGTAACTCTATGACTTGTCAGTAACCATTGCCGTTGCACTTTTGTTTCTTAAATTGACTGCGTTAATCCATGGTTTGTTTTCTTGCATGTCCTGTCCTTTGTTGGAACTCACAACAGAGAGTAAGTGTTTTTACTGTTTACTACAAACTAACAACTATAATGGATTACTCGAAATGTTGACTTTTGCTTGGATAGAAAAAATAGGTTTGGAATTTTGCCGAATATCTGATAGATTTTGGTGCAGTTAACACTGGTGTTGAGCCTGGTTCGACCAACTCAAAACACTAGCTATGCCTAGCTCACTTAAATTATTCTCCCCATGTTTGCTAGAGACATCTAGTGAAGGTTAGTGTGCTGTTACTGTGGTGAGAGTGGCAAGCTATGTGGTTTTAGCTGGTTAGACTCCAGCAGTTACCCCAACGCACACTCTGGTGTCCCCAAGCCTTGGCTCTTGCCGATCTGCGCCTAATATTTTCCCGAATTAGGTAAGCAGGATGCATCCCTCCAGGGAGAAAGTACGCAATGCATTCCATCAATCTACCTCTGGAATTTCCATGTGTAGGTGGGATGCATGGCATTCTCAGCTTGGTTTGGATACTCTTAAGCAACGGTGATGGGTTTCCGTATATGTTATTTGATCATGCACCAGGGTAATCAAAAATAATTACTGTGGTTCTTATTGTTGAAACATTATAGGGTTAGGTTTAGATGCCCGAGCGTATTCCTTTATTTTTGTTTCCTACGAGAAATTAGCTGTCCACAGTTGCAACTAACTATGCAAAACACACTACAGTCATACCTTTATTAAATGAGAGGCCAATGCTGAACATTGTTGATTGGGTTGATGTTAAAATGAGTTTGAGCTCCATAAGCTCCTTAATCTTTGGTTTACTGATAGATCTTCAGATGCATCTGACCCTAGGGCTGAGTGGTTCTGTATGTTTTCAGCTCGCACACTGTGCTTGATGCTGGGAGAAAAACAAGTAACATTACGGCATAATCTGAAATATGTTAATCTTTGGGAGTATTTCAATTGGAGATTTGATTTACATTGTATTGAATGAAATAGTTTAATGCTGTGTTACAATTGGTTTTAGAGTCAAAATTAAATGGGCTACAATGGGTTTATGTCAATTGCATTTTTAAAAACTTTGGTGTGTCCAATTATTATAAAATTATCATGAATTTTCTCCCCACTGGGATACACCTCTCTGCTCCTGGTCTGGCATCCTTTAGCAGGAGTGTGGTACCATGGACACTGGCTGACTGTCCATTAATGGTTCATGGCTTCAGTAGCGGGTGTTGGCAGACCAACTGACTCTAGGAGGTGCAATCCTGACTGTTCTCCACACTTGCTGACAGCCAATAAACAACCGATACTTTATTTATCCTGGGCACCTGTCTTTTGAGGGGATGGAATGGTAAAACACTTGGAGGGGAAAAAAAAGCACCAGTCCAGAGTTTAACGCAATCTTCCTATTGTTTTAGGTATTCAGCATGTTTCTGGAGACGTTGGTAGATTTCATAATCATCCATAAGGAAGATCTTCAGGACTGGCTGTTTGTACTGCTGACTCAGCTGTTGAAGAAGATGGGAGCAGATCTGTTAGGTTCTGTACAGGCCAAGGTTCAGAAAGCACTGGACGTCACCAGGTCAGCTTGGAGATCAAGCAATCTCATTTTATTTTATTACATATCATTGCCGTGCAATATAATATCCGCATTATTTGAGCACGACATTTTGATTGGATGTAATTTCCGAATTTTGTAAACTGGGTTACGGGACTCTTTAAGTATACATTCCTCTTCAACATTGACATAAAGAGGCTATTTATGACTTGTTTTGTTCAGGAAACGTGTTACAATTTTAACTGTTAGCTCACCCATTACACCTGTGGGATGAGTTATGTTATGAAAGGATAATCAATAACTAACTCATGCCAAAGCTGTGAACACTCACAATTGTCTGAAGTAGTGAATTTCCAAATATGCCTTTGTTTTCTTCACAGAGAGTCCTTTCCATTTGATCAACAGTTCAACATTCTTATGCGCTTTATTGTCGATCAAACACAAACACCTAACCTCAAGGTTTGTATGAAAGTTATAATGTACAGGCTAGATTTATGTAATATTAGTATTTAGAGAAGAGACAATAAAAACTACCTTTGGCTATTTTTTGGGGATTTTATGTCAAATTAGTTTTTCTTTAAATGGTTCTATCTTAAGTTCTTTCAACTGGTTAGACTTCAGCAGTAAACCGTTGCATGCTCTGGGATCCCCAAGCCCTGGATCCTGCCGACTGGCGCCTAGCACTTTTTGGGGTTAGGTAAGCAGAATGCGTCCCTCCAGAGAGAAAGTGCCCATTCCAATCCACAACAATCTGTCTCTGGAATTTCCATGTGTAATTGGCTGCCGCGTTCGCCCACAAATGTACAGTCAATTCACTTTACAGTGTGTTCTGTGAAGCGCTTTGGGACGTCCTCCCGACGTGAAAAGCGCTATATCAAATGCGAGGATTATTATTATTATAGGTGGGATACATGGAATTCTCAGCTTGGTTGGGACAGTCTTAAGCAACGGTGATGGATTTCCGCGTGTGTCAGACACCTGGCTGACCGAAAAAAAAAATTTTTACATACATTATCATTGAAAACTCTGTCTTGTTTTTGTTTTAACTCTATATTTATTTAAACCTCTTTATTTTAGGTTAAAGTTGCGATCTTGAAGTATATTGAGAGGCTGGCCAGACAGATGGACCCAGTGGACTTTGTTAACTCCAGTGAGACCCGTCTTGCTGTTTCCCGAATCATAACCTGGACAACAGAACCAAAGAGCTCTGATGTGAGAAAGGTAGGGAGTAGTTTATAGAATGTGTTATGTATTTTTACAACAATGTGGTGCAATCCTGGTCTCTCCCCTTACAATACCTCTGTTATTGTGCCCCATCCACTGCGACAGCAGTGAAATGAGGGAAAATTAACTGCTGCACTCACTGCGTGTTTTTTTTGTTACCCACTTTTAGCTGAAGGTGCAAAACGTACCTTACCGCAATACCTGCCTGTATTGCAGGAAGGTTTCAGTGAATCCTGAGACGGGCCTTGAAGGAGGCAAGGGAGTGGGCGAGGCAAAGGGACTTGGGATGGAGTTCCAAAGGGTGGGGGCAGAGAGGTTGAAGGCCCAAATGCCTTGCCCCTTTAGAAAGCAGTTAGATACAAAAGGATCATTCCATCTCACAGATGGCAAATAACTGGGCAGTTTTAAAAAAAAAAAGTCCTAATTATTCTTCCAAGGTCAGAATAATAAATAGTTCCTAAGTCGTGTACATGCAAAATAGTCATTTTATTTAGTTTGCTACTGGAATAATTATTCAAAGCGGACATTAGTGTCATAACTACTGCTTACTCAAGTACTGCAATGGGTTGTGAAGTTCAAACCACCCTTTGGTAAATATCTGTACTGTTGGTTAGATTATAAGAGTACTTTTAATCAGAATACAAAAATAGTACCAGTGACACAATTTGTGGAAAAATGCTCTCATGTATTGATCTATTTTATTAAGAAGCATTCACATGAATAATATATAAACCAGTCATTTAGAAGCAAGTGTTTTTGTTCAGTGGGATTGCTTCCTAGTTATGGTTTTAACCATTTTTAAATACTGCGAAACCATACTGTAAAAGTTCCTCAGGGGTCCTTTGGGCAACCCTTAAGGAATTTCATGTTGTTAAAGATTTGGCTGAACTCCCAGCTCTTGACTAAAGTTAAAAATTAAGTGGCATTCAGCACTGATGAATTTGGTTCCACGTGTGCAAAGCTCCACAGCATTACACTGGTCCTCGGATGAGATCGATGCTGAGGTGATATGATTGAAGTCAGATGCCTGTAATGTGCTCCTCCATAATGGGCATCATATTGAAATAGAGAGTGCAGTGTACAGTAGAACTTCACTAATCTGGTCAATCAAGGGACTGGGCAAAAGTGACCTACTTAGTGAGATGACCTGATTCCTGAAACGGGTCAGGGGTTTTAGGTCACTGATAGAATATTAACGGCATTGGTAATGGACAAGGGTTGATGAACATTCAACAAACATAGTTAGCAATCTTATTTAAATAAAGGCATTGTCACATTTAAAACAAGAGCTGTCATGTATAGCCTGCCTTTCGAGAATGCATCCAACCTGTGTTTTGCCAATGCATTGATCACAGCTAACTGTCTCTGACTTTTCGCTGTTTTTGATTAAGTCCACTCTCCCACATAAGAACAACTCCTTCCACGGTGGTATGTTTACAGCACGTACCAAGAATTGGCCGCCTGAGCTCAGTTAGGCTGCGGGCGCCGGGCGAAGTCGATTTTCCGCTCGCACTGCTTCCGCGATCCCAACACTCGCCGAGCATGCGCAACCTGAGCCCACTCCGCCCACCATAGCAGTGTTGAGGAAACAGTGCGAGACGCCCAAGACCTAGGGCACTGTGTACAGGTTAGAAGGAGGGGGGAGTTTGTACCGAGTTTGAAGCGGAGGAGGGAGCTGTAGCAGCCACAATCAATGACTTTTGTCCTGATTAGTGAGGTGCCCGGGTTACTGAAGCTGAACATTGACAATGAAAGAGACTGTGAAAATGTGCCTGCAAATGAGAGGCGGCTGGATGACCGAGGTGACGGCAAACCAGGTTTCTACTGTAATTACATAAGCAATCTTTTCTTCCTCTTCCCCCCCAGCCACACCTTCAGCATTTCAAAGAAATATCAATCCCATTCACAAAATTGCTGCATATTTTGGAGAGAGATCCCTTGTTGTGAATGAAATATCCAGGAGCCATGACTATCAAGCCTAGAAATGGGAACTAAGCCAGTAGAACATTAATTTTGTAATTTTAATCGGCACTATTCTGTTCACTCAAGTTTCTGGTTTTGTTGTTATGATGGTACTGTCATTCCCCTAAATTCTTACAAATTCTTTTGAGTTAATTAATGAGTTCCTCTTGCGGTGGAACCTGATAAAGCAACATGGGATTTCTTCAATAAATTAAAACCCTGATTAACCATTCATTATTAATATTAAAATGGACAGGCTTAGCATTCACTGCCCTGCTATACACAGTCATGCATATTTGTGTTGGAATCTCATTGAACAGATTTAAAGAAGTTTCCAGATATTTATTTCCTGAAAGCAACTCGGTCCCTTAATTGGGGAACTTGTATCTTTCAATGTACTTGTCACTTCAGCATTTTTGGAATACATTAAGGATTCATCAGATGTTCATATTTTTCTTCCACTTTCCAATATTCTTAAAATGGTAGCGCAACTGAAACAGCTCGTCAGTAACTGAGAACACTTTGTTGTCACTGAGAATGCTGAAAGATGATTGATATTCTACCACGGTTCCTAACATTTTATGACCTTCCTTAGTTCTGATATTCCTCAGGAGCATACCTTGGAGCTGTGACTTATGCCGTAATGGCTAACAAATAAGCCACAAATATAATTGATCACGTGATTTACATATTTCTATGTTGTTGTAATTATATTGACCTGTTGTGACTGTCCTCGCCCCACGTTTAGAATGTATGGAATGTTCAACCTTTCAAAACTGTTGGTCATTTCTAGTCAATTTGCGGGTCAAGGAGAAGAGGACATTCCGCTTATGAATTTTCTGCAGCACCCATTTGACCAGACATTTTCTCGTAAGCGGTTTGCAAAAGGTTGTGGTCTATGAGACTAACTTGTACAGAGAAGATGAGTGAGGATGGGGGTGGAACTGAATTGTCTGGAGGAGGAAATAAGAGTCAAGTATCGCAAGTAAAATAACATACAGTCATAATCCATCTAATCTCTGATAGATTCATGTTAGGCATTGCAAATCTTGCTATTAAAAGTGGTGACCATTTGGTAGGTCAGGAGTAGCCTTGAAACTATAGATGTTGTACATCAATAGTACAGAATTGGGATCAATTGATTAGTTCCATGATTCTGGTCATTTACATTGTCCCATTCTGTATTTTGTCCAGGTGTTCAGCAATTATCGAGTGTTGAATGGTTTTACGGGGTGGGGGGGAAATAAGCCAAGGCACGTTACTTGTCTTGGGAAGGTCATAGTTTTAGGTTGTTTATTGGCAACAGAGGACATGCTACTGCATTTCTGCTGAAATAAATGAGAAAGTGCATTTACACCATTAACTCCTCCAGTTAGGGAAGTAGTAACTTTGCCGGTTGTAAAATTGTACCTTTTGGAAAAGTACCAAGAAGTGTGTTTTGAATGTGAAGACTGGATAAAAGTGCATTGACTGAAGGCAGTGGGCAAACTGTTGTCTTAACCCTTAGAGTGGTGGCAGATTTACAGAAACTCCCACAGCTGCTGTGATGCTGAAAGCAATACTAACAATGCAGTGTAGGACATTGCAGCGTACAAATTGGCTGCCGCTTTTGCTCACAAATACACAGTTGCTTCACTTCACAGTAAAGTCCTGTGAAGCACTTTGAGACGTCTTGACAACATTATAAGGTGCTATATCAAATTCATGGATTATTATTACAATATTGCAGCAATAAAGCTACCCAGATATCAGCATTAACACTGAATAGTAAAACTAATTACTGAAATGTTAACACTAACATTTCAAATACTTTATCTGAGCATCTCACTCTCACCCATTTCCCTAATCTCTTCTATTCCTACTTATTTTGAATTTATTTTTTCTCTTATGTTTTCCATCACATTTTTAAATTTAAGATCTAATTTTTACCCAGTTTCTACCATTTACTTGGATGGAAGCAACATTTAAAATACAATTACAATACAATTAGATTTATATAATGCCTTTCATATGGAGGATGTCTCAAAGTGCTTTACACGGTTGGCTAGGCACCTGTGCAGGGTGGAGAGGGGGAAGAAAGATGACCAAAAGAGCAGTCGAAAAGGCAAGTCTTAAGAGGAGCTTTAAAAGTGGAGAGAGAGGGACAAGTTATAGAGATGGTTGTAGAGTCTGGGATGTAGTTCCAGAGAGGGGGGTAAAATGGCTGAAAGCTTCCCTCCAGTGGTGGGGCAGATTTCGTGATGGATACCCAAAATGCCAGTATTCACGGAAAAAATAGCCTTTTGCTGAAAACTTGCTTTATGGCTAATGAAAAAGCACTGATGTTTGCATTATATAAATCTATCCGATTTAATCTTTGATGCAAAAATTTAACTTTTCTTCAGGAGTTTAAGGGTTTAGTACATGAGTGAATGGATTATGAGTTATGAACAGAATTAATTGCAATTCAAAGAATTATAATAATCCTCATCGAATTTTCGTTTAGGGCTTAAAGAGCAGGTGTCCTGTGGAACATTAAAAAAAACAAATTATGGCAGAGAGATTGTACATAGAAATTTCTAGTGTGACACTCAAAACGAATGCAGTTTTTTTCCATCTGTGTAGTTGAGAAATTATTAATTTTTCGCTCCAATACACCACACACTTTGTCAAAAAATATTCACCATAAATTTTCTAAAGGAATTTCCAGTAGGGCTGAAAAAGCAAACATAATGGTCATGCGAAATGTGAGTTTATCGTTGTGTGTGATTACAAAAAAGGTTTTGTTAGGAAGTGGGTTTTATAACCAAACATGCATATTACCGTTGATCCCACTCAGGTCAAGGAAAATGCTCAATCCCTAATAGCTCCATGAGTCAGTTTTATGTTTCACTACAGGGCATACTACATTCTGTTGTTGATCGTTTCAATTCACTGATCCATAACACAGTGTATATTTTAAACTAAATGGCCTTGCTACAGCATAATTCTGCATAAATCTGCCATCGATCTCTTATTTTAAAATAGATTACAGTATAGGAAGGAAAAAACATTATTCCCAATGTGACCTTTTATAGAAAAATAATTACTTTTAGATTTCTAGGAGACCAAATTTGTTTTAAGGCAGTATATATACTGTACTTTGCAAGTAACGTATTTGACTTTATAATCATTTTGGTTAATAGTTGTGTAGCACAAGCATCTACAGTTTTGTAATTGTCGACAAATCTCAGGACCATGTTCAGTCAGGCAAATGTAATAAGAAAAATAACATAAATTTTTTTATTGCCAGTATATTGGTTCATAAACAGTCACAGCAGCACGGTGTAAGAACCAGCTGAATATGCCCAGTGTTCAGCTGCTGGGGCGAGCAATTGACTCCACTGAGTAACTGCAGTTTGTCGTGAAATACTCACTGAAGCACTAAGTTCTAAATGTTGTGAACTCTTTGTTCCTGCGCGATTCCATATTAATCCCTGCCTCTCACCAGAAGACATTCTGAATCATAAAAAGCCATTCAATAAAAATGATTTTATTCATAGCAAATTGCAGTTGAATATGAGAAAGTTGGGCTTCACACGTGTGTACCGAGACCCTGCGTATACATGCGCGGACACACTGGATCAAACACGCTACACTCCTATATTTTGTTATTTATAAAATGGTTCCTCTTCTAGCTTGCCTCTGACCCTGATGATACTTTTGAATACTAGTTGATGAGCAAGTCGAAATTTTCAGTCAGTGTTTCATTCTGATACGAATAAAACCTGTGGCCCTGTGAACTGAAGTGTGGTGATATTGGGCAATGAGATTCTCCAAAAGCTTCACTAATTCCCCAACGTGACTGGTGGGTGGAATATCTGACTTGAACCAGTTTTATTAATTTTTAAAGCAGTCCCCACTGGGTTCCATTGAGGGGGGGGGGAGAAAAAAAAGCGTGGTGAGACTGGTTTAACAGCCCCAAGCCAGCTCCCTGTTCATAGTTTAAATCTAAAGCAAGTGTGTGGTGTAGTCAGCACTGGTCCTATGTCGGCAGAGGCTATCCATCATCATGAAACACAAGTCCTCTCCATTTCACAGGAGAACACTTTGGGTGACTATTATTCTTGTCTGGTACTACTGGATTAAAAATAGAGTCCTTCGAAAAGACCCAAGGGAAGCAGGTACTTTACATGTGAAGTATTTTCTCCTCCAGTAATCTTTTTCAAATTGGTGGGTAACAACCATACTGCATAGTTTTGAAAAACCTGCCTGTCAACGCAAAGCCTTTTTACAGTACCTCCGTGCATGTTTCCTCAGAAAAGAATTGCGCTAGTGTTTAAGTTAATCCACGGCGCTGAATGTTTCTGCAGATGTTTGAACTGCTCACGAAAAATGCAGCAAGTATATTTCCGATAGAAAGGCTAACAAGGTGATTAGCACAGGGTGAATTGAAACCGCATTTACTTGATTGTTTCTGTCCAAGATGTTGTAAGAAAAAAAGAGCGTCTTGCTGAAGTTGATTACATTTATTAATCTTATTGTAGCAGATTGAAACCCGTGGCATTGCTTGCAAATAACAGAGGAGTCTTGCAGATGGCTTTCTTGCCTTCAAAGTTCATGTAAACTTTAAATTGATTATGATTTATAAGATCATGTAAAATATTGGCAATGTTTAGGATTAGTCGACGGGATGCATCTTATTAATTATGTTGCAAATCATCGTCGCAAGAATAAAATAGTTTTGTTTAGAATCTTCCAAGCGTTTGGCATTCCAGTAGTGAGCAACTTTAGTTTCTATCCTGGATATATTAGAGGCATTCGAATGTACAGTATTGGCAGCAAATATGCAACAGAGTGAATGGGAAACCTCAAGCTTTGCTGATCACATGCACTAAGGGAAGTAACACTGCTCGGTATGCATGAATGCTGACATGTCTGGATGAATTATGATTTACTGCTCTGTACTGCAGTCTGATAGCCAAAAGCCAACTTTTTCCAGTCATCTGATTGAATAGTGTTGCAAGACTGTCGAAGTTTGTTGTTTTCTGTCAAACTGGTACCAGGGAAAAAATCATTGAGCTGCATTAGTCCTAGGAGTAAAATACTGGCAAAGGATAGAAAACTCCCATGTATCCCAGATCTCTTTTTTCTCTCTCTCTCTCTCTCTCATTTACGAGCTGAATAGAAGTAAATTCACGTTGTAAGTAAAGCTACTTGATTAGATTTCAGTCGTTGATGCCCAAAGAAGATATTTCACCAGCATTAGTTTCAGTATACTTCCACTTTTTGGGGAACAATTCTGGAAATGTGTTGATGTTTCAGGATTCATGTGATTTCATAAATTACATTCAGTCCAGCTGTGTGCTTTGTAATTGCAATATTGCTATAATTATTTCAGCGTGCATCAAACAGTTCTTATTTGATTTGTTCTGTTGCTGGTTACTGTCGCATATGTAGCATTGGACCTTCATCTATCACCTGCTGAATAAAGTCTGTGATCTGGCGTTAAGGGCACAAAAATCCAACAGTGGCTTTGCCAGACAGAAGAATTCAATGTTGTCAGTTTATTTACGCTTTATAGAAGTTATCTGACCAGCTTCAGTTTTTGCAAGAAAAGTGTTTGGCATTACTTTAAAAATTGATCTTGTGCATTGCTTTATTCCTTCAATTCCACAAACTTTTGTGTGATATTACTTAATGGACTGAATTTATTCAAATTACCATTTGTTTGACAAAATCAATCGAACATATGGATTCCAAATTATTTGGCAACTGTTGCTGCAACTGAGAGCTGTAAAAGGTGCTAATACACTCACTTTTCCTACTTGCACTAGGCTGTTCTTCACCAATGGGCAACAAGAATGTGCTTTGTTCTGCCATTTCAGACGCTACAGTTTGCAACCAGATTTAATTCCCGCATCAGGAATAAAGAAAGGAATGTACTTTCAGCCAAGGACACAAAAGTTATAAATTTGGTTGCCCGCCTGAAAGACAAAAGCTAACCTCTCTATAGCTCCCTGTTGCAAACGCGCTGTGAAATGTCCAGTCGACTGAACGACCGATTACTTTCTGTCTTGATTTGTCAGCTTTGATATAAATTTGCTTAGTCGTGGAACTGCTGTTTACTGTATACTGTAATGTGTCTAACACACTTCCCACCTGTCAAACCCAGAATATGCATAATTGGTTGAGTGATGAGGTGTTGGCCAGGTCCTGTTCGAGTACCTCCGGGCCTGGTGAAACTGGCCTGGAAGAAAAGTGTAAACAGGTAGAAAAAAAATCACACGTACTAATCTCAACCACCACTGCTTTCCCCCTTCCCCCCCCCCCCCCCCCTTCTTATACCATCGGCTCTTTTTAACTCAGCTGCACAAGAGAGTCTTGGCCTGACTGCTTCAAAACTGATGACTTCTGTGTAACATCCATGTGTTTTTTCAGTCTGCACTGTGTTCAGCACATAGCTGGTGTTCTTTGGGGACAAGGTTTGTTTTGGAGTGTTATTTAACAATATCCAGCATTTGGGCCCTGCCTTGCTGACTGCTGTTTGCAATGTTGGAATGCATGCTCATCTGTTAACAAATAGACTCAAAAGTGGATTAACAGTTCTATAGGGATGTGAGCAGTCCGTGGCATGGGTTTATTTTGGAACATGGAATTTGTCTTTTCAAAATTCACCTATTCTAACAAATGTGAATTGGATTTCTGCTAACAAATTTACATTTAACTCTGTATTAAATTTTAGCCTCAAATGATTCATAGGTTTGTTTATAAATAAAAACAGTAGCACTCTTTAAGATATCTAAATTTATGCCCTGATACAATCCATTTCTCTGTGCTTACACTGAGTTTGGAATCAATGTTCTGATAACGTGAACAAAGAGGGTAGCTTCCCACTGAAAGTAAATCTTTCATGTGTTCGTCAAATATCAGAACCAGATAAAGAGAATGAAAATGTATCCAACATTTCACAGCATGCTCCATCCAGCAGGTTTTTATGATGCATCCAGCCAGTCAGAAACTAAAGGTGCAAGTTGCAGAACTAGGTTTCCTTTGAAACATTGACTGCGGACTTTATGCTCTGTCTGCTTGTTACGTTACTAGTCTTTTAAAGGAAACTTGTCGTATATTTAAGATAAACGGGGTGTATTATAAAAAAGTTATTGACTGGTTTACCCTTTATAATGTGACTTTTTTTTCTTAGAAAGAAGTCAACACCTATACCTTTACATTAAAAAAAATCATTAATTAAAAATAGTTTTTATATAGTTGTATGTTTCGATAATATCTATTACTTTAGCTGTATAAATCATATCACTGGAAAGATCAACGCTGTCCTTCAAGACGATTGGCAGTCCCAAGTCAACTAAGTAGGAACCCAGTTGTTAGTCGATTGATGGATCGCTTTTCTGGGGGTAATAATTCCTTCAAATTTTTTTAAAAAAACTTGTCACTTCAATCCACGACTGTTTGTGGGACACTGCTGTGCGCAGCAGTGGCTGCCGTGTTTCACCCACAAAATGTACAGTCAATTCACTTTACAGCATATTCTTGAAGTGCTTTGAGACGCCTCGAAGATGTGATAAGGCGCTATATCAAATACAAGGATTATTATTATCAAATATAGGAATTCCAGGCTTGCAGACCAGAAATTTCTGATCATTATTGCCTCCTTTGAAAAGCTGAGCACAAAGTGGTGACATTTGGTGTTTGCAAAAATGTGCTCACTTTTTTTTTTAAAAAAGCCAATAAGTTTTAAATAGTTCAGCAAATGCTGGTAAGGAGCACTCAACTCTTCAATTGGGTGATTTTGGTGTCTACGTGGCTTAATTAGATGCTGCAACCATGTCTTGGGGCTAATGGGAGTACTCTGAAGAATTTTCAATGCAGTTCATTTACTTTTTTTGTGCCTATAATAAACATCTCCTTTTGGTTTTGAACAGGCTGCACAGATCGTACTGATTTCTCTGTTTGAGCTGAACACCCCTGAATTCAGCATGTTACTTGGTGCCTTGCCAAAAACATTCCAAGACGGTGCCACCAAGCTCCTACACAACCACTTGAAGAACTCCAGCAACACCAGCGTGGTATGTGTTCTTAACCATTCACAAGCAGGTCCTTCAATGGTAATTGGAAGGAGGTGTCGGATGGGCATTATTGGGTTGTACAGATGCCAATAGAGTAACTTTGATTTCCTGCTTCCCCTCTCTTGTCCTTGTATGAGGAAGGAAAAAGTATATAGCCTAGACTTGAGAGCAAAATTGACTCATCTGCTTGGGGTCTTCGGAAGAGCTATCCAGCTAGTCCCACTCTCCCGCTCTTTCCCCCTAGCCTGGCGATTTTTCTTTCTTTTCAAGCAAATATCCAATTCCCTTTAGTTGTTGTCGTTCTATACTTCACTATATTCATGGTTTGCTTTTCCCCACTGCAGGGATCACCCAGTAATACAATGGGACGCACGCCTTCACGACACTCTAGCAGCCGAACAAGCCCCCTTACATCTCCGACCAACTGTTCCCATGGAGGGCTCTCCCCAAGGTAATGCCATGTTGTAAATTTTTGGAAATTCCCTAATAACTGTTATGTTTGCAGGAATTTTCTGGGCCACGAGAGTAAACTGCATCGTAGAAAATAATAATCTCTGGCAGTTTTCTTTGTCTTTTTGATTTTCAGAATGGGAGAAAAAGTCATAAATACCTTTTATTTCATATTAAAAAAAATCCTTTTTTTATTTCATCAGTTTACCTTGCTGCCTTTTTCACACAAGCTACTGTGGTTCATTACTTGCAAATTCTGTGATGGACACAATTTTTGTAAGAATATGTTCTTTTTCAATTTAAAAACTCTTGTTAATTCTTTGCATGAAATTAGCGCATTGAATATAAGATTCAGATTCTGAGTCATCTCTTCTATCGTGAACTGCTTTCCAGATTTTTTAGAGGTTATTCTATTTTAAAAAGGCTTTATAGCATTTGAAGAAACATTGCCATAATATTTCCCCCCCTTCCATTTCATTGGCAATGCACATGTGAACTTGTGCAATTTCTGTTTACTTATTCAATACCTTGTTCTTCAGCGCAAACCCTTTTATTGCTTTGAAACAGTGTTCATTCTGAAAGTGCAGAGCAAAGAAACACATTAATCCTGTTTCATAGTTTTTTTTAAAAAAATTATTGATGGGAGTTGGTAAACCAAATATGTGCTATTCTCTTGGTGAGATAAACTGGTATTTCTGTCTTATTTCACATTTTAAAAGCATGGTTCTTAGATAAATTAGCACTATTAACTTCTGGTTACAAATATAATATTGCTAGTTTGAGGAACCGGTTTATTAATAGAAATCTGATACCAAAGTGGAACACTTCATCCGAGAAACCAGTAGGTTCACGTATAGATTACATTTCCAAACAGGATTGAATGGATACTGATTATTAGTTGTGTTTAATAGGAGAGATATTTGCCCAGGTTCTGTCACTTGGAATTTTTGTCTTGCATGCCATTATTTTGTGTATTGAAAACGCGAGCAATTTAGGTTCATGTGAACATGCAGGTCGCTTGCAGTTTGTACATATCAGGTATCTTCACGTCATCACTTTTTTTAAAAAAAGTGGTTTGTTTCAAAGCGACCTCACCACATCGAGTGGTATGATACTGGCTGACGAGGCATTCGGCTTCACAGTGACTGGCAGCAGAAAAAATAGTGACGTGTGCCAGTGAGAGGAGCATACTTCTTGGAGCTCAAGCATTCACGGGAGCTTAAAAACCCACAGCCAAACAAAATCCTGTTTTGTCGTTTTTGAAACCATTCATTTCTGAGCTTTTAAGCCAGCAAAAACAGCTCGAGTCGTCCCAGGCTGAAATTGTGCATCTTTTTTTTATTGCCCGTGATGACAAATGACAGTCGAGGGATTTTCAGCGGGTTATCATTATGCCCTGTCCTTGTGGGTGTCGAGTGATGCATGGGATGCAGCACAGGAATCCTTGATTGGAGCCAAGCAATTCAATTCATCTTCAGTTTTGATGATGGCATTTTCCTGCAATCGGCTGACATGGGTCATGCTGCTCATCAAAACCCTGTTAGTCAGAATACTGCTCACAAAATGCTAAGTATTTCAATGCAATTTATGGCCAGTTGGGATATATATATAATATATATATATAAAAATAAAAACGGTGGTTGGTGGCACTTTTGCCTTTGGTTCAGAAAGTTATGGGTTTAAGTTCAATGTCAAGACTTGAGAAAACAGGACTTTAATCAAGTGCAATACTGAGGGCAACCTGGATTGTTGGAGGTGCTGCCCTTCAGGTGAGATGATGAAACCAAGGTTCTGTCTGCCTGTTCAGTTGGATGTGAAAGATTCCATTACACTAACGGAAAAGAGGAGTGAGTTTCTCACGATGTCCTGGCCAACGAACCTCCAGATCAATTGATCATTTGCCTTATAACTCTTTGTTTGTGGAACCAGCTGGGCGCAAATCACAAGCAATTGGCTACAAAGTTATTTGAGTCATTTTGGCAATATTATGGGTGCAATATAAATGCCAGAATCATTATTATAATTGTATAGTTTTCAAATTCAGTACTAAACTAAATTGCAACTACTGTTCGAACAAAGGCATTTTCAGTCCAGTTGAATACAGTTCTATAATGTGAATTATCAAAATCGACCAGAAAAGACATACTTAGGGTGTGTGTGTACTTGATCCTTTAGTAATCGTTTAATTGTTCAGCAACTTTTTAAAAGGTGAAATAGAAGTGTTTTAACTATTGTGCAGGTGAGAAGAGACGAGGGCTTTAGAGTTCAGAGTGCAAATCTGTCGCTTCTAGATTCCGCACATGCCATTCTTCTGTATTAATGTTCCCATTATTCTATAGTTGAATTTTTGGAACGTTGTTTGGGAAAATTTAAGGCATCGTGTTCTGCATTATCTGAGGGACAGAGTGAAATTTTCACATAATTAATATCTCGTTTGTACCTCCAAATGGGATATTAATGATGTGAACATTTCACTTTGTTTGTAGCCATTGAATGTAAATGTCCTCATTTGCCCTGTTGCCCTCATAATGTTTGCCTTCAAAGTTTATTCAAATACTTGTTTAAAATTCAGTCCAGATATATGAATATAGTGGCCCTTCCTTCCCATCTAATTTACCAGCCTCAAGCTCGATCAGTCCATTTATACGTTTGACAAGTTTCACTTAGATGTGACCAGCAACTCATTTTGACATTGCAAACAATCGGAATGTTTTTCATGGTGTTTCTTGTATTTCTTTCTTGCTTATTCTTGATTTATTCAGAAATGTGCAGGTGATGCAGTGGGATAACACAATGTAATTCATTGTACTTATATGCCATGGGTTCAAATCCATGGGGTTTGAACTCAAGTCTCCCTCTCACTGCTAGCTACAAAGATTATATGAGTTTGCAGAGTTTTGGCCCATGTTCTTGTCGTCACAGATCCACAGGCTCAAAGTTGAGTGAGGTTGATGTTATTCCTGGGTGTTAGGAGTGTTCCTTTTCTTAGCATTGAACGAGCATGCTAATTTGCTAAGTACATTTACTTTGAGAAGAAAATGTGGATTTGTTTTAGTGCTGTAAGTGGCCAGGGAGTAGTGTATAGTTTTTCACCTCAAGATGATAATTATAGTTTTTCTTGTGCTGCAATTACTGGTTTCGACAGCTACAGTGAGAGAATAGACAAGCACAATTAGATTGCTGTTGGCAAATCTCTGAAAACCTTTGAGAGTCTGTCATTTTTTCTATTTTTGGATTGAAATTTTTTTTTCTCCGATAAAAAGATCTCTAGGGCATACTGTTTGGTTGATGTCCTGCCGAAATATGGTCTTCATTTCATCGTACAGTAATTCTCATTTCCACAAAAAGAGTGGATACTGGCATACCCCTCTAACTTGCTGTGGCATGTGGGTTTGTAATGCTACGACAATACTTTTCAAAGGTGATTCTGCTGTCAAAAGCACAATCATATATAAAGGTGCCTTTCTCCTCTGTGTTTTGTCATAGCCATTTACTTGTTATAGCAAATGATAAATTCAAGTTGATGGGGTCTAATATGGCGAATCCTTCAATAAGGAAATCAAAAGTAAGTTGTGCCAACTCGCTGGAACTCTACTCTGACACAATCTACAATCAAACTGTTAATGTGGGTTAATGTAACGTGTGTTATGTACTCCCAGTCACCAGAAGAAGGTCCTACTCAGATTCCTGATTAAGTCACAAATTGCCACCTATCAGACCCCATTATGCAGATTATCATTGCTCAAGCTGAACATAAATGGGACCAAAAGGATTGTTCATTTGAAGTTCAGGTGCTGAAGTCTGTAAAACCCCACATGTACTTAGCACGTTACTGAAAATGTGTCTTTAGGTGCGTGCTGTGCAATCACTGTGCCTTCGTGTGTTGTGTGCTAGATTAACCCTGGTGCTGCTTGCTTGGATGAGGTGTTCTGTTTGCTATTTTGCTTCTATTAATGTTCTTAAAAAGTATTCTCCAGTAAAGCATGACCAAAAGCCACTCGGAATATGGTTTTCTTTCTCTTTTTTGCCTTTCTCGTTCTCTCTTTCACTGACCGCTCTGTGACTGCAGTCGATTATGGGGTTGGAGTGCAGATGGGCTGTCAAAGCATCCCCCCACCCCTTCTCAACCTCACTCCATCCCCACAGTTCCTATCCACAAGACCTTCAGGCGTTCTTACTCCCCCAGGTAACTAACCCCCTCTCCAAACTTTTCAAAATGCCTCGTTTCATCAGGCGACTCTTTATTTTGGGCTTTAGCATGGTTTATTGTACGTTTTTTGAGTGGCTACTGCTTTTGTTTGCTCTAATTCATTGCCATGTTTTTATTAATCTGCATCTTTCCTTCAAATAACAACTGCTTTTTTTTTACTACTTCATGAAAAGGAACCATTGCAACTGTGAATGTACCATCAGAGCTGAATATTTCATTTATGGTTGGGGTAACTGATAAACAGCAATACAACTGAAAGTGTTTTTTTTTAGTTATCTGTGCATAATCGAATAATGTTATGCAGAATGCTGCCATGTTTGAAATGTCAGCAATGCTCTACCAGTTCATGTTGGATTTAGTAGCGATTGATTACTCACTGACTGCTTTCGTCCTTCAGCATGCTGGACTATGACACAGAGAACCTGAACTCCGATGAAATCTATAGCTCTCTTCGCGGAGTGACGGAAGCCATTCAAAACTTCAGTTTCCGCAGCCAAGAGGATTTGAACGAACCCATCAAAAGGGAGGGGAAGAAAGACAGTGACAATGTAGGTATACTCGTACACAGCATATGGGATCATTAAAGCAGACTGGCAGAAGGAAGGCTGTTAATGATACTGATGCTCAAATCCTCCCACGGTGTGAGGGAATTATCCCCTCCATACCTCATGAACTGCACACACATTCCACTGGCTCAAAACCCTTAGCAGGCTGTGAGGGATTTATTTTTCAGGTGAGAAGAAATGAGTTGGTACTCACCATTTTCCCTCATCCAGGGATTATAGATGAGAATTACTATAATTAGTGTTTATGCATTTGTGTTGATTTTAATGTGTACTTGCAAAGTTCACAAGGAATCTAAAGAATTGTCACTTGTCATGTAAATGATATTTCCCTTGTTTATCCGTGTGCTAGTGTTCATTGCTCATCACAGAAATTACAGTGTGGAATGTTGCAGTTAGCTCACTCAATGCTGTATGCAGTTAATTCCAATTCCTGTTCTTTCCTGTACCTTTTTTTCTCAATATTTATACATTTATTGGCCATCAGTGCCATTCTCGATGCTTAGTCAATGACGAATGCACTGCTGTACGCAATTGGCTGCCGGGTTTCATCCACAAAATATGCAGTCACTCCACTTTACAGTACATTCTGTGAAGCGCTTTGAGACGTCTCGAAGACGTGATAAGGCGCTGTATCAAATGCAAGGATTATTATTTGGAATAAGGTTCACTTATGACCCCAGTTGTCTGCATGAATATCTTTAATAAGGTTTATCTTATACCATTTTTGGTTCCAGGTCTCTCGCGATGGAGGAATTGCGTCCCCATCCTCTGACATTCGTGGAGGAGGGGAACCTATGGAGGGCGGGAGAACAGCTCTCGACAACAAAACCTCTTTGCTTAACACTCCTCCCCCGCGGTGTTTCTCTGGGCCTCGGACTCGGGATTACAATCCATATAACTATTCAGATACTATCAACGCTTTTGACAAGACTGCGCTCAAAGAAGCCATGTTTGATGATGATATGGAACAGTTCCGTGATGGTTTGTAACATTTATTTTACTCAGTGTTTCGCTCAAAATAATATTAATATCCAACCTTGTTGGTTTACATGGGACAAATATGAATTGGAGAGCAAAGGAATTCCTTTGACTTAAAATACTTCGGCACATGTGTTTCTGTGAAAATAATTGTAAGTATTAGATTTACCCCTCACACACTTCCAAGATAACACTCTTGGAACTAGGTGGCCATAATAATATGTTCTCATAATTTTGCATTTGAGTGGTTGTTAACAGTGCCTCAAGAACTGTTTACTTACACTTGGAATTGAAACTACTTTAAGGTAGAAATGTCCACCTACTGTTTAAAATATAGATGTTACAGTTGATCGGTGTTATTCAACTCCATTCCTCTGTGTTTGTTGCACACTTTCTGTGGTAAGTGACATGCATTCATTTGCTAGAACATACCAAAGACTAGAGGATTACAAAAATCAATTTGTGGTCTGTGAAATTAATGGGATCTAAATTCAGTAATTGTAATTTATCAATTGTGGATGTGGGATAAGTTGCCATTTAAGCACCAAGTTCAGTTACAAATTTTCCCTACGAAATAATCATTACACTTTACTATAAAACCTTTTGAGCGCTTTGAAACATCCCCCCTGAAGTGCAAGGATTATTATTATCAAATGCAAGGATTATTGTTTTGCAATATATTTTATTACGATATGTGTTGAACTTGATTTACTAACATTATAATTTCCATATAACAAAAGTGTTATAAGTACTGGCAGGAGTAATTGAATTCTGCTTGGGACATGAATGTTCGTGGAACTGTGCCAAGAAAGGTAACTAGTCAAGGCTGCCTAATGTAGGTTGTTAGATTAGAAATATAATCAAGGGTTGCGCTTGATTTGCCTTTAGGGTTAGAAAAAAAAACTTTCACAGAAGATTGAATCAGTTGGGTTGAGTTCAAGAGAGAGCAAATTAGAAATCTTATTTGCGAAAGAACCCAACTTCATGGGCTGAATAACCTTTGCTTGTTCCAGGTATTTATACAGTCTTAAGTAAATACATACTTTTATGCCAATGTTCCTTGGAGCAACAAATCTGAAAATCGAACTTAAAATGGAACTTTAATTTTTCACCCCAATATTGCAATATTGTGAATTCTTTCCCCCAGCCTCTACCTGGAATTCTAGAGCGAGTATTCTCTTAGACTTTCCTTCCCTTTAATTAACACTATTTTTGTAAACTTCTGGCTAGGTCTTGTATCATATCGCTAGTTCTTAGATCAAGAGGAAGGTTTGCTTCAGTGGCATTGCAAAGATGATTAATATGCTAACTACTATATTTTGATCACTTAATTCACGACTATTTGTGGGACACTGCTGTGTACAATTGGCTGCCATGTTTGGCCCACAAAATACAGTTTACAGTATATTCTGTGAAGGGCTTTGAGACGTCTCAATGACATGATAAGGTGCAATATCAAATACAAGGATTATTATTATTATTATCATTAATTTGTCGTCTGTTAAAGACAGCGTGATTTGCCGTGTAGAGAGAATTCGTTGTTTGAACAATTTTAGCAGTGACAAATGATGCTTTCTCTCCACCAGTTCCCATCGACCACTCTGATCTGGTTGCTGACCTCCTGAAAGAACTGTCGAATCACAATGAGCGAGTGGAGGAACGGAAGGGAGCATTACTGGACCTCCTAAAGATCACCAGGGAGGACACACTTGGGGTGTGGGATGAGCACTTCAAAACTATTCTGCTTCTTCTCCTGGAGACCTTAGGAGACAAGGATGTAAGTGACACCACTTGAAGGTGGGAAAGCCACCGTTTTAGTTTGGGTACAACATGGTGGTTTCGACTGGAAACCAGTGCTGGATGCAAAATAGCCATGCAACCTGTTCTTCCGAAATGTGGATGGAAATTCAGACTTCTGTGGCCTTGAATTCAAACAAACGTTGCCATTTAAAGAAATAGAGTGAAAATTTTACAAGTTAGCCAACAAAAGTTGTTCCAAACCAGGCAAAAATTAACCAACGAGTATAATTTAGGAACACCCTGGGATTTTATGAAGATTTGATGCTATCAGAATTGCAGCTCTACTGTGCCTACTGTGATGAACATTTCTCATTTACTAGTTACCTAGGGTTCTCGAAACAAAAACTGAAGACACTTTTAATACATTTCAAAGTACATCTGACTGTTTCATATTCCACTATAATCAATTAAAAATAACAGAAAGGTTTTGAACCAAAGCCTATTTAATTGGTCAGAGAAACAACAACAAAATGCAATTATTTCGGGCCTTTCTCGTCAGGAGGACGTCACAAGGCACTGAGAACCACTTCACTGGATGGAACTCGTTTCATTCGTACAGTCCTTGCAAATCGTGGAGTCCTGTAGCTCAGTGGTTAGAGCACTCGCTTTGCAAGCGAGAGACCTGAGTTCAATTCCAGGCAGGGCGAAACCTTGGGCAAGTTTCCTTACTCCACACAGAGCCTAATAATAATCCCTCCAAAACAAAAACAATAATAAATTGGTCATTTTCAATCTACGACTGTTTGTGGGACATTGCTGTGCGCAATTTGGCTGCCGCGTTCGCCCACAAATATACAGTCAATTCACTTTACAGTGTGTTCTGTGAAGCGCTTTGGGACGTCCTCCCGACGTGAAAAGCGCTATATCAAATGCAAGGATTATTATTATTATTATTATTATTATTATAAATCGTGTACTTGTGACATGAGTTTACCAGGAATTACATGAACAAGTGATGTTTATGCATTTTGATCATTGATTTACTGCCTGAATTAAAGTATATCTATTTACTCTTTCAAGCACTCAATTAGAGCACTCGCCTTAAGAGTTTTACGGGAAATCCTACGGAACCAGCCAGCGAGGTTTAAAAACTACGCAGAACTAACCATCATGAAAACGCTGGAAGCGCACAAAGACTCCCACAAAGAGGCGAGTATAATTCAATTCAGATACTTCAACTTCTACCTTCGGTGTTGTTCATTGTCAACATACTTTGTTTCAGTAAATACTGCAGCAATTTACAAAATGGTTGTTTTTTTAAAAAAAAAATGATCAGCAGCATTATGGGGAAAAAAACAAAAGTTTCTTGTGTGAAGTAACTATTTATAGTGTAATGACATAGCTCAGTGTAATTTTAACTTTACATTGCCTATGTAATGTACAATGTAATATTCAATGTTTGGTGTTTCAAAGAAACAATGCGGGAGTCATTTAGGATTTAGAATGACAGCAGAGAAGAAGGCTTTGCTTCTAATTTTGATGTGTTTATATGCATTCCTGCATATGGGGTAAGCATATTATTTAGCTTGGTGTGGTGAAAGTTTAGCTGGCCTGAACGTTGCTGGGTATCAGTGGTTGGGTTGTTTATGTCCCTTGCAGTAGATTAGCCATAATAGCTGTAAATTCAGGCTACCAAGAATCTTATCATAGTCCAAAATTGCTTTGATGTCCTATTGCATCTAGAATGAATAATAATAATAATCCTTGCATTTGATAGAGCGCCTTAGTGTTGAGCCGCCTCAAAGCGCTTCACAGAATATATTCTAAAGTGAATTGACTGTATATTTTGTGGGCAAAGCATACTCTACACTTGGAAGATACAGAGAGCTCCAAAGCTGTATTGGGAAGAATGTTCTCTGTATATCGGACTGTGATTCCAACAGGAATTGGAACAAATTCACTTTGGCTTAAAATAATTGCATACATTGACCAGTCCCACTTGGAATGCCAACACTAAATGAATTCTCCATTATCCGGCCTTAGGTTAAACCAGTAAACGACAGAATTTGTACGATAGGAACCCGGGAGGAGTAGACCATTCAGCCCCTTGAGCCTGTTCTGCCATTCTATAAGATCATGGCTGATCTGTACCTCCACTCCAATTACCTTCCCGTGCCCCATATCCGTTGATACCCTGAACTTTCAGCATTCAGAAAACACCCCTGTGAAGTACAGCAACATTTACGATGTGCACTAACCGAGACTGAACGATCTTGTTAACATTTTTAGTTACACTGCGTTTAGTACATAACTGGTTTATTGCTCTCAAGTCTTTGTGGAGTTTACTCGCAACTGTCAGCCTTTCAAACAAGAGCAATTGAGGTACCTGCTTACCTGTGTTCTAGTTCACTAAAATTGAGGAATATTTCTACAAGATCTTTTTTGTTACATAAAGAGATTACGCTTCTTTACTGCCTATAAATTGCAGTGTTTTATGGGCCTCAAAACACTGTAACCTGGATATTTCTAAGTGCGTGCTTCAAATGCAAGGATTATTAAATTCAGCTGAGTGAGCATAATGCGCTTGATTTTTTTTGTTTACTTTTACAAGTACTGCTGCTTAATACAGAAGTGATCTTAACTGTCAGAGTTATCTCAAGGTCACATGTCAGCTTCTATCTTCCTTGTACTCTTTGATCGAAATGTGATGGTCCATATTTAGAATTCAGCATTGGGCTGCAGTTTCTAAGTTGACATGTTTCACTTAAAGACTTCACTTTCTTTCAACTCAATACTCTTTAGATTATGCAGCTTCCACTGGAACCTTGCATAACGGACATCAATCTCAGCCTTTTGTCATGACAAATGTTGCTTGCCATCCATGTGGTGACTTGCTATTCACAGTTATTTATGACGGCAATGCTAACCTTCCAGAGAATGCTTGGTTTGTTCATAGGCAGTTATCTTGTATAGGCTCTGGACTAGCGACCCAGAGGTCATCCCACTATGACTCTGTGTAATTCAAAAACTGTGGTAATTTGAGCGAGCACCAGTAAAAACAACAACAAGATTACATTTGTATAGTGCCTTTCAGTCGGGAGGACATCCCAAGGCGCTGGGCAGTGTACAGCATTTCAGACCTGAGGGTCAGGGAGGGAAAGGGGGTGAGCGATGACATGATCGAAAAGGAGGGTCTTGAGGAGGCACTTGAAGGAGGCTAAGGAGGGGGCGAGGTGGAGTGATTGGAGGATGGAATTCCAGAGATTGGGGTAGAGCGGCTGAAGGCTCTCCCGCCAATGGTAGGGCGGGTGGGTCGGGGGACGTGGAGCAGGCCGGAGTCGGCTGAGCGTAGGGAGTGTGCAGGTTGGTAAAGGGTTAGGAGGTCGCAGAGGTGGGGTGGGGCGAGGCTATGGAGGGCTTTGTAGGTAGGACCAGGATCTTGAACTGGATCCTCTGAAGGATAGGGAGCCAATGGAGTCGGGCGAGAGTGCGAAAGATGGGGTCACGGAGTTTGGCGCGGGAGAGGACACGGGCTGCAGAGTTCTGGATTATCTGCAGCCTGTGGAGGGAGGAGTTGGGAAGGCTGACAATCAGGGCGTTTGTATAGTCGAGCCTGGAGGTGATGAAGGCATGAACAAGAGTTTCGGTGGCCTGAGGGGTGAGGTAGTGGCGGAGTCGGGCGATGTTGCGGAGGTGAGGGAAGGCTGAGCGGGACATGGCTTGGATGTGGGGAAGAAAAGACAGTTGAAGGTCAAACAAAACACCTGGGTTCCTGACTGGCTTGGTGAATCCTGGAGTTGCGGGTGGAGGCAGAAAGATAGAGTTGGGTGTCGTCCGCATACATATGGAACTTGACCCCATGTCTGCGGATGATATCACCAAATAGAAAGAAACTGAAGAAATTTGTTATTGTGCCCTGGTTTCAGTTTCGTAAGCCCAGACATCACGTTAATGGGGCATATAGCCAAAAAGGCTGCCACAGCAGCATTTCCAATGCACGGAGCACGTCCACAATCAGAGGCCATATCCTGCCCACACTGATGTCATGCTCAGTGTACCTGCACATGCTCACTGGCATCTAGTGCTTTTAAAAAAAAATTCAAACTTTCGAATCATTAGGGTGGCCACCAATGTCGTTTCATGTCCACTGCACGTTCTCACTATCCACAATCATCTCCTGCACATATCGTGCTTGTGCTGGAATTATTAGCAGCGACATTGGAAGCCATGTTTAGTCCGCAGGAAGCCAGGAGTTCTGTTTTAAGTTTTAAAATTCACTTTTTGATGAGTTTAATGTATTTGGAGATTCGTTCTGCTGGTATCATTGAGCCGCTGTGCCTCTAAAATAAACCTTGTGCTGTCGTTTCTTGATACAGTTTAGCTATTTGAAACAATAAAATGTTCTGTGTTTGTTCGCTCAAGGTGCTAAGGGCTGCAGAAGAGGCTGCTGCTACATTGGCAAGTTCCATACATCCCGAACAGTGCATCAAAGTGCTCTGCCCCATTATCCAGACAGCTGACTACCCCATCAACCTCGCTGCCATTAAGATGCAAACCAAGGTGATCGAGAGGATCACCAAGGAGTCCCTTCACCAGCTTCTTCCAGACATCATCCCAGGGTTGCTTCAGGTACACAAATTAAACCCAAATACCGTGTTTGAGGTTAGAAAGAGCAGATTTTCATGGATTATATGCATCCTCAATGGATGCTTGACAAGGTTATTCACCGGTTCTCCATCTCCATGAGAGAGAAATAAGTCGGATGGTATTGTATATGCATGTGCTTTTTACAGGCAAGTTGGAACATTGGAATAATCCTGTTGGCAGGATCAATATTAGTTAGCGCAGCATGTAGAGTGATGCTTGATTGAAGGAATAGATGAAAGGATGTATTTTACTGTAGATTTATGATTTGATTATCCTCCTTGTGGAGTGGAGTCCGTTTGACCTGAACTGGCACCAAGGTGATGTGTTTGGCAACAGGATGTCAGAATCGAGCCAGCCCTTTGTGGTGGTCTCAGTAGTCCAGTTCCTGAGCCAGGCGGGTCCACAGTATTCCAGGGCACTCACTGCTGATAGCAAGACAGCGCAGCCTGGCTCATCGGTAACAGTTGAAAGGGCAGACCAGTTACTGGAGGCAGAGAATCCTCCCACTCAGCTTCTGTTAACGCTGCAAGCCAAAGCCCTAACGGGTAGGGTGATCCAAACTGGACAAGCAGCGGGAAAGCTTGCCTCTTGGTGTTTTCAATAGCAAACTGCGTTTTTAACTGGTTAGACTCCAGCAGTTACCCCAACGCACACTCTGGGGTCCCCAAGCCTTGCCAGGCTGCTCCTAATACTTTCCGGAAATAGATTAGCAGGTTGCGTCCCTCCAGGGAGAGAGTGTGCATTTCATTCCAATAAACATCTCTGGGATTTCCATGCATAGGTGGGATCGTGGAACTCTGTTTGATTTGGATGGTGATGTGATTTTGCATTTGGCTGACCAAAAAAAAAATGTATTTGTAGAAAGTAGATTTATGATCATAAATAAGGGAGAATGCAAATATACCTGGTAAACAAGATATCACGTAAATGTTTGGCAATACTGTGGAGGTGGGGGAAGGCAGAATGGGTCACGACATGGATGGGTCATGTTAAATGTACTACAAACAGGTGGTTTTAGATAAAAAATCTCTGTTCCTTAAGTGTTCTGCATTCATCTAATGTTGTCAACTGTTGTCTTGTAGGGGTATGACAACACTGAAAGCAGTGTGCGTAAAGCGAGCGTATTTTGCCTGGTGGCAATTTATTCTGTAATCGGAGAAGAGCTAAAACCTTACCTTGCACAGCTCACCGGAAGTAAAGTAAGTGTCCTTTCCAGCAAGGTCATAGCCTTCAGAAAAGGCTCTTCATGGGGTGTTAACTGCGTATGAGGCGAAGAAAGCCAACTTCAAAATCGACTTTCACTTGTTATTACCTTTTCTGTAGCGTATTAGAGCACTCGCCTCGCTAACGAAAGGACCCGGGTTCGATTCCTGGGCCGCGCGAAACCGTAGGCAAGTTTCTTTACTCCACAGTCTCTGTTTCCTAGCAGTAAGTAGGAACCCGGTTATTGGTTATTATTAAAATAATAATAATTTGGTCACTCAATCCATGACTGTTTGTGGGGAGCTACTGTGCGCAATTGGCTGCCGCGTTTCGCCCACAAATACACAGTCAATTCACTTTGCAGTATATTCTATGAAGCGCTTTGAGACGTCTCAACGTCGTGATCAGGAGCAATATCAAATGCAAGGATTATTATTATTATCAGCAGCTCTGCACCAGCGTTTATCTGATGTCAATGTGATGTTATTGACTGTATACTTTCCTCGCAGATGAAATTACTAAACTTGTACATAAAAAGGGCCCAGACTACAAACAGCAACAGTAGCTCATCGTCAGACGTATCGAGCCACAGCTAACGAGAGCATCGGTGGTGCTCAGTCGGACGGGAACAACCGTGCCTCTTCAGTGACCTTTCTGCTCAGAGTTTGAGATCCACGTGCCCATGGAGCTGAAAAAAAATCGATTGCTGCACATCAGTGTTTGTTCTTAAGTAATATATGCAGTTGCTTAGCTTTAATCTTACAGCCGGTTACTTAATCATAATGTGATGCCTGTTTAACATGTGACCTGTGAATAGAAGAGGGCCTCAAGTGAGTCTGATAGTCGAGTGATAACAGCGCTGATTTTTAGGTTAAAGACTTATGTCACCGTAAAACCCGGGTATGCAGAGCGCATACTTGGCATCGGAGTATTACACCACGAAATAATCTAATTTGAAGTATTATGTAAAAAAAAAATAAGAAAGCACAGCTCTTTCCCTGTGTTTATTCTTTGCATTTCACTCGATTTTGAAATCGCCATAAATATATTTTAGCGAGTTGCTGTTTAGTTCTAGCCAAGTTTGTTGCTGAGCCAAGCATCGTACTGGAGTTTTTACCGATGCAAAAAAAAAAAAAAAAAATGAGAGCAGTTTGCCAATGTTCACATTTCATTCCTGAACTGCATTGCTGTACAAGGGGAGCCCGACAGACCAGGGCACAAAGTCGACCATTATGCACAGCAAAATAAACAAGACACTGGTGACTTTATTGGACAGTGGGCAGCACTGTGTAAGCTAACAAGTTGACCCACTGTAATTCAGAATGTTTTTGAACATTTTATATCCTCTCTCATCCTTGTTCCACACACCACCCCACCACCACCACCTCCCTGAGCACTGATTGCCCTTCTTGATTGAGCCACTTTGTCACTCCAACACTGTTCTTCCGCTTTACAGAAGCGCAGGCCAAAATAGGTTGCCTGGAGGGAACTTCTGCCCCTTTCATTCCTCCCATGACTTAGTTCCGTCAGCTCTGCAGTGTAATGGTGTTGGTAAGAATCAATGAGGCTCGATCAAGTAGGGCAGTTGAGCTCAAATGATTAGTCGCTGGTGGGGTTTGAACTTGCAGTTGGAGGTCTCACTGTCCTATAGCTACAGAGCCACTCATTCATCTACACCCGCAACCTGTTCAACTAATAATAACGTTGCTTGTTGGGACCCACAAGCATACACAAGTCTATCTCAAAATGTGAGTTAGGAAAGCAGTGTGTAATTTAGCAGGTCTACGTTACCATTCCTCTGATTATTTTAGAGTGAGGTGGGAAGGAAGAGCAGTTGAAATGACCGTGCACGAGTTGGGATAATTGCCTTAAGTTAAATTCAGGTCCACGTTCCAAACTTGGCCAGCCAAACAGCGATTCACAGAAGATTCTTTTCTGTTGTGTTGCGGCAGATTCCAGGTAACTCGATAGGATCTGTATTTATAACTTATCACTAATCAATGATTCTTATTTATCCTCCGTGTATTATGAGTAAGGGAAGCCAGGAATAGGAACTCCTGTCTCTTTTCAATTCATTTTATTGAAGTTCCAGGGACTCTCCCTGCCTGCATCTTATAAAAGTGACTCCCCCCACCCCATCAAACGAGCGCACGTGCACACACACACACATATGTTCAGTTCTTTTCTGTCACACCTTCAGCAGTAATTGGACTAGTTGCTTGTGTTTTTTACAGTCTGTTTTGGGACTGGAGGCAAAAGAAATTTCTTGCGATTTTTTTCATCACTGAGTATTGTATTCTTTTACTTTCTTGGCGTTATTTACAGTAATTCTAGGTTTAAAATTCCCCATTAGCTGCGGGAAATTGTTCCTTGCGACCGAGGTTAGTCCCTACCTTCACCACTTCGCAGCTTACGAATCCTGATAGAAATTCCAAGGAAGGTGGAAATGCCAAACTGAGCTCTGCACTCGTCCAGGCTGACATAATAATAATTCTTGCATTTCTCTATCCAATGCAAAACCATGAGGTGGGCGTCTGAGAAGCCCGAATGTAAACAGAGAAACGGAAAAATTCTAAGAGATTCCTGTCTCAATTAGGTAGTTTCTCCTCAAAGCAATCAAAGGCCTCAAAAGCATCAGTAGGAATAGGAGGGCAGCCGAAACCCTTTCTCTTCGGTGACTTGCCTTCTTCCAGGGTGGAGCTGAGTAAAGGGCACAATGTGAAAACAGGGAGCAAAGCACTGCCAATGATGCTACGGCCAGAATAGAAGCCAACATTAATTGTTATGCTAACAGATGAAAAGGCCTTGTACAATTTCCCCCAGCTCCGTTTTATGCTGTTGGAATAAGAACCTTTCTGTCTCCATCTACTGATCCACTCCTGGACAAGCCTGGAGTTATACAGTAGTTATAAATTAAGGTGCCTGGCTCTCATTTGAACACTATTTCTCTGATCAAAGATACAAATTATAGCCACCAGAGGATGCTCTTATAAGATACAAGAAGGGAAGGTTATGTGGGGTCTTTTTAACGGGATGCTTGTCCTTGCGATTTTTTTTTTTTCAATTGCATGTCATACTCAATGATACACAGAGGATAACATTCACTTAAGATGAGTCGATGCCTGCAGGTAAGTAATTTGGATGATATTCCTGCTCATCATTCCTTGGTTTCTCACTTGTGACAAAAGAAGGAGCAACAGCAGACATTCAAATGTAAACTCGAGTCTTTTATACATCTTATTCATTAAATTCAAGCGAAGTCATGTAATAGCTAACGAACTGACTGGTCATGTTCAATGTGATACTAACATTGTTGGTTTAAAAACTGTCAGCTATTTATGTCACATATGCTACGTGAGCCTTGTCAGTTCTTTAGTACTGTATTTTGTATGTTACTCGAGTGAAACATGCAAAACATTTTAGTTCCTTCAAAGTTACTTTCTTGAAATTAAAGACATGACATGTACTGTATTATGTAACGACTTGCTTCATAGTTTTGGTTTATATAAAACAGTAGTATTAAAATTGACGAATGTAGATCCTTTTCTTTTCATCTTTAAGTGAGTTTCTTTAATATAAAAAAAATACCTGTAGCTGACATTCTTGGGGGCCGGCGTTCCTCTGGCTGTTCATTTCAGTGGCAGTTTTCGTGTAAAGGAAGTAGATTGACAGGATATCTTGATTTGCAAGGCCATTTCCATCCCTGTAATCCATCATAATCTCCACATTTCTACCCTTCAGACACTGAAGTTAAAAGTGTGTGTAAAAAAGGAGGGACAAAAAGGTCACACGCTCAGTCTTGTTAAGGATCTTGTTGAAGACTTTTTCAATAAATGATATTTATAGCATTCCTCATCTGAAAGGGCACAGCAGTGAAACTGTTACTAATGAGTCAAAGGTTATAGCTCACACCGATGACTGGGGCAACAATGACAAGTGTATCTGATCCATGGAGTGGGGGTGGGAGAGAAAAGGGTCTATATTACCCATAGCGGTGAATTGAATTGTACAAACGAGTTTTCTGCCCGAGACGGTGAGATTGGCAGGTGGCGTAAATCAGGAAAATGTTTTGCTCAATTTAATTTCCCTGCCGCTTTTGCAATGGACCAGCAGCCGTGAGTTTAAATCTCCTGATTTACAGTTACCTCCGTCACATCTGTGCAGCAAAGCTGTTTTGTATGAACGCCATGTGAGTATATGCCGCTTCCTCGCCAGGCTCCAATTTAATTCTCGTAACATGAAAACCACGTGTAACGGACCGCGATAATATGGAACCATAACTAATGGAGCATTTGAGAAACAGAGTTGACGGGTTTAATACAGCTGGATATTTCAGACTCCCCCCCCCCCCCCACCCCACTAAATGCAGTTGCTTTTTTCTTTTTTAAAAAAAAAAGACTGGCAAGGTAACCTCAAACTAGACTGGTCCCACCCCGCTCTGTGTGCTGCCAAGCTTGCTGTCTATTGAAGCCTGAAAAGAATCTAAAATACTGTTTGATGCTGCGTATTATATCTCCGCAAAATTCGTAACTGATGCCCTGTAGTGCCGAAGGTCCCATTATGTGAGCAGTCAGGGAGGGAGAGAGATGACGCATGAAGAGCAATATTGCCCGACTCTAGTGAGCTGTGCAACTGGCCTCGTTACTCTGGTCCGAACATACAGTACAGTACTTCCAATAGCAGTACCTCAATCCAACGTTACCTTTTTGCTGTCCACTCTCTCTGTAGCTTTTGTTTGGCTTCCGTACAGCTGACTTTTCCAGTACAGTTAAGGAATGATGCACTGCAAGTTATGTTCAAAAATAAAAATCAGTTTATTCACTTCTGCAAATGGTGCGTGTGTGGATTCTGTAATAGGGTTTGTTCCCTTCCTCTCGCTCTCCCCAACCTCACTGCCCCCACCAATTGAAGGAGTAGTACCAGTGACTGACCAGTGACTGACTGTCACAGTACCAGCCAACTGTGTTCATGCAAGATTACAGAAAGTCTGCTGCCTGTGTTCTGTGCCAGGGGCCTGTGGTACAACAGTTGGTGTTGATTCAGTGTTGCCTGTTACCTGTGTAGGGTATCATGATGGCCTGAAGCTGCTGCAGAAATGAGTGCCAACTGACTGCCCCATAGTGCAGGCCTTCTAGCTGTCTGCAGGAGCACAGAGCTGCGGGTATGGCTTCTCAATCCCTGACTCGCCCGTCTCTTCTCCCAGAGTCCAAGCCGGGCGTGATTGCACCCAGGACTTTACTCCCCAACGCCTTCAGCACAGTGGTGGGAGCATTGGTGAGATATGCTCTTGTCTGTGTCTATCCTGGACCCTGCCAGTAATCTCCCCAACAGTGCATGGCTCTATTTCCTTAGCTGAATCGGAGATCGTGCTATATTCCCTGAGTGTTGCACTCGGACACATTGCTCAGTCTTACATTTTTGGACCCTCTGATTGGAGCAAACAATTTCATCCCTAGATGCCAGGATCCTTATCCCCTTTTACTTGACTCGGGGATAGTTAACCAACCCACGTGAGGGCAAACCCATCGTGTTGAACACTTACACCACCAGCACTGCAGAAATGAGTGTGTTGATATTTATCTTTACATCTTGCAGTGTTTTAATTCCACCGGAACTGGCTAACACCTTGCTATTACCCCACTACTACCCCTCAGCCTGGCTTCCTTAGGCAATAACTAATCTCTGTTTACCCAATGAACTGAAATGAAGCAAATGGAGGCACAACAGAGTCGGCGTTGTTTCAGAAACCCCACTAAATCCATTTCTGCTGCCGTTTGCTTCATTGCAGTCGCGATCAAGGGATATTTGGTGTTTAGGTCTGAAGTGCAGCAGGTTCTCCTTTGGGTTCGCTGTGTTCTATGCAGAATTACAAACACTCTGAGCCTCTCACGCTCAGGAGGTGATTTCAGAGTTGTGCGATTTGCACGACTAAAATCCCCTCCTCCGTGGTCCAGTGAAACCCAAACACAAGACACTTTTCGAAGAATTTGTTCATAATGTTAGGCTGATCAATTGACTGACTCCAGCAACATTTAAAACAAAAGGAATCATTTTTTCCTGCCCCCGTCGTGCGCTGTGCAGTGGGATCAACTGCGTAAGATGCATCGATTTGACCCATGGGAAGTCCTTAACTCTAAACTCCACGCTTCCTCCTTTCTTCCCCCTGGACAATATGGCTTGTGTCCACGTGGGTTAACGTATTAACATATCTCCTTTCAGTGAAGTTCTTTTTAAGCTCCTGTCATTTTATAACTCTCGCGCCTGGTGCGTCTGTCTGTCCTGTGAGCCTATTGGACCGTGCACTGCACCAAAGTAAATGCTCAAGTTCAGCGCTCTTCTTAAAGTGAAGCCGTGTGATATCTTTCGGGCCTTTTCCACTGTCCTCTCAAGGGGGGAAGCTGTTCGCTATCCATGGCTGCCGTTATTGCTTATGTAGGGAAATCCCATTGGAATTCCACTCCCCCCCTCCATCTCCCCAGCATAACCTTTGTCACAGCTGGTGATCGTTCACTCTGCCCATCTTGATGCTTGGCGTGTTCTTTGCTTGGGGTGGGGGCTGATGAACCCTCTGATTGTGAGGACTCCAGACCACCAAAACTTCCAAATCGCAGCCCTGTCTTTCGTACCTCCACAGCGAGAACGTTGAAGATACTTTTACTGGCATCGCAAGCCAACTTTATGCCCAGTCGCCTCCTTCACCGGCGCCAAGGAAATTGCTTTGCCTCAACGAGTCCTGCACCCTGTTGCAATTTTGATACCATTTAATGATGGTAATGCTTTCGTTTGATACAGCGCCTTATCGTGTCGTGGAGACGTCTCAAAGCGCGACACAGAAAACACTGCAAAGTGGAGTGAATGTATATTTTGTGGGTGAAATGTGGCAGCCAACTGCGCACAGCAGTGTCCCAAAAATGTCACTGAAACACAATTGTAGCGGCAAGAGGAATGATGACCCCTTTATTGACAGTTTATCGAAGGGCATAAGAGCACATTGAATGTGTTCGGCTGTGATGCTCTTCTGGGCTTTGCTTAATTTTCTTTTTACTTTTTATGTTATTTTACAATGTAATCTGTTTTTTTTAAAAAAAATGCTATATATAGAAAACAAAGATCAGGAGTGAAGTGAACATAAAAGTGGAGCTTATACATCTTTTTAAACACTGCGAATGTGACTGTAAAGTCTAGAATCAAATGTGCATTTACTGTTTCTGTATTGAGATAACGGATGTCGCTTGTGATTTTAAACTTGTGCCTATACTGTTGGGATCAGAAGTTCCCAAAATGAAGAGGAGAAACTTTTAGAATATACTCCAGTATATCTTTTTATCCTCCTCCTCCTCCTCCTCCTCCTCAATCTTAGTGCATTCGATCTAATCATGGTTTCCGACGTGGTTTTAAGAAAGGGAAAAAAACAATTTTTCCCATTTCAGCGATGAACAAATAATGCTAGACTTGCGATATTCAACGCTTCTCAGTTTTCCTTCAACGATGACTGCTGAAGTCCACCACGTTTTTGAACCAAATGTTACTTAGAACCAGCAGACAGGTTCAGCACCTGAATACCGTTTGCTCCCCTGCGCAAACACACAGACTAGGATAGAGGTATTCATTGGGGTGTTCATAATGCCAATCCAACATGTATATAATGTAATTTAAGGGTGTATTATTAACCAGCCTGAAACTAACTACACACTTTAAGGAGCTTTGATTGCTGCATGCTGGATTGCTTCTCTCCTCTCCTTGCCCCGCTCCTTCCCCATTTTCTGCTTTTTCTAATTCCGTAAGCTGGAAACAATGACGGACTATAACGTGTCTTCTTTCATTCTCTTTGGAAAGGTGTGTAGTTGTGCGACTATAGACAGATAATTAACAGGGTTGGAGGTGTGATTGATTTAGTATTTGTTTGTACCCCTCTTATCTATTTAACAAAAAAAAATTAAAAAATGCTGCTGCTGTAATTTCTTGAACTGTTGGATGTAAAAGGAAGCGATTATTTCGAACAAAAAAAAGACAGAGTGGGTTGTTTCCTGGAGTTGTACAATCTAAACCGCTATTTCCGCTTACGAGCGAAACAACAACAACAACAACAAAAACTCTCTTGCTGGAAATGACTTAAAATTTCACGCACTTCAGACCAGCTTGTTGCAACGAGGTTGGTCACCTCTGCCTTCTGTCCAACCATCCATCCATCATCCATCCCTCCCATCGGCTGCACGGATGGTGCAAGCTTGGGACGGCTGACGCTCTTACAATCCTAATGTTTTTACTCCTTTTAGTTCTATCGTCGTGATCGGTTTCTCGAGGCATGTGGTTTCTTTAAAAGCACACAGTGTGTGTGTGTGTGTGTGTGTGTGTGTGTCGTGTGTGTGTCCGCCTTGGATTGAAACTCACCGCAAAACAAAACAAAAAAAACTAGCGTCAATGACTTTTCTCTTTTTGGCATCGGTTTAACGATAGCTTACCAACAGCTTACAGAGACTGTGGGTAGTTAACGGGCACCACGTCACAAGAAAATAGCCTTCCCTTTGATCTATATCAAGCTTACTATTGAATGAGGGATTAAAGCCACATTTTATAGATTTCACTGGAACTTTGCTAAATAGTTTGAACGCAAAAATGTTGGAGACGCATCGACAATGGCTCATACCAGGAGTGTTCACAACGCACGTACTTTTGTTTTGCTTTGTTTGTCATGTAATATCCATATCGGTATTTATATATTATTTGTTTCATCTATGTATTACGGTAACTGTACAGATAATTACACGGATTTTGTTAACTTTCACATGTTGATAGAATTTGCTAAAAAAGAGGGGAATTGTTTGCCGTAGAATAAAACCCGACATGAAGACTTCAGCATTGAGCAAGCGTTTTTATTTCCCCAACAAAACGTAAAATTCATTCTCGACGGAAAGCGCGCGCTTAGGCACTCGGGCAGCTGTGGAGGGTTCTGATTACAAGATCGATACTTACAGTCACTACACTTTACAGTATATGCCATGACACACTTTATACTGCTTGCATTTAATACAGCGCCACATCACGTCTTTGACGCCTCAAGTCACTTCACGGGATATACTGTAAAGTGAGTGGATCGGCTATATTTTGTGGACACAACGCGGTGGCTATGATTCCGAGTCCCTACTTGGGGCTTGGACCACTTTTGTGACGTCCACCTAACATGAAAGCTCTATATCAAATTATATCTGCCTCCAGAATTACAGTCAGCAGAAATCACAGTGAATCCTATGCCACAAAAGGCTCAATATTAAATGTAAGGATTATTGTTGTAACATTTAATAATGGTGAAAATACAGTATCTACTTTTCCGAACTGGAGAATAATCTGACCTTAGTCTCTACGAGATGCATAATTATGTGCCCTGAAGCAGAACAAAGTGAACCAAGTCATAAAGTGACCTCACAAAATCCATCCGATGAGCACGGGTGGCATTTTGACCCAAAGACCAAACGGAGAAGTGATTCAAACAGAAAGTGGAACCTTTTCATTTACATCCACCGCGAATGTGACCATGGTCTGGTAAAGATGGCGATCGGCTGCATTAGGAGAAGGATGAGGTGACTGTGGCCACCAATGTATAGGAACATAAGAATTTGCCGGGCAAAAGAGGTCCATCTAAGTTCCTCTTCCACCATCCTGGCAGTCGCTTGAGATGTCGTGTCCCAAACTATGTGCTGTGACATTTTATGGAGATGTTTTAGGGTTGATTCATGTAAAAGAATTTCATGATTATTTTACTAATCCTTGATTTTTATTTAAAAATATTGAGAAGTTGTTCCCAGTATTTTTCTGGCTCTCTTCTAAATTCCTGGCTACAGATCTCTTGCTCTCTTTGCCAACGAAGGACAGCGATAATCTCTAATGAATAGCTCCCTCAGCTGGGCATGACATTATATTGACATAATATTGTTTTACACAAGATAAAAATTGCCGGGGTAATAATAATAATGATGATCCTTGCATTTATGGCACCTTATTATGTCGTTGAGACGTCTCAAAGCGCTTCACAGAATATTTTGTAAAGTGGACTGACTGTGTATTTGTGGGTGAAACGCGGCAGCCAATTGAGCACAGCAGCGTCCCCACAAACAGTCGTGTATTGAGTGACCCTAANTTTTTTTTAGGGGTTATTACCCCCGGAATGCGATCCAGCAAAAAAACTAACAACCGGGTTCCACTTACTCATCCAAGACACTTTTTGGGGCTTTCTACCTCCCTTAATGGTCAATTGCTGTAAGCAATTGGCTGCCGGGTTTTGCCCCAAAACGCAAAACGTAAGGATTATTATTATATTATTATTAATTAACATAATGTACACTATTACCATGTGTAGTGACTGACTTTCGGGACAAATGTTGCAAACCATAATAATAATAATAATAATCCTCCCATTTGATAATAGCGTCTTTCGTGCCAAGAAAGACATCTGAAGGTTCTTCACGAGGCTTACCGTAAGGCGTAGTGACTGCGTATTTTGTGCCAAAGACAGAAGCCAATTTGCGTACAGCAATGTCCCACAAACAGCGAGTGAACGATTTTATCGGGGGTAATTTTGGGGGGAGAGAGAAACGCCCTTCGCCCTTCTCGAATAGCGCCGCGGGATCTTTTGACATCTCCCTGAACAGACAAAAAAAACGTCTCGTCGGAGGTTCACAGGGAATTGTTGGGTCAGTTTCCTTCTCGAAAGAGGACCAAAGGGTGAACGAAGGGACAGATGGTAGATGTAATTCCACTATTGACCTGCAGGCGGCAGTCCACCAATATCAAAATGTCTGCAAAATAGATCTACAAGAATAATAATAATAATAATAATATCTACAAGGATAAGAAATAATTTCAGGCAGATTCTGCCTTAAACCAAATCCAATCCTTAAGTCTTTTTTTTAATGGAAAATAAAAAGGCCCAATGAATTATACATAAATGGATTAATGTTAAGCAGTTCTGTGTCACACACACAAATCCTGAGCATTATAACTGCGAAAACACATAAATGTAGTTGGTTCCCTTCACACGACAAACACTTTTCTTAAGATTTGGTTCAGTTTTCTGATCATTTGGACAAAAAGTTTTGTGTGACGCATGAATTTTTTCCGTGAATATTTTAAAAGAATATACAAACAAACAAACAAACAGTGCTTGAAATATAGACGAGTTTCTCTCTCCTGTGTCTCTCTATTCTCACTCACTAATTGTTTAAAGGCACATTCGCCTCATGGCCGTTGGCGGGACATTTGCTGGGCGCAATCTCTACCACTTTAAAATACATAAAATACACAGTCTCTACACTTTACAGTATATCCCGTGAAGCGCTTTGAGACGTCCTCTGATGTGAAAGGCGCTGTGTCGAATGCAAGGACTATTATTATAAATATATCATCGTGTGAAATATTCCTATTATTATTGCATTCAAATGGGGCCAAAATGCAATAGTAAATGTGCGACTGTATTGACTGACGCGGTTTCAACTGTAGCCACAAAAAATAATTTGCACAACGTTTATCCTCTTCCCTCGGACAGCACCTGGAAGCGATTCACAAAGAGCGATGGACCTTTGCTATTTGACAGCCTCTGTTGTGTTGTGGGTGAGAAGCAGCAGACAGGTGAAGGGTTGGAGAGAGCTGCTGATGTGCAATCCCAGCTCCAGATCTTACCAACTCAAAGAGCGAATAAATCGCACTATTTCCTGGTTCGAGGTTCACCCCAGAACCATGCAAACCCATCTCACTCTGCAACCGCCTCACCACGCTATACAGGGAAAGTGCCAGTGTAGTATTTAGTTCTCTTCAACCGTGCCTTCGGCTCCCCTCTCGCCTCTCTACCCCCTCCTCGCTCCCTCCCTTCCCTCACTCTGACCATCTCCCCCCTTCTCGGGTCCCGATCCAACTGTCCAGCGCCTTGGGACGTCCTCCCGACGTGAAAGGCGCTCTGTAAATGCCATCTTGTCGATGTTGTTGTTGTTGTTGTTAGGCCAGGCGAAATCGTAAAGGGTTATTTTTCTGTGAAAATTCAACTTGACCTAACAAAGAGAGTTAGTTCCTCATATTTGCTACACGGCATGAATATTCCCACCCAGTTCTACACCCAAATACACACATACCACAAACACACACCCACAAACACACACCCACAGGAAAAGAAACTTGAGCCGTGCGACCCGAAGAAGTTGGGCAAAGTTTAGTACTTTAGCCTCCAGAAAACGAATCAGAACTTGGGGACAAGGTCATCAGAGGCTCACGACAACTTGCACTTTAATGTGAACACTTAGGTGAGGAGAGAGAGAGAGAGAGAGAGAGAGGGAGAGAGAGGGGGAGGAGGAATAAATGGGACGTCACGTTAGGAAGAGAACCTGCCCATGACATCAGGTGCTGGATATAAGAGGCAGCAAGACACCCGAGAGTTGCTGTGCGTTCACAGTGCAGTACAGACCTCAGTCTCTCTCTTAGCCTCCTATTCCCCCCAGTGGAGATCCCTAACCATGTTGTTCTGGCACACGCAGCCCGAACATTACCTCCAGCAACATCCGACGACCAGCTACCTCCAGTAAGTCTTTTTCTCTATCCTCTCTTCCCCTCCTCGCAGATTGGGTCGAGATTGCAAGACCACAAAAGGACATCTGAACACTCGCCACTGAGGGATCCCGTCTGTCGTGTCACTTCAGACTTGCTTTACAGGCAGTGGCGAAACCTCACGCAAGTTTCTCTACCTGACACCCACACCACTGTTTACCGAGCAGTAAGTAGGAACCAGGTCGTTAGGCGATTGGCAGATCGCTTTTCTGGGAGTAATAATCCCTTACAAAAAAAAGATTAAAAATAATGATTTCGGTCACTCAATCCACGTCTGTTTGCAGGACGGCCCCTTGGGACGTCCTCCCGACGTGAAAGGCGTTTTAACAAATGCGATTTCGTTGTTGGGACACCGCTGTGCGCAATTGGCTGCTGCGTTTCGCCCGTCAAAAAATATACTTTGCCGTATATGCTGTGAAGCGCTTTGAGTCGTCTCAACGACGTGATGAGGTGCTGTATCAAATGTAAGGATTGCTCTCATTCCTATTATTATCCTTGGCTTGGCACAGAAAACCCTGCAGAAACCTGCCGCCACCCATCAAAGCATCTGCGCCGATCCCTTCAAACCGCCGAACGTTTCGGAAATGGTACACTATAAAATGGAATTTGATTCCCCTGTCCTCCCCCCTCCCCACCCGTGCGCACCCCCACCCCCACCGATCCACCACAGTACAGAGTTACCGTTGCGATCAAGCACTTTAAATAACCTTATAAACTACGAGAGTGAGAGTTAACCAGGGAGTAATCCTCTTCACATTACTTCTCCACACACACACACACACACTCACGTATACCTTTCTAAAGCGAGAGTGGCTCAGTCGGTTGCCTTCTCTCTCCCGAGTCAGCAGGTGGTGGGTGGCTTTGAGCTCACCGTCTCACGCGATGCTCAGGGAACGCTGTATTGTCAGAGGTGCCGTCCCTTCAGCTGAGATGCTAAACTGAGGTCCCGTCCGCCAGTCGATGAAACCCCCGCCCACCCCGTGACTCCACTCAAAAAGAGCATTCGAATGATAATTTAGTTAACGTAGTTTGCACTTTAGATGAGTAGCAAAGCAGTTAGTTAGCAAAGAGACTGGGAATCAAGTTCGCATATCTTTAACGCGATCTATTCCCCTTGTTCTAATGGGAATCTGCGCGTGTGTCTGTGTGTGTATGTGTGTCTGTGTGTGTGTGTCTGTGTGTGTGTGTGTGTCTGTGTGTGTGTGTCTGTGTGTGTGTGTACACAGAGGGAAATAAGTTACTTTTTTAACTTGTGCTTCGAGGCAATATTGCCCTTGTATTTCGATCGGTTAAGCATCAGCAATTAGTGCATTCCTAACGACCCTTTGCAAAGCTTAGCTGATGGCTGATTCCTGTATTTCTAAGCCTTAAGTCACAGATAATAATAATTGTTTTTTAAAAATATTTTCTTTTTTAAAAAGTGCCTTTCGCCCACAAAACACGCGCTCACCTTGCCAGCGAGAGGATCTGGGTTAGATTACAGAGAGGGGTGAAACCTCGGGCAAGTTTCCTTACTCCATACGCCTCTGTTTACCTATCAGTAAGTAGGAACCCGGTTGCCGGTTGATTGGCAGATGCCTTACAGGGGTAATAATCCCTTCCCCCACCCCCACCCCCAAAGAGATTGATCACTCGATCCACCGCTGATTCTGGGACACTGCTGTGCGCAATTGGCTGCTGTGCTTCTCCCATAAAATACACAGTCGACCCCCTGTATACTCTGGGAAGCGCTTTGAGACGTCTCAACGATGCGATAAGGTGCTATTTCAATTGCAAGGATCAGCATTATCGTTAAGAAAAAAACTTTGATCTTCGTTCAGACTCCCGATACTCATTCCATGTCCTCTTCCAAGGAAGTGTGTGCAATTCAAGGGTTTATATATAATCTTTGCATTCGATATAGCGCCTTGTCAAGCTCTCCGGGCTACGACCCTGCGTGCAGGGTGCTATATAAACACAAGTTGTCGTTGTCGTTGAAACATCTCAAAAGTTTATTGTTCCGTACAACTTAGTGACTGCGTTTGTTGGCAAAAACAGCAACCAATTTGCACGCATGATTGTTCCACAAACAGCAATAAAAAGTGAAGGTGATATTTTAACTTGGCAGATTGCAAACCGCCTGTTGCGTTCGCCTACAAATATGTGCGGTCACTAACACGACGCAGTGAATCCCGTGAAGGGGCTTCGAGACGTCTTTCTGACCTGGAGGATTGTGCATCAGATGCAAGGATTATTCCCTTTGTTACTTTGGCATTATCAAGGACACCAGGAGCAATGTCTTGGCTTAACTTTCACAGCTCGTTTGAACCAGTTTGACTCGCTGACCTCTCTACGTTTTGTTTACACACGAAACACAAGATTAATTTCCGCACATCTCATGCGGGAGCAGTGCGACAGCAAAGCAAAATGAATACCCGCGTGCAGATGGTTTTTTTAATACTGGTTCATCTTGTTGGTCAAATCATCGTTATTCAAATCCTCCACTCCTCTCTCCCCCTCCCCCACCCCCCCCCCCCCCCACCACCACCTCTCTGACCTCCTCTCTCCTCAAAACACTACCCGTTGCCTTCGTTCCTCCGGGTCTGGCCTCCTCCTTGTCCCCCGAGTCCTCCGCTCCACCCTCGGCGGCCGTGCCTTCAGCCACTATGCCCCGAGGCTCTGGAACTCCCTTCCTATTTTCAGGTCCCTACTGAAGACCTTTCTTTTCGACCACACCTTTGGTCACCTTCCTCCCACTCCTCCCCCCCCGGCTCGGCCCCGGGACCCGTTACTGTGAAGCGCTCTGAGAAGCCGTCCGGCGTGGAGGGCGCTATATAAATCCAAGTTGTTGTTGTTGGTGGTGGTGGTGGTGATTTGCCAGCATTTTTTTTTGACTCCGAGGGAGTATGAATCAGTGACGAGACTTCTCTCTCTCAACCACTGCTGTCCTGAGGCACTTCCGAACATGTTTAAGTAGGATGAGACTTTAGTGAAAAGTTCCTGCAGCATTAAACAACGTTTTATCTTGCAACAGATTTAACTGTTAAAAATTACAGTATACTCTGTGAAGCACTTTCAGACGTCTCAATGACATGATAAGGCGCTACATCAAATGCGAGGATTATTATTATTATTATAGTATTATTATATTATTATTGTCCCTTTTTACAACAGATATTAATGCCGAGGTCAAATGTGGTAAAGTCGATGGTCAGATAGCACAGAAATGGGGTTCTTTACAATTGCTACAAATACAGTTAAACGCCTTCTTAAGTTTGCGGCGAGGGGTTCGAGCAGAAAGGCGCTGGGTTTACGCTGGGGGCTGACAGAAATTGGGGTCAAATTGCGTTAGAGCGGACAAAAACCCGAGAACTCTACTGTCGCGATTAATACTACCGGGAACTCAGCAACAACGGCAGCAATTTGCGTTTATATAGCGGTTTTCGCGCGGGGTAACATCCTGAAGCCCGTCACAAACTCCGGGTCCTCGGGAAGGAGCGGAGATGGGGTTCGGGGAGGGCTTTATTCTCAAATAGGTTTAAGATTCAAAGGAAGTAAAATGACCCCTTTTTTTTTTCTTTCTTTCTCTCTCGCTCTCTCTCTCTCTCTCTCTTTTCTCTTCTCTCTCTTTCTTTCTCTCCTTCCCTCTCTCCATTCCGAAAAGCCACCCGCCTCTGTCCCTTTAAGCAATCGACTAGAAATACCAGTTTTGATGTATATTAATGAGACTCTCTTCAATTTAATTGCCCCAAAAGACACTTATTGGATGGCAACGATAACAATTAATACTTTGGAAGTAGATTTTTTTTTTTGGGGGGGGGGGGTTTGGGGGGACTTTTGCCCCAAAACAATTTTTTAAAAAAATATATTTTCTAAAAAAATTACTTTTTTTTAAATAAAAAAAATTACTTTTTCCAAATTTTAAAAGAATCTCTCTCTTCCCCCCCCCCCCCCCCACCCCTCCTCCCCAGGATCAGGTCAAACGATCACATTCCTGGTGTTAGGGATCAAACTCTCTAGAAACCCATCTGATGATTTAATGTTAGGCTTTAATAACTTTGTTCTTACAATACGTTTGTGACTTTAATGATATAAAATGTTAAAAACAAGCAAAATAGTCTTTTTTTTCACAAAAAAAAGTGGGTGCTGTTGCTCTGGTTGGGTTTTTTTTTCCTTTTGTGCTGCTAAAAACTGATTGCATTTCATTTTTTTTACATTTACCTTTTCACATTAAGTAAAACATATCAGGACTTGGTTTCATCTAAAATGTTTTTTAACCCCAAGTTGTTTGCAAACCAGTTTTTTTTTTAATGTCATTTTTAAAAAAAAAGTGTGGATGTGTTGGGCTTTTCTGTTCTCTCTCTCTCTCTCTCTCTTTCGTGTTGTTAAAAGCTTTTCAGGGACATTCCCCTAATGCAAAGTGGTAAATGATGCTCATTGATGCTCTGTGCTCAACCAGTTCCACCCACCCACCCACCAACTCACTCCCACTCACTCACTAAGTATGGCTTGGACAGGGAGCAGTGAACTGGAGGAGATACAAACCGGTTTGGACTCGGAATTTGATCCGACCCTAATACGAATCCAGTAAGAAACCTGAATTTTAGTCATTCCTGCTCTTTAATGTGTCTTAATTGCTCTGAGACACACACACACACACACACAAAGAGAGAACTGGTCTTAAATTGCAAAGGTGGTGGCACTGGGACACACCAAAAATTGAACCTCAGCAAAGTCTGCATTTGGTGAGACTGTCCAGGAGGTGAGATTAGTTTAAGGGACAGCTGAAGGAGGGGATAACTTCAATAAAAAGGGGTTTGTGCTCCCACCCCATCTTTTCCACAGTAAGTAAAGCTGTTCACTTGAAATTGCAAGCCTTGCTTTGAAGCTGGTTGATGCTGTGGAGCAATTTGACACAGGTTTCCTGCCCAAGGCAAGTCTTTTTGCGCCCTCTCCCTCCATTAAGGTTGCAGGTCAATCTCCGCTGGTTATTTACAGACAGTTTGCTGTTTCAGATGTTGTTTGTGAGGGGAGTGAGTGTCACACAAAATAACGTGTAATACTCCTGCTCGCGCCTTCCTGAAACATTGCCTGGGTTTGGAATCTCATTTCTCCCTGAGCGGTGGGGAAGAAGGGGTCCAATTGACCGTGCTTTCGGTCATCTTCTCCCTCTCCCCCGGCTTGACGTCAGGCTCCGGCACTGTTAAGCGCTCTGAAACGCTGCCCTGCCTTGAAGAGTGTTATACAGATGCAAGTTGTTGTTCAGGGACGTTGTGATGGGGTGGGTTCGAAGGGCTTTCTTCATCCCCAACCAATTTTGTGTTAATTCGAGACTTTCTAATGTAAATCAAACAGGTGACACCTGCAACGCAATTAGCAGCAATGGCCTGAGTTTGTGGTCTAGGCTGACACTCTACTGCATTTTCAGAGCTGCCGATTTCTACACTTGCATTTGATCTAGCACCTTATCACGTCATTGAGACGTCCCAAAGCGCTTCACGGGATACACTGTAAAGCGGAGTGACTGTATCTTTTATGGGCGAAATGCGGACAGCCAATTGCGCGCAGCAATGTCCCACGAACAGCCATGGAGTGGGCGACCGATTTTATTTGTGGGGGGTTGTTGGTCAGGGTAAAGAGCGGGTGGGGGAGAGAGAGAGAGAGAGAGAGAGAGAAACTCCCTTTTCTTTTCGAATGGCGCCGTGCGGATCTTTAACGTCCTCCTGAGCCGGCAGATGGCACCTCGGGTTAACGTCTCATCCAAAACCACCTGGTTTGCTTTAGCTTGGTTTCATTTATGTTTCATCGGCCATGGCTTGGCTTTTTAATGAGCCGCAGAAAAAACGGCTGGAAACGAAAATGATTTTGATGTTGCTCGTTTCTCTGTTTTCCAGCGATGTCCTGACTCTGCCCATTTTCAAACACGAGGAGACCAGCCTCTCTCCCGGCCACGATACCAAACAGCTCCCGTTCCAGTACGTGCTGTGCGCAGCCACCTCTCCTGCGGTAAAGCTCCACGACGAAACTCTGACCTACCTCAACCAAGGTAAAATGGACCATCCTCAACATGTTCGTCGTCATCTGGCTCGCGGGCCGATTTCATCTGAGGTTGCTAGACTAGTCTAGCTCTCAACCGCCTGAGCTTTTTGCAATCTTAGGGCCAAGAACTACTGTCCAGCATTGGGCAGGCAAAGTGCTATCGTCCTGGAATCAGTGTAACATGAAAGGAAAGTATGGGTTTGAATACAAACCTTTATAGGAGGAAAAAAAAGTGCACACCATTTAGTAATTCTCTGACTGCAGATCGGAAACCAGAGGTCGAAGCGTTCGAGTTTAGGGGTTCAAGGAATTTAGGTGAATTCGAACCACGTGTTGCGATGGACACTGAGCAGAGATTTGATTTAATCTCGAACAGAAAGCATCGGCTTTGTGAAAATTCACCCAAACGCTGTCCCTTTCCAAGAGGAAAAGGATGGGGAGAGAGTGTGCAGTAATAGATATGTGAGACCCTGATGAGCTGAACTATGTAGATAGTTTCTGAGTTTAACTTGTCACTGACTGCAGAAGATTTATTTATAGATTTCACCCAACAGTTTTCACGCAAAGGGTAGTAGAAATCTGGAACTCTTTCTCCCCCAAAAGGCTGTGGCCTATGACTGGGCCCATTCACATTTTCGTGACTAAGGTGGATAGATATTTGTCAGGTTAGCGGATCAAGGCATATGGGGTAAAGGTAGATAATTGGAGTGGAGGTGCAGATCAGCCATGATCTGATAGAATGGCAGAGCAGGCTCGAGGGGCTGAATGGCCTCTTCCTGTTCCTATGTTCCTAACTTACAAACTAGTAAACGCGGTTCGCTTACTTACTCATAAAAGGGGGGGGGGGGGTGGAGGGCTTTTATATCGAGAATGTAAAGGGGAGCAGTTTGTGCATTCGTTATCTTGCAAGTTGTGATATGCTTCGAAGCTCATGTCCTCTGTCACTCAGCACAGTCAGAACATTTGGGATTCGTGAGCCCTTGATCCACGTGGTTGGGGTATGGGTTGGGTTTCACAATTGGTGTTAACACCTCACTGGGTCTCTGGCTGTATATCTCTAGACGTGATGATTCAGCACCTCAGACAGGGTCATCCACTTTACCCGTCGTTGGCACTCGCTGATTTCTGCACAAAGGTCCAGAAATGACAGCAACAAAGCAAAAGGGATTTTGAAAAATCTTAATTATTTGCAACACTTTTTCTTTCAGCAACAGGAACTGCCAAACTGTTTCGCCGCTTTACAGTATATGCTGTGAAGCGCTTTGAGATGTCTCGAAGACGTGATCAGGCACTAGATTAAATGCAAGGATTATTATTATAAAATATAGGCACTAACACAGTAAAACCTGCAAAATGCTTTTAGAGGTCCTTGGGACATGAAAGGCGCAATATCAAATACAGAGGATTATTATTATTATTTACTGTTAATTATATAATTGAGCCTTTCACGCTTCAAAGCATTTGACAAGTGTTGCGATGGACACTGAGCAGAGATTTGTTGATATTGATCAAAAGCGAAGTCAACGTTTTTTGCTTTGTAAGTGAGAGAGAGAGCTTCTGAAGGCAAGGATTGAGGGTTGGAAGGCAAAGTGCTTGGGAAGAGAATTTCAGGGCGATGGTGATTGAAAGCTCGACCCATGTTGCTCAAAGTGATTAAGGGTCCCTTGTCCCTGGGTAGCTGCCAAGCTAAAACCAGCATTCATCCCGTATCGTAGGGTTTTGTGAGTACAGTATATATTGAAGCGCTTTGAGATGTCTTGAAGACGTGATGAGGCGCTAGATCAAATGCAAGGATTATTATTATTATCATCGATATTGATTTCCGAGTTTCGCTAGCATTTGACTTCCCGGCTGGTGAAGCCACCACATACCGCTTGAGCGAGATGAACGTCACCCTGTTACTGTACAGGGTGGCACGAGCATTCAAAGCACCCTCCATCATGGTTGATCGCAGTCGTGAAGCCATTGAATCGATCTCGGTGACCGAGTGAACCTGGTGAATTAGGAATTTTTTTTTTTTTCCTGTCCTGCTCTTGTAAGGGAGGGAAGCTTACAGCAATAATAATAATTACAACTAATAATGCGTGTTATTATTATACTGGCATGCCTGTGGTCACAGGGTTTTACTTTACTTATTTTACTTTTTACATACTGCCTCACTTTTTAAATTATGCAATTTTTAACCACCCAATGTCGTGTCAATTTGCTCTCTTTCCGATCAACTAGGTCAATCTTACGAAATCTGTATGCTTGACAACAGAAAACTAGGAGATTATGAGGAAATAAATGGCAAATATGTCAAGGTAAGGCTGTACAGGTGAAAAGATCTGATCTGCATTCCTTTATTCAAAAACAAGTTTGGAAGGAAAAAGGCACCACAAACTAACTTAAAAGGCCTGAAAGTTTCACATCGGCTGTGGGCAAATTGTCGAGTCCTACAGCGCATTGGGTAGAGCACTCGCCTCGCGAGCCAGAGGATCTGGGTTCGATTCCCGGGCAGGATGAAACGTTAAGTAAGCTTGATTACTCCACATGTCTCTGTTTACCTATCAGTAAGTAGGAACCCGGTTGTCAGGCGATTGGCAGGATCGCTTTTCTTGGGATTAAAAATCCCTTCAAAACAACAACAAAAAAATCAATCCATGACTGTTTGTGGGACGCTACTGTTTGCAATTGGCTGCCGCATTTCGCCCGCAAGATACAGTCAATTCACTTTACAGTGTATTCTGTGAAGCGCTTTGAGACGTCTCGAAGGCGTGATAAGGTGCTATATCAAATGCAAGGATTATTATTTATGAATGACGTGGGTTCCAACACCGGGAAACAGAGCAGTTGGATATGTGAGCACAATACTGGGAGAGACGGAGTGTTTTTTTTTAATATTATGAAACGTAAATCGTGTCTCCCAAGGCTGGGAAATGGAACTGAACGATGTGCCTCCATCTCATGAACCTGGCCAATCTGATTGTCCCAACCAGCGGTCCTCCAGATAAAATCAGTCATTGACTGAGTTCCTGTCTGCCTGGTCAGGCGGACGTTAAAGATTTCACGGCGGCATTCGAAGAGAGAAGGGTTTTCTCTCTTTCTCTCTCTCTCTCCCCACCGGTATCCTCGCCAACAATCCCCCAAGTAAAATCGGCCGCTCACTCCACGGCCGTTTTATTTATAATTTTTGGGCACAGTTGCCTTGCACAAATTGGCTGCCGCGTTTCGCCCGCAAAATGCACAGTCACTGACCTTCACAGCAAAATTCCTGTGAAGCGCTTTGAAACACCTCAGTGATATGCTAAAGGTGTTGTATGGTTTGCAAGGATTATTATTTAACTGGTGGAACAGGTTCGATGAGTTGAATGGCGTCTTTGTTGTCCAATGTTCCATTGCTGGAATGTGCTCGTGTTTAGTGTATTACAGTCAAACCTGTCTTCAACAACCACTCAGGTGACTGGGCTAAAGTAATATAAGGGTATCCTCTGAATAAAGGCTTTTTAGTGTGTGTTGAATTTCTAAGTGTATAGAAAGATACAGTAAACGTACAAACCTATACATTAAATTAACTCCAGTAAATTAAAGATTGCAGATAATAATTAAGTTACGATGACAAGTCGTTGCTGTTTGCTGAAGAAGTCTATCATCCGTTTTCTGGTGGATGCTTGCTAGCCTTGCTGTGTTTCTCAGAAAACTTTTAAAAAAGTGTGACGGGGGGGGGAAAAGACACGGGGTATTAAAAGAGTAGCCACTGGTTGCTTTACGCAGGTGGTTGCTGGATAGAGGAGGTTTATTCAGACTGCTCCAGGGTGGTTGTTAACTCGGGGTGGTTGCTTGAACAGGTTTGACTGTACATAGAATTTTTTTTGGGGTGTCAGCCGAGCGTCACACACGGAAACCCATCGCCGTGCTTACCAGGATCCCAAGCAAACTGCTGTAGAGTTCCACGTGCGGATGGAGATTTCCGTTTGTCGGGAATAGAGCGTGCACTTAACTCCCCAGAGGGAAGCGTACCGCCCACCTCATCCTCGGAAAGTATTGGGCCCAAGAGCCGTGACGATTGCGAATGGTAATTGGCAACGGGGGCAATGCCAACCCACCCTTTAGGGCTTTGGCGTATGGAGTTAACAGGAGCTCAGGGGGAAGCATTTCTGCATGTAGTCCATCATTAATAGTGTCTTGTGGTAGTGTAGATGTTCCTGGCTCAGGAACTGGACTACTGTGGAGTCAGGCCCTCTCTCTCTCCTCTTCCGTGCTGAATATGATGCACCTGTGAGTTAGAGAAAGTAAACACAAGAACGACCCTTTAAAGGTAACATGACAAGTGGGGGAGGGTTTCAGTCTCGTGAACGCAATAATAGTAAGATAGGCACCATGAAGTATCTCTTTTTCGGAGGACGTGTTACAGGAGGAGGGGAATGGGTTACAGCAAGAGTGGTAGGAACCGACATGACAGACTCATTTAAGAAGCGACTTACTTGAGGCTGTGATGGGAAGAACGATAAGTTTTGTGTTCTGGGATGATGAGATCAAATGGGCCGAAGGACCTTCTTCATCTGAATCGCTCTAGTTTGCTGCTAATTTGGGTTGGTCGGAGTTAAGCTAATGGCGCTTTGCTCTAAGGCGATAGGTTTTGTTGGACTGTGGTGACGGGTGGAGAAAGAAAACCACTGACCTATTTGGTTAATGTGGTGGTTATATTATTATTATTAAAAAGAAATCAGTCCACGACTGTTTGTGGGGACGCTGCTGTGCGCAACTTGCTGCCCTGTTTCTCCCACAAAATATACAGTTGAATATATTCTGTGAAGAGCTTTGAGACGTCTCAACGACGTGATAAAGCACTATATCAAATGTAAGGATTATTATTACTACTATTATATCAAATGGAAAGATTATTATTATTATTATCTGCTGTCATTTAGTGTCAACGCAGCCATATTCACACACAATGTATAAAATCCTCTGCTTTTACCATGGAGATTATATGGTGTTTAGGAACCTTAACCACAAGGTACACATTTGCTTCTTTTGCTGTTTGATTTGATTTCCCTCAACCTCCCCACCGCCCCTTGTCCTTCCCGCCCCCACCTCTTAATAAAGGGAAATGATAGCGATCAAGTTCAAATGATAACGTAAGGGAGACCGTAGATAAGAAGGTAGCGATGTAAATATAATGTCTCTTCTCTTCTTCAGCCGTTCGATTGAAATCAATTCGAATCCTACAAAATGGACAGTACCAAGTGAAAAGCCACCCAGAAATGGGAGGGTAGTGGAAGGAGTGAGTGTGAGGGTGGGGGGTAAGGGAATGTTGGTGTTAAGTGGAAATGTGCAGCACTTTTTGGTCAAATGAGGTATAGACACCTCTTGGGGTAACCCTATTGATCTGTTCTGTGAAGCGTTTTGAGACGCCTCAATGATGTGATAAGGCGCCATATCAAGTGCAAGGATTATTATTATTATTATAAGTTCAAAGGATGTTCCTGTTGCAAGCTATTTGGATGCGAAGGATCAAAAACAAATGAAAACGTCGCTGGACAGTCCGAAATTTGGACCCGAGCTGAGGGTTGGGATCAGGAGGGGTTGGTTGGTGAAGGGGGTGTTGGAGGTTCATCGAAGGCACGGTCGAAGAGACTTGAGACGGGCGTTGAAGGAGGCAAGGGAGGAAGGGAGCAAGGTGAAGGGAATGTGGGGGTGGAGAGGCTGAAGACCTGACCTCCGATGGTGGGGCAGGCAGGGCTGGGCGGGAGGGAAATGGAATGGGAGTACCCCGCCCCCCCCAAGTCCTCTCTCCCCCAACTCCCCCTCCCTTGCCCTCCCCTCTCTGGCTCTCTTTTCACATTGCACGCCTGCACTCGCGCCTCTGTTTGCAGGTGCTGACTGTTAACGCCGGGTTATCTTGCAGAGCATTATCCGGGTGGTCTTTCACGACCGTCGATTACAATACACCGAACACCAGCAGCTGGAGGGCTGGAAGTGGAGCCGTCCGGGAGACCGGATACTGGACATCGGTGAGCGGTAGTTTGCTTTTCGGGGTGGGGGCTCAGTCGGGTGTTTGACACCCGCGGAAACCCATCACCGTGCAAAACTTGGAGTATCCAAACCAAGCTGAGAATTCCATGCATCCCACCAACACGTTTTCGCCCACAAAATATAGTTACTCGAAGACGTGATAAGGCGTTATATCAAATGTAAGGATTATTATTATTATCACACATAGAAATCCCAGAGATAGATTGTTGGAATGGCGCGCTCTCTCTCTCTTTCTCTCTCCCTGGAGGACACATCCTGCTTACCTAATTCCAGAAAGTATTAGGCGCAGGTTGGCAAGAGTCAAGGCTTGGTGGGGTGGGGGGGAGCCAAGGGTGTGCGTTGGGGTAACTGCTGGAGTCTAACCAGCTGAAACCGCACGGCTTGCCACTGATTGCTATTTACACATGTAATATTTTGGGTGACCTTACTGGTGTATAAACTCAAAATATGGTCTGCTGTTGCAAGATGGTTGGGAGCGAAGCACTAGAATGTTCATAAAGATGATCAGTATTAATCCCTGCGTTTCGTCTCGGATCCCACCACACCACAGTCACTTCACTGTACAGTATATTCTGCGAAGCGCTTTGAGACGTCTCGACAACGCGATAAGGCGCTACATCAAATACAAGGGTAGTTATTGTTGTTATTCTTTCCTTTCCGCAGATATTCCCCTTTCAGTTGGTATCTTGGAACCCCGGTCCAATCCCATGCAGCTAAATACTATTGAATTTCTTTGGGATCCTTCCAAAAGAGCCTCTGTTTTCATTCAGGTAAAAAAAAAACCTAATCTATTCAATATCTGCTGAACGCCACAGTTTTTATCGGGGTGGTGGGGGGGTGGGCGTGTGGGGAGGAGAATTATTGACCAGATCCAAGAGACAAATTCCCTTCTCTTTTCGAATTAGTGCCGTGGGAGTTTTAACGTCCACTTGGATAGGTAGACAGGATCTCAGTTTAAGGAGCACACCTCAAACAATGCAGTGCAATTTCCCCCTTTCTTCCCCCACCCTCTTCCCCGCCCCCCCCCCTCCCCACCCCCCCATCACTTTCAAGCACTTCAGGACGTCCTCCTGACATGAAAGGCGCTGTATGAGTGTAAATTGTGTTGTACAGTAAATGTTCTATATAATGGCGCCTAAGTTGTACATCTGCCCGTGCGCCGTCGAATTTGTGTGGCATTTTATGTCTTGACTTGACATTAGAATGGTTTACCCATCACATATTCTTACGGCGTCGTCGTTTCTGCTTTCTTCTTTGAAAATTCTCTGGTCAGGTTCATTGCATCAGCACCGAGTTCACGCCCAGGAAGCACGGAGGGGAGAAGGGGGTTCCCTTCAGGATCCAGATCGACACCTTCAAACAGAACGAGAGCGGTGACTACGCAGAGCACCTGCACTCTGCCAGCTGTCAGGTCAAAGTCTTCAAGGTATGACCGACCCCCGCGACACTGACCGTCCGCCCGCCCCCCCTGGAGGCCCTGTGCGGCTCCCAAGGCAGCTGACCAGCGGCCAGTGGAAGATGTCCCCTTTATGACGCGCTGCGGTATCGCGGGGCCTCGTTTCCTGAGGTCCTTTTCACCGGCTTCGCCCCATCATCCTGGCAACGACCAGGCTGACCGGCTGCTTACCTGGGCGGGAGGTCAGCTAATCACCATCGGAAGGTGGAAGTGAGGTCAACGGTGACCTGATGACTCAAGAAGTACTGGTCGCTGGCTATTTTATCTGGTGCTTGTCACAACGTTACGGTCTGATTTTTTTTTTTTTCTCTCTCACCCCCACCCCCCCAATATTCTACCAGATGTTATTAAGGATTGTAATCGAGGTCCAGTCTCTTCGACCTGTCAAGTGATTATTTCAGTGTGTTTTTTTTTTTTGCAACTGTTTATGCTAAAACATTGGTGGTGAGAAGATCTTTGTACCACGCGTTGCGCTATCGAATGGCAAAGGAGCACGTAAATGGCCACCCCCCGGCAAAAAGTTTGGGACTCGGCCTTGGGCGAAATAGAGGAAACCTAACCCAGAGATCCTCAATCGCTCACAAATATACGGTCAATTCACTTCACAGTCTATTCTGTGAAGCCCTTTGAGACGTCGAGAAGACGTGGAAAGCACTATATCAAATGCAAGGATTATTATTATTATTACTATAATCACTCTGAACGCTTTTTGAGAGAGGAAGCTTTGGAATGTTTACCTTCTAATCCAGAGGGTTGATAGAACGTGGAAGTATCTCGCTCACAAGTAGCTGTTGACGCTCAATCCATGGGGCGGGCGAGGTGGGTGGGTATGGATAACGAGTAGGGAAATGGTATGAGAGCGGTCAACGAGCGAGTACAAGCACACACATGATGGGCTGCCCGGTTACTTTCCTTTTGGTGCTCTGGGACGTTGTACAAATGCAGGTGGTTGTTGTTGTTGTGCTGTTCTATGGTGACCCGTGTCTGCTGGACTGAGCAGAGATGCTGTGCCAGTGGGCGAGAGAGAGAGAGAGAGAGAGACTGGCCACAACGGCTGTGCCATCGCAAGCTGGTTTGGTCTTGTTGCTTCTTGACTAGCGTTGTTGGTTGAGGCTTCAGGAGATATGAGCAGCCTCTCGATGTTGCAGGTTTAAGGATGGAAAGCGGGTGGGTGTGGGGGAAAATCAGCCAGAGTTCCTACTCGCAGTCTTAAGCCAGCTCAGAGCTGGTGGGGTGGGTGGGTTAGCTCTGCTTTGTCTGAAGTGCTGTCCTCTGGATGAGACGTTCAACTGAGCTCCTGTCTGTGTCCCTTCAGAAAGGGAAGGGAGTTCTTCCTGGTGTCCTGGCTGACCATTCTCCTCCCCGCCACCCCCAGCCCCCCCCCCCCCCATCAGATAATATCAATCAAAGACATTGCTGTGTGCAAATTGGCTGCCACGTTCGCCCACTTTACAGTCACTACACTTTACAGCCGAAGCGCTTTGAGACGTTTGAGACGACTCAATCGGGCGCGGTGTCAAAGGCTTAGCATTGGAATCTTACAGCACAGGAGGAGGCCATTCGGCCCGTCGTGCCTGAAAGAACTATCCCAACTAGTCCCACTCGCTCCCCCTCTCTTACCCCATAGCCTTGCACATTTCCCCCCCCCCCCCCCCCCCACCCTCACCCCCCTTTTCTCAAGTACACATCCAACTCCCCTTTTGAAAGCTACTGTCGAACCTGCTTCCACCACCCCGTTTGAGGCATTGCAGTGCGTTCTCGCATTGTTGCATTGCTGGGTTATTTGTTACCCCTGGTATCCAGTGATATCTGCTTGAGGTTGGGGATGGACTCTATTTCTTTCCTTTTCTTACAGCCCAAGGGGGCTGACCGGAAACAGAAAACCGATCGAGAAAAGATTGAAAAGAGGACAGCCCAGGAGAAGGAAAAATACCAGCTGTCTTACAGCACCACCATCCTCACCGAGGTCAGATGTCACTCCTGTGAATTGGACCGTAGAGGCTTTTGAACTTAAAACGACATACAATTTCAAGTTGAATAAAGCTGGAGCTTTCAACCCAGTATACTTTAGTTGCACAACGTTTCTGTAGCTGTAGAGTTATTCCTCTGCTCCTGTTCAGAAGATTTGACTTCCTACTCCCTTTTTTTTTTCCCCTCTCTCCCCCCCCACCCCCACCCCACCCCACATTGGATTGGATGAATAGTGACAGTGCTAAAAGCTGTCACGAGAGATCTGCCTAACCTTTTGTTCTCTGTTCTCTTTCACAGTGCTCTCCCTGGCCTGAGATCTCCTACTTGAGCAATCCTCCCTCGCCAGGCTACAGCATCTCACCTGGCAGCTACATTGTTAGCGAAGGGTAAGTACATAATAATAATAATAATCCTTGCATTTGGTATAGAGCCTTATCACATCAAAGCGCTTCACAGAATATACTGTAAACTGACTGTATATTTTGTGGGCGAAACGCGGCAGCCAATTACGCACAGCAGTGTCCCATAAACAGTCGTGGATTGAAGTGACCAATTTATTTTTTTTGGGGGGGTTTATTACTCCCAGAAAGGCAATCGACATAGTGAATCTCTACACAGCCTGTTTGTGGGACTCTGCTCTGTCTCGCAGGTCTAATCAGTGCCGTGTCCCTGGCAATGAGTATTACAAATTGGGAGAATTTCTATCTTTTAATTTGCGGATTGGGAATACTCCAGGAATTGTAGCACTTCTCTGGGGAAAAAATGCCAGCGTTCTCAGTCATGGCCCCTCTCCCCACTTCCCCGCGGACAAATATCTGAGCTGTCAGATAGGCAAGTAACTCCGTAGGGAACAATTATATAGTTCATCCCATTATAATCCCTATTAATGTGCTAATAGGGAGCTTCTGCACGGTTCCTCGAGGATCTGCTATCCTCTTTTGTTATTTGTGACCCGGTAGCATTTCTACTCCAGGGTGAAGTGGAATGACATTGTACTTGAAGAATTCCGACATCAATTTAGAACTTTGGTCGTTATCATTTAAACGATGATAATTTTTTAAAAAAAAATATCTAAAGTGATTGACATAGGGCACAGAAAGAGGCCATTCGGCCCAACTAGTCCGTGCCGGTGTTTATATTCCACGCAAGCCTCCACCCATGCCCTTCTATCTCTTTTCCCTCATCCACCCATCATCTTGTCTGTTAAGTACTTTGATACTTTTTCCTCGAACCACAAGTTCTGGCAGTGAGGTCCACGTTCCCATCACCCTGTAAATAAAATTCCTCCTGAACTCCCCATTGCATCGGTGACTGAATGATGATGATATTAATAATAATAATAATCCTTTTGTTTGATATGACGCCTTTTCACGTCGTTGAGCCTTCTCAAAGCGTTTCCCAGAATAATACATAAAATAATAAATAATCCTTGCATTTGATATAGCGCCTTATCACGTCTTCGAGACACCTCAAAGCATTTCACATAGTATCGTGTAAAGTGAATTGAATGTATGTTTTGTGCGTATGTTTACTATAGTATATTATATCGCGTATATTTCCGATACATTGTAAAGTGGATTGACTGTATTTTAAGGGTGAAACGCAGCAGCAAATATCTTGCATTTGGTATAAATCTCTTACCAATCAAAGGGTTGGGGAAAAAGCCTAGTAAGCTATTCTCTTTGCCTGAAATCAGTCAATGATAAAAATTTCTCCCCGCACGTGCCGTTTCAGAAACTGTTCCCCAACTGAAGTCGAGCCCCTTCCTCCGAGCATAGATGTAAGTACCAATGATAATCCTTCCATTCGATATAGCTCCTTTCACGTGGGGAGAACGTCTCGCAGGACCTCGAGTGGCTGTGTATTTTATCGGAGAATGTGGTGGCAACTGATTTGCACGCTGCAATGTCCCACAAACAGCCGCAAAGTGCGTGACTGGGGAATTGTTGTACAGGACCCTGGGAGAAACTGCCTTCTCTTTTTGAATAGTGTCACAGGTTGTTTAATGTCCACACGAACAGCGACAACAAGATTACATTTGTATAGCGCAATTCACATCGGGCAGACGTTGAAGTTCCTTTAACATCTCATCTAAAAGTCAACACCTCTGACAGTGTAGTGATCCCGACGCTCAAAGTCCTGACTTGAACCCACAATAATAATAATTAAATGTAATTGCATTTGATATAGTGCCTTATCATGTCATTGAGACGTTTTGAAGCACTTCACAGAATGTATTGTAAAGCAGGTTGACTGTATGCTTTTATTAAATTTTATTAGTATTATTTTTATTTATTAGATATTAAACACAAGTTTCCGACTTGCGTGCGGGTGCAGGCCGACACCTAAAGTATCTGCGAGGCTCTATTGACACGGTGCCTCGTTTGTTGAAGGAAACGCTGGTTTATTTACAGTTTATTTCCTTTAAGCGAAGGGCTTCTATCCTCTCTGTATCGCAGCACCTTCTGCCCGTAACAAGCAACCAAGATGTACAACAGTGGCTGCTCAGACACCGCTTTTCACCTTTCTGCCGACTGTTTGTGAACTTCTCAGGTAATCAGCTCCTTCAGCTACAACCACAGCCACAAATTACACATGTATAGCGCCCTTCATGTCGGAAAGACGTCCCAGGGCGCTGGACAATTGGGGGTTAGTGACTATGTATTTGTTGGCGAATGTTCCAGCCCAATTTGAGCACAGCAAATCTCCCCACAAACAGCTGTGGAGTGAACGCCCAATTTTAATTTGGGCTATTGTTGGCCATGACACCCGGAGAGAAACTCACTTCTATTTATCAAATTATTTGGGGATTTGGGATCTTTAATGTCCACCTGAATGGTTTTATCCAAAGCACAGCGCCTCTGACATTGCACCTTCCCACTCCAGCGCTGCATTGGAGTGTCGACCTAAATTAAACAGTTCTGTAAAATCTCACTAGAGACTATCTAGTTAATCTTGGGTGTCTTAACCTTGCAGAGAAACATTGCGTCTAACTCCAAGCCAGACTTGTCCCTCTGTGTAGTGGGCCTGTAATGTGTTGGCATTCCCCATACTTACGGGTGGCGGTTGCTTGATTTCCGCAGGTGCAGACTTGCTGAAGCTCTCCAAAGAGGACCTGATCCAGATCTGTGGTCCTGCCGATGGAATCAGACTGTTTAACGCCATCAAAGGAAGGTACGTCAAACTCGCTCTACAGATGGATTCGCCTTCAACCTCTCTGCCCCTAACCCTTTGAAACTTCATCCGCCAGTCCCTTCGCCTCACTCCCTCCCTTGCCTTCCCTTCTTAAGACTCAAATTTTTGACTTTGGTCACCTTCCTATCCCTGCCCTCCACCCCTCCTGATCCCAATCCCCAACTCGAGTCCAAATCCCTAACTGTCCATTGCCTTGGCATATCCTCCTGATGTGAATATATACACACACACACACATTATTGTTGTCTTGTACGTTGCAAAATAAAGCTTTGCCTTTTGTCGTTCTCTAACCAACAGAACCATCCGTCCCAAACTGAGAATCTATGTGTGCCAGGAACCTGAGCACAACGGAACCCACCAGCCACAAAAGCAAGAAGGTGGAGGAGGGCAGAGCACTTTGTGTGGTGAGTGCTGTAACTGTAGGGAGGGACGAGTCTTTGTGCGAGCATCGCTGACCTAGAGGGGATGCCAAGATAAGTCAAATGCTCACCCAGTCTAGTTAACGCGGCAACTAGGTTTCTTAAATCCAATCGTTTATTAATCCGAGAGATGAATGGGTGCAGAATAAACACCTGGGGAATTAATGAAATGTACCAAATTGGCAAAATAATTAGAATAAGGCAACAACTAAGCAAACCATTTTGCTGTATTCTAGGGATGGCCAAAATACCAAAATAATAGGCGCAGTCAGCTGACCTAGTGACTGGTTACCTGGCAAAGTATCCGAGTATCAGTGTTATAACTGAACGGTCTTCTGGTCAGCCCCTGTGCTTTGCTTCACCTCTGATGTTTAAGCACTTATACTAGGACATGTCAAGGACTCGGATGTTAGATCTTAATGTCTTGACCCATTGGGAAGACCATCCTTTCTCTGAATGTTTTACTAGAGGATGGGTTACCTGCATCCTGGACTATGCCAGTGTTTCTCTGTGCTCACCCTTTGGATAGAGGGCACAGACAGCCTAAAGGGACTTGTACTTTTTTTTCTTCTGTGGCCCATCACTTTGTGTGGAGCCCAACCCATCCCTCCTTCTCGCCTGAAGCCCACGGTGGCTTCATGAGCCGTGTCAAGGCACTCGGGTACTTTGCCCGGGTGACTATTCTGCATATGCGAGCTCAGGTAGTAAGTATTTTCAAGCTGACATTGCAGTTGAACATGATCCCAATGCTCGAGGGTAACTGGATAATCCTTGCATTCAAGACAGCCGCCTTTCACATCGAGAGGACGTCTCAGAGCGCTTCGCAGGATTTACACTATTTTATAGGGTTTCGAGAAGTCACGGAATTAACATTATCGCTATCTCTCTGCTTCTTAATGCTAATCAATTTATTCCCAATCTCTTTAGTAGGTTCACACGATGAATTGAATGTAACGGGTTTTTGAAGTGTGTGTATTTTTTTGGGAGCATTGATAGGGCACGAAAAGCCAACCAGTTTTGTGCCAGATGAACTCTAAATCCTTGCTCCTTGTGCCTGACATTTCTCTTAAGATAATCTTTGGAAAGGAAATTTTTTTTTCTTTTACATTCAGCCCTTAGGAAGCGATCATTAACTATTTATTTTGTAAGGATTGAGAGAAACTATGTACTTTGTAACAGTGTTAGCATCCGGATGGTGGAAGGCGAACTAGATGTCTTTTGCCTTGCAAAATCTTAAGTAGGAGCAGATCAGCCATGATCTAATAGAATGGTGCAACAGGCTTGAGGGTCTGAATGACCTCCTCATGTTCCTAAGGTTCATTGATGGTTTCAGTTGTGAAACCCTGGTCAAGAAAACTAGCTCTCAACTCCAAGCCATTTGATTACAAATATACACCAACCTTGTATAGATCACCAGATTGGTAGTATTGTGTTTAGTGTGGGTCAATTGGTTTGGAGAGAGGGCAAGGAAGAAAAGCAAGAGGGATGATGCCTGTTTTTTGAGGGGAGTTCTAAGTTATGCTGAGAGGCTGAATTTGTTCTCATCAGAGACAAAACAACTGACTTGACACGATTCACTTTTACCTGCGAGGGGGAGATGAACGCAAGCTATTTGATAAAGATCATGAGCGTAGAACTTGTTTGAAATTAACTAAATAATAATACTATCCTTGCATTTGATAGGGCTCTTTACAAGTCAGGAGGACATCTTGGAACTCTTCATAGCATTTTACTGTGTATTTCGTAGGCAAACAAGACTAGGGATTAGACAAAGGGAATCTAAATTGACTCCCAAAAAAGCAGTGATGTTGCGTCACTAAATTGGGACCGTCTTGAAGGATCTAGGAATAGTTCAGGCCGCTCTAAAGATACACAAGGGATATGATTGTTTCTCTGTAGCTGGGAAGTGTAGGACTATTTGTGGTGCATAGGTTGGGAGGGAAGATCCTTCTATAGTTTTTGCTTGCTTGCTTTTGGGATTGTGGAACGTTTTTGCAGAATTTTCCTGCTGCAGGAAATGGGCTGGTCTCCGTGATGGGATTCGTTTTACATCGCCTGTACAAGGAGCAAGACAGGTGGATAGATTTTTGTTAGGTCAGGGTATCAAGGGATATGGGGCAAAGGCGGGTAATTGGAGTTGAGGTACAGATCAGCCATGATCTAATAGAATGGCCGAACAGGCTAGAGGGGCTGAATGGCCTACTCTTGTTCCTATGATGGGCCAAATAGCTTTCTCTTTTCTTATGATGTTGTTCTCCTGTGGCCAAAGAGCCAGGGGAGCCCCTGGAGGGGGGAGGGGGTTCATTGTATGGTGCTGGAGTTTAGCATATCAGCTGAATGCCATATTTATACTACTTGGTGCCTGGGATTGAGTGAGGGGATGAAAGTCCTTTCTCATTGCCTGCAGGGTCATCAGTGAAATTAATTTAGCTTTTCTCGATCGAGCTCTTGCGAATCCGTAGCAAGGAACAGCCTACAATTTGCAAGGATGGTTGATGTGAGAAATGGACCAATTTGCATTGGTTGCTAGTCAGAAGAATGGGGGTGAAAGGCGTCACTTTGGGATTGAGGCACAAAGTTAGGGCGGAATAGAGGACAAAGTGTTCCATATTGATGCCCAAGCAACAACATTGGGAGAATATTTCCATTTATTCATTCACTGATGACCCCCATCTCAATGAATGAAGCATCATTGTTTTACCAAGTGCGAAAAAGTTAGACCAACAATATAGTAACAGCCCATTATTATCAGATGAGTCTTACTGTTTCCCCTGTGTGAGAGGTCCCTAAACATTTGATGTGTATTATTGTCCCTTTACTGTACCTGTGCCATATACTTTTTTTTATTGAAATTGCAAACCGCTATTTAAATACTGCTCAATTCAGGCATCCAACCATTTGATTTCCCTTCCTCCCCTCATTAAATGTCTTGCAACAAAAGTTATGAAAAGTTACCAATCAATCATAACAATCCTTGCATTTGTTACTGTGCCTGTCGTTTTGAGAGGACATCTCAAAGCGCGATGGACGATTTGCTATAAATTGGAGTGTCTTTTGCGAGCGAACGATTTGCTATAAATTGGAGTGTCTTTTGCGAGCGAACTTGGCAGCCAATTTGCGCACAGCAATGTCCCATAAAGAGCCACGAAGTCAATAACCAGATTTATTTGGGAAAATTGTTGGCCAGGACATCAGGAGAGAAGCTCCTTTTCTCTTTTCCCCCTCCCCCCTCCACAAATAAGACCTTCGGTATTTTTAACATCCATCTGAACAGGCGGATGGGACCTCAGTTGAACGTCTCATCTGAAGGACGATACCTCAAGCAATACAGCATTCCCTCATCACTTCACTGGAACACCAGCCTAGACTATATGAGTTTGGGGCTTGTGACTCAGTGACGAGAGCGCTACCATATGAGCCAGGCTGACATCTGTTGGTTTTTCTTTTATATTTCACAAGTTTTTAATCGTGTTTGGAACTTTATAAATAAGATAAACTTTTCTTGTTTCCTCCAGTCTACCATGCAATCTATTTGGAAGAACTGACAGTGGTAGAATTGACTGAGAAAATAGCAAATCTGTACAGCATTTCTCCACAGCAGATTAACCAGATCTACAAACAGGGACACACTGGGATCCACGTGCTTATCAGTGATGAGGTGAGAGATCCCAGTTTAGCTCCTTGCACAGAATTACAGCTGAGATGATGCACAAAAAGAAAAAAAAACAACTTTAATATTTCTCTCCAGGTTTGTTTCTTTTGGGGTTTGGAAAAGGAACTTTAGAAATGTTCTGGTCAACTAAAAGGATTTTGGGGGATATTAGAATTGGAAATCAGTCCGTCAAAGGAATATTATGGATTATTGGGTGGACAGACTAGATGGACCAATGGTCCAACTATTGTCTGATGTTATTCCTGTCGTACCTTCATCTCTATTGGTTTGGACCCATGTAGTGAGTTCCTGGTGGAGACTGAAGTGGGTCCTATTCAAATTGCCGATTTGGGCTTTTTTTGCCTGGGGTGGGGGGAGGTAGTCTTTTCACCTTATATGCAGTGGGAGTAAGGGGGGGCGGTTGTGGAAAATTGCCTTGATCGCTGAGATCGACAGTTGAGTGCACTCGAAGCTGAGTTGAGGTGGTGGCCTCCTCTGCCTCACACCAACATTGCATCCAGGAGTGGTCAATGTCTCTTAGGTTTGCGGCCTGAGATTACTAAGATGGCATCATCACTGCAGAAACAGTGCGAAGGTGGAAGATCCCAAGGCAGGTAAGTCATGGGGGGAAGGGGAAGGGAGGGGAGAGGGAAGGGTTAGTGGGTGTGCTGTTAATTATGGAACAGTAAAAAGTTTGTGGCGTTTCATAACATGTTTGATGTGATATCATAGAGAACTTGGCATCCACACATCAATTGTGGATGTGAAATCAGTAGAGTTGTCAGATCTCTTGTGTGTCTCCCTCCCTCTAACTCTCTGTGTGTATGTGTGTGTGTGTGTCTTTCTCTCTCTCTCTCTCTCTCTCTATCTCTCTGTGCGTCTCTCTACTTGCGTGAGTCAGAACTCCATTTCTCACTCTCAGTCCTGCTCAGGAAACCGCTGACCTGGTAACTGTGCACGTGACTAATTTACGTTGGTTGACTTCGCAGTCCGACCCCTCTCCCACATCAGAACCCGATTCGGATAGCTTGGCAACCATTACCCGCTATTTCTACCGAAAATATCGCATCGCAACACGTTGTGAAACGCTGCTAATTGAATTGGTTAACTGTACAGTAAAACGCACATAAGTCTGACCTGTATAATCGCCTAAATCATACAACTGCCCAAGTCCCGTTCAAGAGATTATTTTCTTTGCGAGTTTGACTGAACTCATACTTTGCATAAGTCATCGTAAAAGTATGATCCCAACTGCTATGACTTATGTGAGATTTACGGTACTGTGTTTTATTCACATTTGGCGAATGAACTGCCCTGCCAAGTAAAGTGGTGGAGGCAGAGTCCATTGTGGGAAACAGATGGGTATACGAAGGGTAGAGGCTCGAAAATCAAAGGTATAAGGAGATTGAATGAGCACTGGCGCAGACTTGATGAGCTGAATGGCCTCCTTCTGTGCTGTAAATTTCTACAGTCCTGTGTTGGAAGAGTGCGTATTTTCAATCCAAGATTAAGCAGCGAATGGTTATTTTAATCAACCTCAGCGGCAACTTGGGTGACCAGCCAGGCCGGGTCGGAAGAGAAACGACACATCTTGCTAAAGCGGTCGTCTCACTCACTGTTCAGGCAAATGCTATTGAGACATTCAGTACTTATCAGTCGATCTCTCACGCAGCTCACTCAATAACACTTCGGTTACCTATTAAGAATCTATTGCTTTATTTTGGAGTTCTCACCGTGCAAAAGTTTACACTAGAGCAACAGAAGGAATCGGTGGGAACAGTTGTTGACGTACAAGTGTACTTCACGCCTCATTTGGCAGGATGGAAGTACAAACAATGGGGAGTTATGGCCCAAGGTCTATTTATCCGGGCTGTCATTCTACAAAAACACATCCCACATTAGCGTGCTTTTATTTAGCACCATTTACTCCAGCTCATTCTCTCACTAGCCAATGATGAACCTTCGGGACCTGTGAAGATGGATCCTAGAAATGAGAAGCCCACTAATTCCGAGTGAGCGAGCGACAGAGAGGACTGCATACATTTACAAGGATGTTACCAGACACGAGTTGGATGTAGTTATCAAGAAATATTGGACAAACCAAAGCTTTTTTTTTTAGGCTGGAGATGTGATTGATTTAGAAGGCACCTGAGAGAGGTATTTTAAGATTATGAAAGGATTTTGATAAGGTGGACACTGATAGAATGTCTTCACTTGTCGGCAAATCCAAAACTAGAGGAGCCTATACGTAGCCAGGAGCAGGGAAGTTTAGGAGGAACTTCTTCAGGTAGAGAGTGGTGAGAATGTGGATCTCACTGCCAGAAGCAAATAAGAGGAATGTGATGCTCATCTAACGGAGATGGAAATAGTGGGGATTAGGGGAGGGGTGAAGGGTCGGTTGGAATACAAACACCAGCTTGGGCTAATTAGCCCAAACTGCCTATATCCGTGCCGCAATGTACCACGTAATTATGGAGACAACGAAACCAACTTGGAAGGGATTGCGCGATTGTAATCCGATCCGAGGCATTGCAGTGACATCTTTCGAACCATATGGGCAAAACCTTGAACAACAATGAGGGTAAAGATTGTGGCTGTCAGTATACGGAGATTATAAGATGTGAAGTTATCCTTTGATGTGGGGGCGGAGGAGGGTTTACAGCTGGGCTGGTTATCTGATGGGTTACGTTTCGTGTTCTGATAACATTCAGTCGCGAGGGGATCAATGATTGGTATGTTAATCATGGTTGATTTACAGTGGATATGATGCAACTATACAGAGCATGACTTATAGTCTTGACTCTGCTCCCTTGCACTAGGACACGTAGAAGTTGAGTTCTGGCTTCTACCCACCTCCCGATCTTCCCGTTGAACAACCACAAAGCAGCCAAGTATTTGATCGGAGTTTACTTCAGTTCAATTTAATTTTAATTCAGCAAGTTTAGGACTGATGCCAGGAAGCGTTTCTTTACAGAAAGGCAAAGCAACAGGCTGGAAGGGTGGCAGAGGCCAGGATACCAGACTCCTTTAAGACACCGGAGGATGATGCAATGGGAAAGCGATGGAGTTCCTTTCGTGGAGGGATGAGATCAAATAACAATCCTTACGTTTGACATAGTCTCAAAGCACTTCACAGGATTTCTTGTAAATGTAAAAACTGTGTACTCGTAGGCACATTTTGGAGTTCTCACCGTGCAAAAGTTTACAGTAGAGCAACAGAAGGAATCGGTGGGAACACAGCTAGCTTTGTTGACGAAAGTGTACTTCACGCCTCAAAGCCAATTTGGGCACAATGACAACCCACAAACAACCATTACATGAATGACCAATTTAATCTGGGTGATTGTTGGTCATGACACCGGGAGACAGAAACTCCCTTCTCCACAGGATCATTAACATCCAGCAGAACAGGCAACAACAACAAATTATATTTGTACAGCTCCTTTCACGTCAGGAGGATGTCCCAAGGCGCTGGACAGTCAGGGATTTGGACCTGAGCTGGGGGGAATGAGATCAGGGGAGGGTAGGGGCAGGAGGCTGACCTCAGTTTAACTGAGGTGAAGGTTACTGTATAAATGTAAGTTGCTGTTGTTGTGGAGGCGGTAATAAAAAGTGTTCTGTAAAAATGGAAATCTTCTGTTTTCGTCACTTCACATTGCTCTGGTAACCATTTTGCAGGGACGGAGTATGAATTGTTGGCTTTTCTTTCTAATGCTTCTATTTTTATTTCCAGATGATACGGAACATACCTGATGAGGCTTGCTTTGTCATCAGCACCTTAAAAGGTACAACTTAACTTTATTCCTTTCCTTCCCTTAAAACAGCAAATGTTGCCTCCTTGGGTGGATGTGGGAAGGCTTTGGTTGGCTCAAATTGCCCGCCATCGCCAACCTCCCTTTCCTCTCCAATGTCCTGGAACGAGTTGTTGCTTCGCTCCTTACTTTCCCGCCACTCCCTTCTCGAATCCTTCCAATCGGGTTTCTGTACCGCCCACAGCGTAGAAGCAGCCCTGGTCAAAGTGACAAATGACATTCTGTCCATCTGCGACCAGGGCTCCCTCTGCCCCCTCGTCCTCCTTGACCTCTCTGCTGCCTTCGACACCGTTGACCACTCTGTCCTCATCCACCGCCTCTCCTCTCACCTCAACCTTCATGGCTCTGTCCTTGAGTGGTTCAGATCGTACCTCTCACACCATCTCCACTTCATCTCCACAAACGGTTTCTTCTCCAGCCCCCACACCATCTCGTGTGGCGTTCCTCAGGGCTCTGTCCTTGGTCCCCTCCTCTTCAATATCCATATGCTCCCTCTTGGTGACATCATCTGCAGATATGGGGTCAACATCCACATGTATGTGGATTACACCCAACTGTACCTCTCTGCCTCCACCTTTGTCATACATCAAGTCCTGGATGAGAGCTAACTGTTATTTGCTTCTTTGTTAAAAGCGGTGAGGGTCTGGGACTCACAAGTGTACATTTATCTAGCACTTTTCACATCGGGAGGACCTTCCAAAGTGCTTTACAATCATGGCTTGGCAACTGAGCTGAGAATGGTGGGAGGGTGAAAGATGACCGATAGCTTGGCCAGAGAGGTAGGTCTTGAGACAGACATTGAAGGGTGAGTGAGGTTAGCTGTAAAGGTTGATAGAGAAATGGTCCTTGCTAAATTGGAAAAGTGCATGTCAAATTGGAAGCTCTCCAGCTCTCTTACATGACTCAATGAGTTATTCAGTGAGATCAGGAAGGTCCATTTCCTGAGTAATGTAACTCTTAAGAGCACTTCTCATCCCTCATCACATAGGTAGCCTTTTCCGAACTAAATTATTCTGCGTCGGATGCTTCGGTAGTGGCTGAAGAAATTTACACCCACTGTGTGTGTCTCCTTCACAGCTGAGAGAAATGATGGGTATCACATCATCTTAAAGTGAAGATGAACAGCCAAAGAAGTCAGCTGTTCGGATGCCACTGTGACTTGGATATTGGAAGCCGTCTGCGAAATACAATGGTCCATCGCTCTGCCCAAACCTGCTGTCGTGTCACTCCAAGCCTTCGAGAGCTAACAGAGAAACAGATGATTTTTTTTTCCCAAATCGAGATTTTTTTTGTTTGTTTGTTTGTTTCTCAGTGCCTTAATCCTTGCTGTAGTTTGATCTTGTAGTTTCGACCAGTTGAGTTCCACTCCCAATGTGTTGTCAAACCAATTCTACAGTAGGGAGTTAGGACTATGTAAGGAGATGTGCAATATTGTCGTAGGAAAGCCCTTGTGAGTTTAGTGTGTGGTGATGCGGGCGGTTATGTTATATCTGACCCTGGTGTGCCATCGATCAACAATGAGGACTCTTAACCTGTGACGTTGACGAACTGGATTCTCTGTGTTGAACGCGAGTCACGGCTCGCGAATCCCCAAAAAGTGGACAAAAATTCCAGGGAGCGAACCCCAATCAGAAATGCCAATTTTTTATTTTGCTGATTCGGATTTCGTTGTTTTGAGATTCGCGATTGTCCCAGCTGTAGATTTCGAAAGCCCGACTCTCGGCGGCCAGATGTTACGATAAACTCGACCATCTTCCTAAGATTGCAAGTTCACATGTCTCCTTGGTTTAAGGGAACCACAAATTCCGCGTCATTTTGATCACTGGCCGAAACGAGCATGACTTCTGTTTCTTTGCGGCGAGTGTGTCTTTTGTCCTATAAGAGGTATTGAACGGCCAATGACATTTTTTTTGTTATATATGATCAAAGAACCGTTTGAGATGCTGTATGTTCAATCCATACGAAGCCTCCTTTCCCTGAAGCTTTGAGTCCTGCGTCTTTCTTCTGTAAAAGGAGACGAGAACCAAAATGGTATTGGAATCGAATTCTTGCATTTGGTACTATAAGCTTTAAAACAATCTAGGATATGCAATTGCGTGTCTCGGTGAATATGGGAATAGGTGAAAAGGATTGACATATCAGTCACTTCTGTTTTTCTCTCTCTCTCTCTTCCAAGTAGCCACCTCTGTCTGCAAGCTACTGATGTAACACAGTCACTACGCTTTACAATATTCCAAGAATCGCTTTGAGACATTTCAATCACATGATAAGGTGTTATACCAAATGCAAGGATGATTATTACTAGTGTATGTTCCAAAGCACTGCCAGTCAAAGTGATTAATTTCCCACTGAGATTAAGAATAGGAGCTGGGCATGTATTTATATATTTAAAGTTGGGAAAGGTGGAGGGAATGTTGAAGAAAGATCAGAACCTTATACACAAGCGTTTTACAAGGCTGTTTCTTGTTATCTCCTTCTACCTGATCTATTTTGTAAATTTATTTTCTGTGTAGAGCGGAATCGTGCTGAGAGGTTCTTCAAAGGGCATTGATGGTTCATCTACGAGAAATCAATGTTGTGCCCTTCTCAGTCGGATTGAAGATTTGTTTCATCAAACCTTAGAAATTAGGTTTGCTGTAATATTGAATGCAGGGTCAATCAAAAGTCCTAACTCATAGGTCTCCGTGAGATGTCCAAACTCCTTGCCATGGAGACGTTTACACATATTGACTCGCTGACAAAAAAAACTTTCGCAAACACATCTGCAATAGCTGCACACTCTCTACCAATGTTGTCTTCTTAAAAGGGAGTCCTGTCGCGTAGTGGTTAGAGCGCGCGCCTCGCAAGCGAGAGGACCCGTGTTCCATTCTCGGTGGTTAGTCAATTGGCGGATCTCTTTGTGGGTGTAAGAATCCCTTCAAAAAAAAAAATAAGACGCATTTGGTCACTCAGCCCGCGATTGTTTGTGGGACGCTGCTGAACACAATCGGCTGCCGCGTTTCGCCCACAAAATAATGCCGTCAATTCACTTTACATTCTATCCTGTGGAGCGCTTTGAGACATCTCAAACGACGTGATCAGGCGCTAATCAAAGGCAAGGATTATTATTATGTAGTGAAAGAACATAATGATTGAAAACGTTTCGAGTAAGGACTTCTGTTTTTTTCCCCCCCCCCCCCCCCCCCCCCACCAGTATCTGCTGCCATTAAAATAGTAACGTTTACATGATGACCTGGACCACATGGGGAGCACCCACAGACAAGTGGCTTTTCCTTTTCCAATAGCAATCGCAGACGCATGTGGCTTGTACTGAAATCGTCCAGAATTGGGTGTTCCCACCACCATTGGGCGGCGGGGGGAAAGCTTCACCAAATCAGTGATAAGCTACAACCATTTCAAATGCGGGGATATATTCATCCCAGCCTTGAATATTGTAAATTTTGTTGTTTGTATGTTCATTCTCTTTACCGTGCTAGGTGGGCGTATATTTGAATGGACTTTTAAGGCGAGGTTCAAGTCTTTTCTCCTGCCCCGCATGCTTTGAGGGATTTTTTTTTTGTACCGGCACAAAGTAAATAATCATTTGATTTATATAATGATAATTGTCTTCATGAAAGGGGAAAGGTGTCGTTGATTTTTTTTTAAAAAATATACATATTTTCAGGTAAAATTTGTGTATTTTGTGGAGAAAAAAAAAATCTCTGTTGGTTTCTTTAACTGGGTGACTGTCTGTGACCATTAATCTCATGAGTTTGGCAACGATTGAGACATGCGAGGAAACTTGTTGGGTGGTTGGATCACTCCTCGCAGCAAATGTCCCTATAATTCTGAAAAGCTATGTTTTTTTTGTACACGAAATGAAAGCACATTTTTGCACCGGCTATTGTACACGCCAATTATTTGAAAAATGTTCTATACCTGCAAGTTTGTCAACAAAAAGTGAATAAATCTACCTTTTGTAACAAGCCTATGTCTCTATGGTCTTGCCCCACTCTACCTAAGCTGTGGAGTCCTGCAGCTCAGTGGTTAGAGCACTCACCTCGCAAGCGAGAGACCTGGGTTCGATTCCCGGGCAGAGCGAAACACAGGGCAAGTTTCCTTACTCCATACACTTACTTAGTAGTTGTTAGTAGTTGAAAGGCCCTGTCTTTGAGTGGTTAGGTCGTACCTCTCCCACCGTCTTCACTTTGTTTCCACGAATGGTTTTGTCTCCACCCTCCCGCACTGTCTCGTGCGGTGTCCCTCAGGGCTCTGTCCTCGGTCCCCTCCTCTTCACCCTCTATATGCTGCCCCTGTGGTGACATCATCCGCAGACATGGGGTTAACTTCCACATGTATGCGGATGACACCCAACTCTACCTTTCCTCCTCTACCCTCAACTCCACGACCACCGATGTCCTGACAGCTGTCTCTCCGACATCGAGTCCTGGACGAGAGACAACTTTCTTCAGCTCAACGTGCGCAAAACTGAGGCCCTCCTGATTGGCTCACGTCTGCGCCTCCGCACCTCAGGCGCTGACGCCATCAGCATCCAAGGCCGCACTCTCCACCTCTCAAAGCCATCAGGAACCTCGGGGTTCTGTTCGGTTCTGTTTCTCCCTCATATCCGCGCCACAACTGGCAGCGACTTCCATCACCTCCGGAATGTCGCCAGACTACGGCACTACCTCACCCCTCACGCTGCTGAAACTCTGGTCCACGCCTTTATCACCTCAAGGCTGGACTATGGGAACTCTCTCCTCGCCGGCCTTCCCGGCCCTCCCTCCACACTGCAGGTCATTCAGAACTCTGCACTCGTGTACTGTCCCGCACCAGACACGGCGACCACATCACTCCCACCCTCGCTCCCCTCCACTGGCTCCCCATCCCCCAGAGGATTGAATTCAAGTTCCTCATCCTCACCTACAAGGCCATTCACGGCCTTGCTCTCTCCGACCTACTATCCCCCTACCTACCTGCCCGTACCCTCCGTTCCTCTGGCTCCGGTCTGCTCCACATCCCCCACCCCAACCGCCCTACCATCGGTGGCCGGGCCTTCAGCCTCTCAGCCCCGAGGCTCTGGAACTCCATCCCCCAGTGCCTTCGCCACCTCCTCCCTTTCCTCCTTCAAGGCCGGTCTCAAGACCTTTCTCTTTGACCGTGCCTTCAGCTCCCCTCTCGACTCTCTATCCCCTCCCTTCCCTCCCCTCACCCTGACCATTCCCCCCTGCTCGGGTCCTGACCCAACTGTACAGCGCCTTGAGAAGTCCTCCCGACGTGAAAGGCGCTCTATAAATGGAATCTTGTTGTTGTTGTTAGTCGATTGGCGGATCGCTTTGCTGGGGGTAATAATTCCTTCAAAAAAGAAAGAATAAATTGGTCACTCAATCCACAACTGTTTTAGGGGACGCTGCTGTGCGCATATTGGCTGCTGCGTTTTGCCCACAAAATATACAGTCAATCCACTTAACAGTATACACTGTGAAATGCTTTGAGACGTCTTAAAGACGTGATAAGGTGCTATGTCAAATCCAAGGGTTATTATTATTGGCGTTGAAAGAATCGCAGATCCTTTTCATGCATATAAACAACAATAATGTACATGTTGATCTTAATGTTGAATCTCCTTGTTAATTAGTAACCAACCATTGCATGCTAAGAAATGAACATTTGCCAATTCCTTGGTCAGGTGGATTGGATCCCATTACAGTGTTAATAGGTAAAGCAGTAACTCAGAAATGACTCTATTCTGAGAAAGCACCAGATGATTATTTGCCCCCGCTCCATTGTCACCAGAATAGAGAAATTGGTGACAATAATCATCCTTAATGACTCCACAACCTTCTTGTCTTGGAGACAACATTGCTAATGTCCATTGAATGAGACATTAAGAGATCCTGTCTGTGGGACACCGCTGTGCGCAATTAGCTGCTGTATTTCGCCCCCCAAAATATACAGTCTTCACACTTCACACCAGACACCTCTGCTGAAATCTGATTTAACGGTCCACCAGCAGATCTGGCTGGACCCCATAAAAACTTACCGGTCCACCCTTGCCTCCGCTAATTCCGCTAAATCGTCCTTCTATTCCAAATTAATCATCGAGGCCCAGGGCAACCCCAGGCTGCTCTTCTCCACTACCAACCGGCTACTCCCTCCACCCTCTCACGCCTCGCCCATCCTCTCCTCCAACTCCTTGAGACTAAAATCGAGGGGTTCCATTCAACCATCTCCGCCCTCCCAACTGCGACCCCCTCCCCATCTCTCCCTCACACTCTAACCTCTACCCATCCCTCCTTTCACACCTTTGAAACTGTCTCCCCCTCTCTCACCACCACAATAACCCGCATGAAGCCCACCACCTGCTCCCTCGACCCCATCGCTACACTACCTCCTTGCTCCTCTACCCTCAGACCTCATCAACCTCTCCCTGTCAACTGGCACCATTCCCACCCCCCTAAAAACAGCTGTCATCACCGGTATCCTAAAAAAAACCTTCCCTGGACCCATCCCTGCTCGCTAACTATCGCCCCATCGCCAACCTCCCTTTCCTTTCCAAGGTCCTTGAAAGAGTTGTTGCTTCACTCCTTCCTCTCCTGCCACTCCCTCTACAAACTCCTCCAATCGGGTTTTCGTGCTGCGTACAGCACGAAAACAGCCCTGGTAAAGGTGACAAATGACATTCTGTGCATCTGTGACCTGGGCTCCATCTGTCTCCTCATCCTCCTCGACCTCTCTGCTGCCTTGACAGTGTGGGCCACTCTATCCTTCTCCACCGCCTCTCCTCTCACCTTAACCTTCAAGGTTCTGTCCTTGAGTGGTTCAGATCCTATCTCATACCAGCTCCACTTTGTCTCCGTAAGTTACTTCTACCTCCACCTCCATCAAGTCCTGGACGAGAGCCAACTTTGTACAGCTGAACGTCAGCAAGACCGAGGCTCATCCGATTGGCTCGCGCCAGCGCCTCCTCATCTCAGGCAGTGGCAGCATCAGCGTCCGTGGATGCACATTCCCTCTCACTAAGTCAGCCAGGAATCCAGGGTTCTTGTTTGACCCTCAACTGTCCTTTCTCCCCCACATCGTGCCATGACCTCCCCCCACCTCTGCAACATTGCCCGACTCCACCACTGCCTCACCCTCAGGCCGCCGAAACCCTCATATAATGCCTTCATTACAACAAGTCTCAACTATGCCAATGCCCTGCTTGTCGGCTTTCCCAGCTCTTCCCTCCATAAGCTGCAGATCATCCAGAACTCTGCAGCTCGTGTCCTCTCCCGCACCAGGCCCGTAACCCCATCACCCCCACCCTCGCCCGGCTCCACTGACTCCCCATCCCTCAGAGGATCAAGTTCAAAAATCTCGTCCTCACCTTCAAGACCCTCCGTCGGCTTTGCCCGGTTCGACCTGCTATAACCCCTTATCAACCTGTCCGCTCCCTCCGCTCAGCAGGCTCTGGCCTGCTTCATGCCCCTGCCCGGCCTGCCCCACCATCGGCAGTCAGGCCTTCAACCTCTCTCCTCCCACCCTCTGGAACTCCATCCCACGTTCCCTTTGCCTCACGCTCTCCCTTGCCTCCTTCAAGCATTCAAGGCCCTCTCCTGGCTCTCTGCCCTCCCTGATCCTAGCTCCCCAACCCCTCCAGGCTCAGGTCCTAATCCCTGACTGTCCAGTGTCCTCCCGACGTGAAAGGCGCTTTACAAATGTAATTTTGTATTGTATTTTATTGTACTGAGCGATTAATACGTGCTGTACAAGGTGGGATTCTGCTCAAGCGTTCCAGTCAGTATCTTGCGGGTGAGGGCTGGAATGTTACGCATGGCGGGGGGTGGGGGGGGGGGGGGGGGGTGGAAATGGGTTGAGAGAGCGTGAATAAGGATTGATGAGTTGTGGTGATGCAGATTCACAGGTGGACCCTGAGCATTGAGAAGCAAGT